TTATTTAATTCATTCATTTTTTTGTCACCTTAGTCCGTAATCTGGGGTCGCCACAGCGGAATGAACCGCCAACTTATCCAGCACATTTTTACGCTTGGGATGCCCTTCCAGCCACAACCCATCTCTGGGGAACATACTTATTTATTTATTTATTTTAATATTGTTTATCAGTTTATCAGTCATACCTTACATTAAGGTTTCATTAGTTAACGAATACATTAATACAAAAATGTACAACATTTATTAACCATAGTTAAACATTTACTGATGCACTATTAAAATTTAATTTCATGATTATTAACATTAGTTAACACACTGTTAACATGCAACAAACAATGAACAAATTAATAAAGATTAATAAATATTGTAATCAGTGTATTTTTAATTGCTGATGCAAGTAAAAAAACATAAATAGTAATTGAATAAATATTAAATAATATTAACTAATACAACTTAACAAATGTTACCTATTTATCATATTTATGATGCATCTTTGAAAAATATACTTATAGAGAGAGGAGTCTTACTGTAAAACTAGCTCATTCCTTTCTTTCTTTATTTCCGTCCTTCTGTTCAGAAGAATCATTTTGTCCAGTTGCACCATGAAAAAAATAAAAGCACATGAAAGCACACACATGTTATGTTCTCTCCCCCATGGTGTAGCTACAGCTGCAGATATTTGTGTAGATATAACATAAACAGATTCCTGAACACCACACACACATTTAACGTTTACCTTCCCTTCTATTTTTTTTTTATTTCTACCCAGAGCCAGTGAGTGCTGCACGTCTCCACAGTTCAACATGGCTAAGTGGGACTCAAAACTCAAACTGTTACTTCTCATCCATCTCTTACTATCTGACTTGGCATTTGGCAAAGCTCCATTCCCTCAAAGCAACCCGAATCCTTCAATCGCCACAAAAACCTCTCAATCTGCGCAAGTAGAATCCCAAGAGGTCGAAGATGCTCTCTCGGCCGCCCACGAGTTGGTCTCCAACCTCTCAACGTCTCTGCAAGGTCATCTGGATCTTCAAAGCAATGCAAGCTGCGCCGAGCTAGCTAATGGAGGCTGGAGAGGAAGCGCATTCTCTCAGGAGCTTTTAGGCTTGACAATGGTACCAGTGTTGGTGTCAGCAGGATGTTTGTTTGAAGCCCAGGATTTGGTAATGCAGCTTTACGCAGATCTGGGCCAAAATGATACACACGATTTTTTGGATGACATAGTGATGCTTATCAAAAGAGGTGAAAAGAGAGAATCTGCACATGCCAACGGCTTCCAAACCATACGCAAATCACAGCACCACCTACAGGCTGTTTTATTCAACATCAATCAGCTTGCTGGGGTGGATGAGAGAGCTGCTGTTTATAACGGTAAAGTGTGGCAGTGCAAGAGGTGGTTGATGGTAAAAGCCTCCAACTTACAGGGTCAAGCCACAGAACAGATTAAGCCACTGAGTCTTGAGGAAGCAAAACAGGCTTGTAGAAGAATGGGAATCCAATGTGCAGGATTGAGGCGTGATTCAGACTCTTATCGCATTATCTTAAGACCTGGAAGTCGCATTGTGCCTTCATCTAACTCCGATAGCTGGATTCAGGATTGCAAGTTTGGGTCTGCACGTTGGCGCCGAAATGGGGTTCCTCGACATCGCTGCGTAAATGAAAATGAAAAGCGAGTGTATAAGGTCGTGGAGTGGATTCCTGCAGTCTCTACGCTTTATAATCTGGGAACGGCTGTTTACTATGCTTCAGTCAACTGTTATGGGACTGCAAAAGAGAGAGCAATCTTTACCACTGTGGATCTGAGCACGGACGCCCTCATGGCCATGACTGGGGGAACCGCAGGGGTTGCTGGTTATGCGCTGGGGGCTGGTTTAAAAACAGGTGTGAAGGCCGGGATTAAATATATGCTAAACAACATGAAGGAGGAAGAGGACCTGCTAATGAACCAGAACAGTTGGGTGAATGGAGGTCTCACTGACTAATAGAGTGCATAACTGTCTGTTTCCGAATATATTTCTCTGATTTATTTTTCGCACAGTGATTTAAAAAAAGAGTCTTCATAAAAGCATTAAGATACATAAACAAGCCAACTAGCAATGACGAGAATCACAACATTACTCTGAAGCAGAGACATACACTCACCGGCCACTTCATTAGGTAAACCTTACTAGTACCAGGATTGATGAGTACACTGTGGTCATAAAGGAATGTACATGGTCAGCAACAATGCTCAGGTAGTTTGTGGCATTGACATGATGCTCAGTTGGCACTAATAGGCCCAGTGTGTGCCAAGAAAATATCCCCCACACTGGCACCAACAACAATGCCACGTTCAAAGTCACTTAAAGCACCTTTCTGATGCTCGGTTTGAACTGCAGCAGATCGTCTTGACCATGTCTACATGCCTAAATGCAGTGAGTTGCTGCCATGTGATTGGCTGATCAGAAGTTTGCGTAAACAAGCAGTTGGATAGGTGTACCTAATAAAGTGGCCAGTGAGTGTATATGAAAATAGAACAAAAAGACAATACTTGATGCAATCCAAAAGGGGCATATCATCAATTGAACAGCACTTTGGAGTGAGAGCAATTATGTCTGCCATATTGAAATTTCTTTCCAAATCGAAGTGCTACTTGGGGAAAAATGGCCAATTGGAATGCAGGATTTAGTAAGGTATAACTGATGGCCACTTCAGGCCTCCATGTTCTTTTCCTTAGAGATGTTGTCGGATGTCAAATAGTGTTTCCTATCTGGAAGGGCTCATCCCTATGACCTAATCCTTTTGAAACTGTAAATCCACAGGGTAAACCCTTCGAAGGAATTAGGGCATAGGCATGAGCACTTCTGGATAGGACACAGTGAATGTGTACTTTATTGTCTCGGTTCTATAGTGCTATATGCCACTTTCTATCTTGTTAATGTTCCCAGATATCCTTCAAATCTAAAAGGTGTTTAACCATTGCATGCATCCGAAGTCTGTACACTATTTGCAGATTCAGTTTGTAGCTGAAGAATTGTATATTGTTAAAAAGTCATTTATTTTATCCTACTAAAAATAAACTGTGTCTGATCTGCAGCTTAATATTTTATGTATGTTTTTGTCATGGTATTAGCACATTTTTAAATAAAATAATAAAATTAAACAGTCTTTGTAATGTTTTATTGTTGTGTTTATAGCGGTTATGTGGGTATAGACCATTTTGAAGGATGTAAACAATAACAGTGGTCCTAACCATATGGTCCTCCTCCTAACACATTTCCTGTTTTACATTTTTAATTTCCAAAGCTTCATATTAATAAAAAATGCTATGTCAGCTGTTTAACGTCAAGTTATGACTGAGTTGCTTCTTGTTACAGTTAGGAAATAGTTTGATAACAAACAGGAAATGTGAATGGGCCAATGACATCACCAAATCGAAATGGTTCAATTCAATTCAATTCAGCTTTATTTGTATAGCGCTTTTACAATGTAGATTGTGTCAAAGCAGCTTCACATAAATGGTCATAGTAACTGGAACAGTGTGGTTCAGGTTTTAGTGTTTAAGTTCAGTTCAGTTCAGTTCAGTTCAGTGTGATTTAATCATTACTGAGAGTTCAAACACTGAAGAGCAAATTCATCGATGCGTAGCTCTACCAATCCTGAACCATGCGAGGCAGTGGCAACAGCAGAGAGGGGAAAAAAACTTCACCTGATGGGAGTGAAGAAAAAAAACCTTGAGGGAACCAGACTCAGTTGGGCACGACCATTTTAATTTCTCCGCTGGCCAAAAGTCTTGTGCAGAAATGGTCTAGTAACTGATGCTTATTGAGGTAGAGTGCCACAAAATTACGTTAACATGATATTGATGCGTGTATCCACAGCTGTATCTCTTCTAGACTCTTCTAGACCAAATAAGCAGGAGACACTCGTAGCTTCCGGGAGAGGTGGGATGTGATGATAAGTTTGTATGGCCTTTTAAATTTTTTTATTTTTATTTTATTTTTTTATTATTATTTTTTTGTTGCAAAAAAACAGTTGACAAGTTTGTAACAACATTTGTTTACAATGCAGAATATGAATTACATTGTCAATGAAAAGAGATATGAGAGAGAAAGACAGAAAAAAAAAGAATAAAGAACATGATATAAACTTGAGGGTAAGACATTTAAGAATCAAGAACAGTACATAAATTGAAGTCATTACAAAATGAAATAGTTCTGTTTGCTTTCTTATTTTTATATAATGAAATTAATTGTATATAATGACTAAATTCTTGCAAAAACACAGGAAAATATGGTTTAGTATTAGTAAATTTGCATTTGTGGATATGGAATTTACAAAGAAAATAAATTAAATTTATAACAAAACAAGCATTTCTCTTAGTAGGGGCAGATTCATAATAACCAAAAACAATTTCTTTAAAAGTAACAGAAACATCTTGTTGTATATTATCATTAATAAATAATCCAATATGTTTCCAAAATTGTACAGCATAATTACACTCCCAAAATAAATGAAAAACAGTTTCAGTATGAAATTGACAAAATGAACATTTTACATCAATATTAGAATTAAACTTTTTGAAAAATTGTTTTATAGGATAAAATTTGTTGATCAATTTAAAAGACACCTCTTTGACCTTGTTGGTGAGAAAATATTTTTGTTGCAAAGACCATATTTTTTCCCATATCAAATCTATAGATATTATTTCATTATGGCCTTTTAAATTTCCGCGGGACATTCCTTCGGAACACGACGTCATTTCTTAACATGTGAGCTCGTGGTGAGTTTCGTTTCTATCTCTGCTCGCCGTTCCATTAACCCCCCTCTGCTGTGAAGAATTTGATTGACGGGTGCTTCGACCAATTGTGGCGGTACCTGCATCGTGTCCGCCAATGAATGATCTGTAAACGTCTCTAAAAGGCAGTGCTTAATCACTGAGTAGGCGGGCAGAAGTGCATCGAGTGGAAGCACTAAAGTCCCTCCTACTCGATTGGCCGTCTACAGAAGGGAACAGCAGAGGGAGGATCATTAAAGAGCCCTCGATTTCCTGAGAAGTGCTGGACTTGTTTATTTACTCTCTAGCTGATGTTCAGTTCGGTGCTATATTCTTTGTCATTTCTTTATGCCTGCGAAAGGCGTATAGCAAACTGAGATTGGAAGATCAATTCCTTGAAAGGTACAGACGATTGTTTCAGGTGAGTGATTTATAATTGTTTATGTGCTAACATGGCAGTTATTTACTATGAGCTGCTCATTACTTCACATTATCAGTCATGTGCAGGTCTATGATACTGTTACTGTATATAATAACATGTAATTATTATAAAATGTTATGAGTGTTTGTGTCACGCGTTGCACTCAAGGTTACTGTAGTTTTCGACTCAGATTTTCCATTGTTGCCTGATGAGGGCTGTATGTGCAGGTGTGGAAGGTATTAATCACTGCGTGAGAGCATGCATGTTGTTTTACAGCTTTCGACACCTTTACCTCTGCTAAAATAAAAAATAACTTGCAACAATTCAACAAGTTATATTTTATAATAAAAAGGCCAATTTTAAAATCATCTTGGACAAAAAAAAGGTTCAAGTCAAGAACAGAAATTACTTTTGATGAAAATTTATTTGGGAGAATTAGTAAGAAAATTAGGTAAGAACTGTTGAAAAATTGTTATTTATTTCAATTTAATGTACACTTTTAAAACTTTGGTTTGATAAGGAACTCAATTTTTGACGTATGAAAGAAATTGTTAGGTAAAAAAATAATGCTGTGAAATATTACAATTTAACAAAACTGTTTTAATCAAACCTATATTGTAATTTATACAACACAATAAGAAGACATTGTATGCATTTGTTTTAAAGCAAACCCTCAAATTCATACCAAAACTAAACAAATATTAGTGGACCAACCTAATAAACACTGCTAGGGAGGAAATGTCAAGAATGTGATGCAAAAGCTGAACTGAAAGCAGCCATGCTCCACTCTTCAGTTTCACATAATACTTTAGAGGAGTCCTTCAAATATGTTGATTCAGATGTGTTGAAATGTGTATTATTGTAGTTATTAAGGTTGAAAACCCTTGTGCAGCTTAATAGACTATTATTATTTGAGATTTGCTATATATTTTCAGGATTCTTTGATGAAAATATATCATTTATTTGACAATAATCTTTTGTAACATTATAATAGCATTGTTGTTACTGTAAATAAAAATTACCCTGTAAATACTGGGATTGTTTGTGCTTATTATCATTGAGGTTAGGTTTACCACATACTTGCGTAACTGTTCTGAAAAAATAAACAAAAACTTGTTGTATTACATTGTTTTCCAACTTCCAAACCGCTCAGAACTGGGAATGTTTTTGTTTTTGTTTCTGAAAATAAGCACAGAAACAGCATTTAGGTTCAACATCTGACTTGCAAAGAAGTGCAGGTCACTCTCAGTCCTGACCAGTCCTTATTTGACCAAGCACCAAACCTGAAATTTGTTTCTTTCTGTAGAATGACACAGTGGGACCAATTGCAGCAGCTGGATACAGTGTATTCACAGAGGGCTTTTGATCTATACAATGGAGATGAATTCCCAATGGAAGTCAGACATTATTTGGCGCAATGGATTGAGGGCCAGGACTGGTGAGTATTGAATCTATCTGAGTGAGCAACAAGTAAAATCCTGCTGAATGTTTTTTGTCCATAGCTTTTCTAAAGCAGACTGTTGGGCTGAACAATATAATTTCAGCATCGATAACGCAATGTGAGGATCTGCAATAGACACATTGCAGGATGTCAACCAATTTCAAGTGAATTTAAACCTTTAAGACACATGAAATTATGATGCTTGCCACAACGATAAATTGTATTTAATTACTTAAACAATAAAAACTATACTGTGTTATTTTACATTCGATTTTTGAATTTATTTACCTCAATACTGTCAGACACCACAGAAAACCATAAAGCACTGTTTATTTCATTTTTATCTTTGTTCTGTTGTTTTCTTCTGAGCTTTGATTGATCTCATTTTGCATATTTATTTTTAAATATTATATTATGAATTCTTTTCATGTAATATTATGAATTCTTTTCAAATAGAGTTTATAATATGAGACCATTAATCAGACTATTAGTAGCCACACAGAGAAATTTAAGGTATATGTTTATCTGTATTATGTCTGTCACAGGGAGCGAGCTTCTCGAGACTCTTCCCAAGCCGCTTTCCTGTTCCAGGTGCTTCTGGAGAATCTGGACAACCAGTTCAGCCGTTTTTCTCAAGAGAGAGATTGTTTCTTACTGCAGCGTAATTTCAGACGCTACAAACAAAACTTCCATGTAAGTGTTCTTCTGCTGCTAAAATAATCTTTCCTGATTTTCCTCTGAAATCATTGGATTTTTAAGGCCTATTAAAGTGTTGAACAGAAACTAGACTAAGGGCACTCATATAATTAAAGTATAATTCATTCATTCATTTTTTTTTCGGCTTACTCCCTTTATTAATCTGGGATCGCCACAGTGGAATGAACCGCTTATCCAGGATGTGTTTTACGCAGCAAATGCCCTTCCAGCCGCAACCCAACACTGAGAAACATGCACTTTTGCATTCAAACATACTCATACTCTATGGACAATTTAGTTTATTTAATTCACCTATTGCACATGTTTTTTGGACTGTGGGGGAAGCACCTACAGGGGAAACCCATGTGAACACGGGCAGAACATGCAAACTCTACACAGAAATGCACAGGTGTGAGGCTATCGTGCTACCCACTGCGCCACCATGTCACCCTAATTTAAGTATAATTTAATTTACAATTTGTGTGACTTTATTTAAAAAAAATCATGCCAAACCAATTTTGTTTCAGCACATAAAATCAGCTTGCCAAAGCAAACATCATGTCAACACTGAAAATGTGCAATATATTAGGAATTGTCACACGTTTTTTCATGTTTGATAAAAGCATACAGCTGTTCAGTTATTTCAGATTTTTTTCCCTCTTAACAAACAATGAAAAAGTGCGCACCAATGTCCAGTTTACAGTCAAAGCCATGCTCTGACATTATGCACCACTCTACACATCACTTTTTACATCAGTTATAATTGTTGTAGCCATTTTTTTAAAGTGCATTTTATTTAGTGTGAACATACATTTTTGGTGTTTAGTTTTTCTTTTGAATCTGAACATCATAAATGGGAGTGGAAGTGGGTCTGACAAACTATTTTTTGGCCACTTAAATTATTTGTTGATAAATTTTGAAGCAATTGCAAGTTTTTACCAAAATAGAGAAACCGTTTCTTCATTCTTTGTGTAAGCAAGTATTTTACAGTACTTTAAAAATGCACAAAATGTCTCTGTCAGTGTTTTCAAACTATTATATTCGATTTACCAAAGTCACACAAGTGGCAATTTCTCATCTGATACATCCGTGACGGAAAAATGTCACATCCAAAACAAAGCTTTTCCCTCATAAATGTAAAATAAAATAAAATCAACGATTTCTGTTCTGTAGAGAGATAACTCTTATCCTGTTGATTATCATTGTTTCTTTTGGGTTGTGCAGTTTAATTTGCTGAAAATCTACAAAGTATGTTGTATGCAGTAAACTCTCAAACTTTTTTGGTCACATCCATAACTCATGTTTATTTTCCTCATTTAAATGATTAAAAATATTTACAGATTGATATTTTTCTGATCCTATAACTCTGTGGTTAGTTGTTTTTGAAAATAAAAGCTGTTGCTCCAGTATAATATTAACGTACACTTTCTTTGTGAATTTATGTTGAGTTTTTACTGCAAATGTCACATCCATAATGCTGGAATTGCTCATTGTTATATAATGAATTTAAATGGTGCTTATTATAAATTTAGTTCATAGTGAATTTGACTTAAAAAGTCTGTCTTTTAGTTACAGCTTTTTTATTTCTTTTTCTCTGAAGAATATTTAGAAATTTAGATAATTTGTTGTTGACATACTACTGTATGTTTGCAACATTTCTGAATTGATTATAAAATGTAACTAAACACCAAAGCATTATTTATTTTAATTTTTTAATTTTCACTTAACAATGCAACATTACAGCAGCTTGACTTCATAAGTCACTTATTTTCCTGAAAATACAGTAACTTAAATTAAATCAAAATTTCATCGAAAAATTGAAGTGGGACAGACACACACTTTTTTGGACCACTTCATGTATTTTTTGTTGATAGATTATTTGTTTTGTATAACAAATTTTGTTTGATATATTTTTTTTATCTTAATTTTGAAGCATTATTACCTTTTTATTTAAAAAGAGAATCGATTAAAAGCTAATGAAGTAAAGTGCATTTGAAAACAAAGCCTGAATGAAAATAAAAAAGACCTTTGCTGTGAGTATATCTCAGCCATAAAGTCACAAATGTTCACACTGAGAACGATAACCGTAATCTCAACCACGTTACCGTCCACACCAAATCGCAATAATGCTCTTTTTAATCTACTTTAAGTGTGCTTTTGACATATTTGCAGCCCTTACTTTGGTGTCACTGGTTTTTATGTTCAGCTAGAATCTAAATATAACTTTATGGCTAAAGTTAAGTACTCAAATCTACTCTGTTAATCATTGACTGTAAGATGATGGATCATATTGTTTGTTTGCAGAAGTACCAAGAGGAGCCTTGTACTCTGGCTGCTATTATAAACTGGTTCTTGCTGAAGGAAAAAGAAATCTTGAACGATGCAGAGCTTGCCCTGCAAGTCAGTATACCTTAAAGTATCATCGAAGCCACTTTAATTATCATGATCAGCATCTTCTGAATGTCTCTTTCACTGTTTCAGGTGCAGACGTTGCAGGTTCAGTCAGCTGCAATGGAGCTTGAGAGCCACAGGCAAATTGAAAAGAGATTAAAAGACTTTAAAACCAGAATAGAGGTGTGTTTGTGTACATAAGCAAGTGTGTATGTACAAATGTATGTGTTTGTTTGAGAGCAGGATTTCTGTTTTCTTTTAACAGGTGATGGAGCACAGCATAAGGTGTTTGGAGGAGCAGCAGGATGAGTTTGATTTTAAGTATCAGACACTTCATATGGACTGTGAGGCTGCACACTTTATTTAAGTACACTGTCCTGTCATTTGTATGATTATGCTAATGTGTGTGTGTGTGTGTGTGTGTGTGTGTATTTTTTAATGTGTTTTAGCTTGCACAGAAGAAGAGAAAAATCGACAGCTTGAAGGGCTTCAGAAAATGCTCAATGCTCTCGATAAGTCCAGAAAGGTATGAAGATTTCCTGCTGATTTCTCTTCTGTTCTGCTCAAGGTTGTTGTTAACTAAAACAATTTTATTTTAAATTAAGCTGTAATAAATGTAAATGTCTTTAAAAAATATAACTAAACATTAACTTAATTCTGATGCAGTACTATTTTAAGGGGCCTTGGGTGTCAATTTTCTTACTCGAGAGAAAGTTCCCTTTTTTTCTGCTGAGTTTATATACACACACAGACACACACACACACACACACACACACACACACACGTGTATATATATATACTCAGTTGAAATCAGAATTCTTAGCCCCCTTGAATTATTAGCCCCCCCTGTTTATTTTTCTCCCAAATTTCTGTTTAATGGAGAGATTTTTCAACACATTTCTAAACATAATAGTTTTAATGACTCATTTCTAATAATTGATTTTACTTATTTTATCTTTGCCATGATGACAGTAAATAATATTTTACTAGATATTTTTCAAAACACTTCTATACAGCTTAAAATGACATTTAAAGGCTTAACTAGGTTAATTGATTTACGTAGGCAGGTTAGGGTAATTAGGCAAGTTATTGTATAATGATGTTTGTTCTGTAGACTATCAGAAAAAAATGCTTATACGGGCTAATAATTTTGTTCTTAAAATGGTGTTTAAAAATGTAAAATTTCTAGCCAAAAATAAAACAAATAAGACTTTCTCCAGAATATGTATATAAAAAGAAAATCAAACACTGAGAGTCTGAAATCCTTTTGTAAGAGGAACTACTTTCTTCCACCACTCATTCACATCTGCAGTTGACGTCAGAACAGCAGAAACATTCACAAATGTCACTTTAGAGCTAGTATTTGAATGATTCTCTATAGCGTAATGTCTAAAGTGATGACAGAACAGGTGTTTTTGCTCAGATTTTAAGAATATAAGGCTGAATGGCATGAAATGTCATCAGTCTACAGAGAGTTCCCAGTTTTTCTCTGTTGCAAACAGATAGTCATCCAAAAAGTAACTTAGGGTTATAAAAAGAGTGGCCTACACAAAATACATATAATCCTGATATGCAAGTCCCAATTCACACTCAATACACTAAAATTACTATGGTTTGAATTAGAGGTGTGAACCTACACTAGTCTCACGGTTCGGTTCGGTTACGATTATCATGCCATCGATTCGGTTCAATTCGATATTTCGGTGCATCACGGTGCATTGACGGTGCTTTCCATACACAGTTTTATATTTTCTTCACAGCAGCATTTCTTGTATTAAAATGTATGAATCTATTTATATTTATATACTATTTGTAATACAATTTTGTCATTTAATACAAACAGTCAGATATATAAACTGTAACTTAAAACAAAACAAGCATTTAGCCTATAATATAAACAAATATAAATATCCAGCTCACTCTCTGATCCTTGTCTAGTTCTCTTACACCTCTTTGATTGGTCACACCCTCAAAAAAAAAACGGTTGCGATTGGCTCTTGCGCGCTGCGTTCTTCACAAATGAGTGATGCTGATAAGCGGCAGGCGGCAGCGTCGATCTCACAGCTGATGTATGATAAACACGGTGGAGAAAACTCTGCAGACACGCGCTCGTTTCTGGATGCAAAAGTAACGCTGTAAAACAGCCGAGAAGAGAAGAAAAGCCACGCCAGGAGGTCAAATGGGCCACTGAGTGTGTGTGAGAAAGAGAGAGAGAGACAGAGACAGAGCGAGAGACAGAGCGTGTGCGCGCGCGCGAGAGAGAGAGAGAGAAATGGAGTAGGCTACTTTTATTCTCTCGATCTCAGTGAAATAAGGGCTATTGTTGTATTTGTCAGTGAAAGACTAATCCAGCAAACACACACAATGAAATTGTGCACAGTTTATGAGTTTTAAGTAGTTAAAGCGCTGTAAATACTCGCGATCGCCTCCCTCGCGACAGAGCGCCTATGAGGTAAATGACGTCAGTAATAACCGGTTATGATTATTACTGAACCGATACCGAACTGTCCACGTCTGCATCGCAGTGCACCGAAAAAACGATTATTTTTGACACCCCTAGTTTAAATACAGCACTGCAACATACAAAAGAGAGATTGACTTAGAAAGTTACTTACCAGTTTTATAATGTTTTGATCAGCTGTAGTTTGAAAATACACAGATCTTTTCTGCTTTAAGGGCTTATTATATGTTCTCTGCCGTCATCTTGTGGATGAACAGCGTCATTGTCTTTGCTTTGCTCAATGAAAGGCTAATAGATGCCGACGCACTGAATCTCAGAAATTATAAATATTTAAAATAGTCACTATGCTTATAAATGAACTGCAAAGTTGCAATCTAAATGCCTAAAAAAGCCACAAAGTACATTATGTTGTCCAGCGGCTGCAATATTTTGTCAAACTGTAGTGAGTTTTTCGATCTACTGTCATTCTATATGGGCTGAGTAATACAGAAGGGTGAGGAGGCTGTACGAGTTCTGATATTGCAGAATATCGCACTGCTATCAGCCAATCAGATTCAAGAACCAGACAGAACTGTTGTATACAATGTATAACGTTACATGAAACTAGTAGCATAAAAAATATACATTGTGACTTAGCTTATAGTAAATTCTAAAGACCATGCATGGTCTCTATCTATTTGAAGCTTTCTTTCCTTCAAAATGTCTCTACACATCCCTGACAATTATTACAGTATTTCAGAAATTTAAGCTGTGTTCTGGAATATACTGTAGGTCAAGTGCTTTGGTTTATATGTTGCATTTAGCATGCTAAATGTAAATGAGCTTAAAGTTTGAGTTTATAATAAATGTTGTTTATAGTGAATTAGACTTAAATTTGTGTTTATCTTTCATTTACACTATTGTGTTTCACTGCAGAATATTTTGCATAAAAACATTTCTTCTTTAGCCCCTTTCACACATACAGACCTTTCCGGAAAATTACCGGCAATTTTCCGGAAAGGTCTGTATGTCTGAACAGGCCCTTTTTGAAAATACCGGTAAATTCGTTCTGGCATTCACGTCCGCTTGGTTTTAGAAAATAAAAGCCTTTGAATATTTTTCTAGACACCTTTAGCTGCTAGACGTTAGTCAGATAACATTTATATGTTTCTTCTTAATGCCAACTGTGTAAATAATTATCGATAAGATGCTTAAGATAAGCCGTTGTTTGTTTAGCTTCAAGCTCCGCTTTCTTCAGTGGCTTGACGCTGTGCTTCAGCTGCTGAGCGCCTGCCCAGCACACACACATATCATGTAACTTACATCTCGACATGTGAAAGTGTTTCTCTATATGTTTTTTATCGAAGTTGTTTTCAATACTTCTCCATCCACAGAGTTTGTAATGTAGTCAAATGTTTACAAATACAAGCGCAGCCGTTTAGAGCTCATGTCTGGTTAATGATGTCATAATTTACCGGTATTTTGGAATGGATGTGTGAATGCTCTTTTTTTGAAAATTTCCGTAACGTCCTCGCCTGTGTGAACAGCGCTTTTTTTAATATACCGGTAAAGTCATTCCGGAAATTTTCCAGATATTTACCGTCTTGTCACAGGACTTCTTGTCGGAAATCTCGGCTATGCTGGACGTTGCTGATACTCTGGGATCATCGCTCATAGACGAGGAACTGGTAGACTGGAAGCGGAGACAGCAGAAGTCCTGCATTGGTGCACCTGTTGATACAAGTCTGGAACACCTAGAGAAATGGTAAGCACACAGGAATTTCTCTGCTTTCTAAGAACACAATTCGGATCTGTTTTTAATACATTGATGGCCTTCGGCAGGTTCACTCAGATTATAGACAGCATGTTCCAGCTCCAGAAGTTCTTACAGAAACTTGATGAGCTTTTAGGGAAAATGAGCTACGATAACGACCCAATCCCGATCCAAAAACCTCCTTTACAGAGCAGAGTGGACACACTGCTGACGCGCCTGATAAAGAGGTACAATCAAACACATACACAACATGCACAACTCTTTTGTCCTGAATGTATGCTTCATTAATTGCGTTTGTTTTTAGTGCATTCGTCGTAGAGACTCAGCCTTCAATGCCACAAGGACGAGGCCCTCTTGTGTTGCGCACCAATATCCAGTTCTCAGTCAAAGTCAGGTCAGGCTCTGACATTATACACCACACTACACATCACTATTTACAGCAGTTATTATTGTTGTAGGCATTTTTAAATGTGCATTTGGTTTAGTTTAAATGTAAATCTTTAGTGTGTTGGGTGGATTGAATAATCTAGTTGGCCATAGTGTATAGGTGTGAAGGGCATCCACTGCACAATAACTTATGCTGGATAAGTTGGCGGTTCATTCTGCTGAGGCAACCCCTGATTAATAAAGGGACTAAGTCGAAAAGAAAATGAATAAATGAACCAATTTAAATGTGAGCATCTTAAAGGGAGTAATGGAGCAGTAATAAGCCATAAGTGGGACAGTTGCGCAATTTTTTTGACCAATTCATATATTGAGTGTTGATAGATTATTGTTTTTTAGCAAATTTAAAACAATGAAGTTTATAATAAATGTTTATACTGAATTCAACTTAAATTTCTGCTCATCCTTTAGTTACATTTTTCATTGCTTTTTCTCTCCAGAGTATTTAGAAATTTAAATTGTTTGCTGTTGAATTACTATGTTTGGAACCTGTCTGAATTGATTATAAAATGTAACTAAACACCAAAGCAAAATTTATTTTTACATTTTTTTTATTTGATTTTTTTCATTTTCACTTAACAATGCAATATTACAGCAGCTTGACTTCATGAGTGATGTATTTCCCAGTAAATACAGTAATTAAAATTAAATAAAAATTCTATTGAAGAATGGAAAGAGGACAGATGCACAATTTTTGACCACTTCATATATTGTTTGTTGATAGATTATTGTTCTATAACGAATTTCCTTTGATATAATTTTTATCTTAGTATTGATGGTGTTTTTGTTGGTAAATTAGCTTTTCAATAAACAATAGAATCGAATGAAAGCTAATGTTGTAAGGTTTGTTAAAAAAACAACGCCAGGAATCATACCTCAGCCTAAAGGCCAGAACAATAATCAATATAGATGCATTGTCATAAATTATTTGTCACACTTGATTGGATTGAGAAAATATGCAGTTTTGCAGGACAATAAAATCTGCATTTAACCCAGGATTATTACATTTTTGTTACAAACCTAGAACAAACATATAGAAACAATGGGATAACCGAACTGTGTGGATATTGAAAAAATGTGGTATGTTATAGCATGGTAAATAATGCTATACAATATTTTTTTTTTTAATTATTACCATTTTTCACTTCAGGCAAAAGTAAAGCAATGTATTTAAATGAAAATAAGTATCAACACCTTTTTGCTTCACTGGTACAGTGGTATCAGTCTAAAACATCAAGAACACTTCTTTCAAGAGTCAAGTCACTTCTTTGCTGTCTTATTGCTTTCTTAACTTGGCTTGATCGCTTGCTCATACAGTATTTGTCACGTTCCGGTAAAGGGAAAAAGGAGCGAGGACCCAAGCGCAGAGTAAAGTAGGATTTATTATTAATAAAATAAAAGGCAAAAATAAACAACCCCGAGGGGGGAAAACACTACTACAACAAACAATAAATCAAACAAACAAACTTGACTTGGCAGGCAGGACAAGGCAGGACTGGACACAGCAGGACAGGTAAACATCGACAGCATATGATGACGAACTCGCACAGGACAGCAGACATAAGGGGTTTATAAACTGTAGGAAATTAACAAAAAAACAGATGAACATAATTAACTAATAATGGGTTAACAAGGAGGGTGGGACTAGACAATAGACGGGAGAGCGCATGACACAGAGAGACAACACAAGCCATGCGCTCACATGACACAGGACAAGAACATGCGGCCAATGAGAGAACTCATCAACCGCATGTTCATGACAAGACGAGCACAACACTGAAGCACACGACAAAAGCACGTGACCACAATGTAAACATCGAGCCACGTGCTTTGACAAAAGACGCAAGACACGAGCACACGATAGATAAACACCTTACCGTGCGCTCACACATAAGCAACGCGCATGCTTCATCTCAGCGGCAACCAAAACTGAAACCAACTAGACGGAGGCGCCGAGAATAAAGCAGCGCGATGCTGACAGAACAAACACAAACACTAGTACAAGAGCGCGCGCGTCTGAGGGACGCAGAGCGTGCGCGGCCACATCAAGCGCCAGCGCACACACTCTGCGTACACCCACGACGGCGTGCGTACACACAGAGACAGAAACAGGACCAGACATGAGTAGTGTCAAAGCTCTGCCACCAAAACAAGAATTTACGAGACCAAAGTGGCAGAACCCTGACAGTATTTCAGTATCCATACTAAATTTGTTACAGATTTTTGGATAAGAAAACTAGCAGGACAGGCATACAAAGATAATTTTGTACAAAATTACACATTTGTTCCAAACCAGTGAAATATGCACATCTGTGATTTATTAGCACTGATGTCTACTGAAGCATAAACATTTTAAATTGAACCTGACACTTTAAAAGAAGGTTGTTGCAATTACACTGTAGATGAAAAGCAACAACGTATGTCACCCAAAATTTTATTCAAGAGATTTGATAAAACACTTTACGAAGTCAAGAAGTTATTGAATTATTTTGCAAACTGAAAAAAAAAAAAAAAAAAAAAAAAAATATATATATATATATATATATATATATATATATATATATATATATATATATATATATATATATATATATATATATATATACTTGTTACTTTGATTGTCTGTTCAAAATTGTAGGAGAGTCATAATAATAAAAAAGAAGTGATTGTGCTTATCCAGAATCATACAGCTTTAATGTTTAAATATTTAAATGTTTTTTTTATTTTGTCCCATAACCCCTGTTGGTTCTGAGACATTAAATACTTCAAAGTATTTGTGTAAGTGACCTACTTTCGAAAATGTCAGTCCTGTTTTTGAATATTATCATTATACTTTTACATACCTGTTGATTCAGCCAAATGTTGTTCCGTTAATTTGAATGTCCTGGGGTTATATAACTTAGAAACAAAGGAGATTTTTCAGAACCGAGTCGAAGATAATTTAATATTTCAAATGATCACACACAACAACAAGCAGATCTTTGTGGCCTAAAATGTGGTGATAAACAAAAATTGATTTTAAAATAGGTAATTGAAGCATTAGTTCACCCCAGAAGGAAAATATTCTGTTATCAAAACTCACTCTCATCTCATTACAAACCATCAAGAAACTGGCCATTCGAAGTAAACTAAATCTGAGTAGCTTCTTTCCCTGCTTTGAAGATCTGTTTAGACTATGATGATTGCAAACATTCGTAAAGAGATCAAAAATGACTTAAGCTGTTTGATCAGTCATCTGAAAATACAAGATCAAATTTAAATGGGAAAGAAAATGCTGAAATTTTATCCAAATAAAAAAATTTTGTTAGGTCCATAAATATTGGGACACAATTCTAACATTTTTAGCTCTATACACCAACACAATTAATTTGATGAAACAAACAAGATGTGCTTTAACTGCAGACTGTAAGCTTTAATTTGAGGGTATTTACATCCAAATCAGGTGAACGCTGTAGGAATTACAACAGTTTGCATATGCGCCTCCCACTTGTTAAGGGACCGAAAATAATTGGACAATTGGCTTCTAAGTTGTTCCATTGACGTGTGTGTGTGTTATTACCTCATTATCCCAATTACAATGAGCAGATAAAAGGTCCAGAGTTCATTTCAAGTATGCTATTTGCATTTGGATTCTGTTACTGTCAACTCTCAAGATGAGATCCAAAATGTTAGAATTGTGTCAATGTCCCAATATTTAGGGAACTAACTGTACATTCCAAAGATGAACTGAAGAAGTTCTGTAGGTTTGAATAATGTGAATGTGAAAAATGATGACAGAATTGTTTTACTATACTATACTAACACTCTTTTGAATTATCCCATTGTGTTCATCATGTTATATTTATATTTTTTCAATAGATTTTTAAATTAAGTGTGCTTTGTTATATTTAAGAACGAATTGCAGGTGAAAAGACCTAAAAGGACAATCCATCTTCTCTCTACAGATTCTTGTATAAAGTTCCTGAGCTCAACCATGTCCTGAAAGTGACAGTCTCTGTTGACAAGTAAGATCACTGTGTCTTATTCTTTCCTCGTTTATATTATTTTTAAGACTGTGTAGAATCTGAAAGTGACATATAAGAATGAGTTGTCTGGTTGGGGTGGATTTAAATGAGTCAACCCGTGGGTAGAATTCTTAGCTAAATCTTTCCTTCTTTCATCTTTTGTTTCAGCACTGTGAAAGGGTGAGTAATTCCATACACACTTTATAAACACACTTCTCTTGTTGAACCACCCACCAGAAATTCAGGAATATGTGTGTTCTAGGTTTCGGAGGTTTAATGTGCTGGGTACCTTGATTAAATCCCTTAACATGGCGGAGAGTATGAATGGGGGAATGGTTGCTGATTTCAGGCATTTGGTGAGTCATTTTAGCAACTTGGTAAAGTGATAATAATAATACTAGTAGTTCAGCTGATATGCTCATGTTCAGTTTTGTAAACAAGGTTTTAAATACAAAAAACAAAACTGTTATGAAAAGCATTGTGCTTGTTTACAGACCTTCAAAGACCAGAAAGTTGGTGGTGGAGGAAAGGGGATCAATGATGTGAGTTTTCTAAGGATTTGTATTAATACTTTTTACATCAATATATCTTGTGTAAATCTACCTACCTACCTATCTACCCACATACATCCATTCAATGTTTCATACAGGCATTCAAAATTTAGTCCCGCGCAGATCTCTATATGCATCCATCCATCTATCCATATTTATATATCCATCCATTTATATTTATATATCCATCCATATTTATATGTCCATCCATTCATATTTATATATCCATGCATATTTATGTCTATCCATCCATATTTTTGTCCATCCATTTATATTTATATATCCATTCATTCATATTTACATATCCATGCATATTTATATATCCATCCATTCATATGTATGTTCATCCATCCATATTTATGTCCATCCATCCATATTTATATGTCCATCCACCCATATTTATATGTCCATCCATCCATATTTATATATCCAACTATTCATATTTATATATCCATCCATTCATATTTACATATCCATGCATATTTATATATCCATCCATTCATATGTATGTTCATCCATCCATATTTATGTCCATCCATCCATATTTATATATCCAACTATTCATATTTATATATCCATCCATTCATATTTATGTCCATCCGTCTATCAATCCATATTTATATATCTATTTCTCTATCCATTCATCCATATTTTTATATCTATCCATCTTTCCATCTATATTTATATTTCCATCCAACCATCCATATATTTGTATCCATCTATCCATCCATTCATCCATCCATTTTATGTATCTATCCATTCATCTATTCACATTTATCCATCCATCCATCCGTCATCCATCCATCTATATTTACATATCCATCCATTTATCCATATTTATATATCCATTCATCCATTCATATTTATATTATCTATCCACCCATCCCTTTTTTCAATCCATATATCCATCCATTCATCCATATTTATATATCTATCCATGCAACCCTTTTTTCAATCTATATATCCACCTATCCATCCATCCATTTTTATATATCCATCTGTCCATTCATCCATATTTATATATCTATCCATCCATCCCTTTTTTCAATCCATATATCCACCCATCCATCCATCCATATTTATATATCCACCCATCCATCCATTTATTTTTATATATCTATCCATTCACAGTGCAAAAAAGATTATAATAGATTTTTTTGTCAGTTCAAGTCCAAATATCAAAAAAATCTTAAATAAGAAGCATTTTCTAGACAAGCCAAAAATATTCTCCTGTTTAAAGAAAAAAATTTAAAATTATGTCAGTTTTTTCTCTAAAAAAAAAAAAAGCTAAATAATCTTTTGTCAACGAGAAAACAAGATTATTTTGCTTGCCCTCTTGGCAGATTATTTAGCTTGTTTAAAGGAAAAACTCACTATGTTATCTATCCATTCATCCGTCCATCCATTCATCCACAATGTGATTATGTACAGTATGGAGCTTGTGTTAGTCCACAGCTGTTTCATTTGCACAAATGATTACAACCTGTATGCTCAACCTTTGTTAGGTGACTATGAAACAGCATAAATACTTCCTGCTTCCCTTATCTTGTTTGTCCTTGTCCGATCACATGCCTGAAATCAAAAACAGAAATAAGATTTCTTGGCACAACACACCTTAGGATCTTTCCACATCTAGGTTTTGTCACAGAAAGTGAACAGAAATCATAGTTGCCTAAATGAACCAAGTAAGGGAGAGAATAGGTGAAATGAAACAAACCGTTATTTTGAAAAAAATATTATTCCAAAAATGTTGCACATAATAAAAGTCAAGTCAAGTAAGCTTTTGTTGTCATTTCAACCATGTACACTTAGTAAACAGTGTCTAACAATAAATGACATGCAATTAATTATTGTGCTGAAGAAAATATACTTCTACCGAATCCAAAACAATCAGTATGCTTGTAAGAATGGACATTATGTAAACCCTGTTGTGTGTTTTGTGCAGCTCTCGTTGAGTGTGACAGAAGAACTGCACAGTGTAAACTTTCAGACACAGTTTGATTATCAGGGCCTGTCAGTCACTCTGGAGGTAAGACATCTTTTCCTCATTCAGTAAAGTCTGAACATTCTAGAGATTTGGCACATTATAACCATGCCTCTTCTCTCCTTTCAGACCTCTTCTCTTCCTTTTGTGGTGATTTCGAACTCCAGTCAGCAGCAGAGTGCCTGGGCGTCTGTTCTGTGGTTCAACATGCTATGTTCTGATGCCAAGGTTAGGAGTTATGCTTGCATTGTTCTTGGTTAGCTTAAACTGTCTTATAATCACACAGTATAGTGCTCAGTATTAATGTTTTTATAATTTATTGAATAATAAATATTGTTGGGGGGCCAACAGTTTTAACCCAAAAATGATCAGTCTGTCAGATGAATAAGAGCCGGAGTCAGAGATTCAATAAAAAAGAAAGTTTACTGAAGACCGTTTGCAGTTTCATCAGCAGAAGCCAGCTTCAACACTAGTAAAGAGTTCGTAGGCCACTCTGTTTACAATCTTACATAATGTCATTCACTGCATCGTATATATAGGTGTTTTAACCTGATTAATTAAAGCACAGATAGACTAAGAAAATTTCCACGTGTGTGTGTGCACATACAATTCTGAACAATATTTCAATATCTGAAGCATACAAACATCAGAAAACCACTAGGGTATATAGAGCTGACCCCAGACCTATAATACAGATCCACAAATGAATAGAATGCACACAAACACAATGTACAATCTGTTTCATACTCGAGGCTGTGTAGTGTATTCTCAGCCATCAAACTGGTTAAAAACGGGTATTATCAACATCCAAACTGGCAGCTTACATGCAAAGGAATTTACTTTCAAATATTTAACACGTAAAATGGCAAATATGTCAAGCAGTTGTTCTTCCAATCCTCCAAGAGTTCAGGTCTCCCGTGAAGGTCTCCATGATCTCTGACCTGGCTTGGAAGATCCTGAAACAAATTATTTGTCACACAGAAAAAGCACAGACACACATATTATTCCAGTTTTCTCTGAAGACACTAAGCTCATCATATAATCTAGGCCCTTTAAACACTCAACTTTATTAATAATCATAAAGACAAGTGAAATTATATGTTTTACTCCATTCTGGAACAGACCTCCATCAGAAAACCCACGTCTTTAATATAATTATGATATTATTATGTTCTATAGGATGCTTTACAATAACACGTTTCTGCAACTTACGCATTAGATTAGTCTAAGAAAACTAATCTCAGTTCAAACAGAGTTTTATACACCCAAATTAATATGTCAGAGATAAGTGACTAAAAAAAGTAGTAGTTGAATTTTTGCTCATTTCAATTTTAAATATCATGTTTCTATTCCTGCAGATTTTAGGTGATCAAACTTTTGTTTTTAATGTATATATATTAGTGATTAATGGCATTTAAAAGACTGAAGCTTGTCATTTTGGCTATTCAAATGTAAAATTAATGTAAACGCAAGATAAAAACTATTTAAATTCAAAATATAATTGTTTATTAGACCTTTTTTTAACTTGTAAAACAGATTTCTTCATGTAAATGACATACCCACAATAAACCATCAAGATCTTGGCTTGACAGCCATATTTATTACAGAAATAAAAACAGAGGCAGGTTAATGCTATTTAAATTTCAAAACAATCAATGCCAGTAAAGAAAAAATTATTTCCATGTTGGATTCTAAGTGGACTGCAAAAATTGTCAAAATACAGGCATTGCTGATATGGAAATTGGAAAATTATAATAATAATAATAATAAAGTCTTGAACAAACTATTGTACTCATTGTAAAGTTAAGCTGTGAGTTGAGAACATTAATTATAAAGTAGAAACAATTTTGCTCAGTCCTCCTTTACATTTATCCAGTTGCTAAACAGTCCAGTCTGTTGACATTATCGGGAGACAATGTGGCCCTTGTCTTTTGAATGATGTGAGCTGAGAGTGCAACGCAATCTCACAGCAATTCGTAACTTTTTGAATTAGTGGCTACAGACAACGATGTTTAGGCAGGTTTGTTGCTAAGAAACACACACACACACACACAGACCAGGGTCGTGCACAGGGGGGTGGCCCGGTGGCTAGAGCCACTGCCCCTCTGCCCTTATTGGCTGAGGTGCCCCTCTCAGGAGGCACTTGCTCTTCACTTTGCGTTCGCATTGAGCACCTGCCCCTGTAAGGGTCTGTGCTTTGTGCACGTGCCTCACACACACAGACAGACACACACACACAAAACGCGCAATGACAGCGACTCCCTTCAGATTCAACATGCATGATCGCGTTCATCAGATTTACTTAAACTAAGGGTTCCAAAGTATGGCTGTATTTCTCAAGGATTCTGACACAACAACGCGAATCAGACGCTTTTGTTGCGTTTAAGGAGGGAACACGTCAAACTTAATGAAACATTGGAGGCTGCATGCTGTAAGGCAGAGGAATGTGCTGTCTTTGACAGCTCGCTTTGACAACTTCATCTTACATTTACATTTGCATACTCTGATTTTAATATGATTAAGATAATACTCTTATTAAGAGTCTAACATGTAAGCAGCATTTTATGTTTATCTTAAAGGACCACTGAGTCACGAAATGCGGAGGTTTTTCTTTCCGTTCGCCATGCGGTATCAAATCCCATTAAAACAGAAGTCGAAAGTAAAAAATGACACACCTGAAATTGCATGAATCTCTGGATAGCCTGGTGATGCGACATTAATTGTTTTACACTGAAACTTGCCTTCAAAAAGTCCTTCCTTTGTCTTATCCATATTTCGTTGCTTGTTAAACACACGTTGACCACAACAGGAAGTAAAAAAAACCTGCAACTGCGTTAATTTTTTTTGCCTTTGTGTGTGTGCGTGTGCGTGTATATATATATATATATATATATATATATATATATGTCTGTGTGTCTGTGTGTGTGTCTGTGTGTTTGTATATATATATCATTACAATTGACTTTTTTTTGTTTGTAGAACAAAAAGTTTTTTGAAAGCTGTTCTGCCGCCTCCTGGGCTCAGTTTGGGGAGATGCTAAGTTGGCAGTTTCTGTCCTGTGGTAAACGTGGTCTAAACGATCAACAGTTGCAGACACTTGCTCTCAAGCTGTTTGGTATATACATGTCATATTTTTCATTCAATAATAGATAATATTATAAACGTGATATAAAGATCATTAAGTCATCTGGTGATTGTTAAAGGTGTGTATTTCTTATCAGGTAAAGAACAGAACTATGAGAACTGCAAGATTCCATGGACCAGATTCAGTAAGGTAAGAACAGATAAAGACTGTGTAGCTCTTTTTACCAGTGTAAGGCTTGAAGCTTACGCTGCTATTCTGAACCAATAGTCGGAAACAGGAAGCAGTTGAAGGATGGCGTGTTTAAATCCATTATTTATCTGACTCCATTGTAATTAATCTGACTCCATTAAAGTTGTTATCATCATTGATAAAGAGAAAGAATCTCTACGTCTTAAAGCAGGCAAAGTTGTTTATTAAGTTACATGATCAAATATACAGACATTAGAATGACACAAACTAACATACTGTATAAAGAAATTAGCTGTAACATATGCACTGCTGAGCAACAAAGACAGTGAAACTGCCTTTGTTAGCATATGAGGCTACGCACCGGTGTGCGGGAGATGCAGAGTGAAAGCCATTCTCCCAGATCAACAGTTACCTTTCCCTATTATACCCTGAGCAAAGCATTGTCAAACATGAGTGAAAACCAACCCCCAAAACCAGCTGAACATGAGAACAAAGTTGAAGAGATGAAGTGGGGGAGAAGTACATTAACATACTCTCCTCAGGCCATGACCCAACAATAGTAAATATATTGTAGATTGAAATACAATTAATCAATCTCTCTGTTGATTTCATCACTACAACACTGAAGTCATAAACTGTCAAATGACACCAAACATGACAAAGATATCAGAAGGAAGAACACAAGCTAATGAATTGTGTATGGTGAAGAGCAAATGGTTACTGTAAGCAAATGGCAGAGATGTGTATCGGAGCTGTGAGGAACTCTGCCTCACCAGGAGGACCCCTCCCATGCTTGGAATGTCTCAGTAGTCCTTCATTAGCATAGAAGGAAAATATATAATATTTTTTCAGCTTACACCAGCATGCATTTATTGTTTCTAAAAGATGTCTAATAGATGTCCAATAGACATCTCAATGGTTGTCTTGACTAAAACAAGGCTAAATTTGGGCTGTCAGTGAAAATCTAATTGATGTCTAAGAATAGGCCAAAACTAGACTAGTCATCAAGTTAATAAAAATGAATGACTGCACATATAAAGTCTGTCTAATCTGTCTATTTGAAGACTAGTCTAGTTTTGGGCTGTAGATGTCTATTAGATTTTCACTGACCAGCACAAGTTTAGTCTTGTTTTAGCCAAGCTGTCTACGTTTAGATGTCTATTATACAAAAAATTATTAGCTGGGTTGTATTGATATGATATTGATGTATGAGTTTTATTTTACTCATTGTTTGTCTGTGTGTTTTAGGAGAACCTCCCTGATACAAACTTCACCCTGTGGGTGTGGCTGGATGGCATTCTAAACCTGGTTAAAGTCTACTTGTCAGACCTGTGGAGTGATGGGTGAGTAATACATTACCAGTACTTCCAACACTGCAGATTACTCATGCCTCTTCAATCAAACACACCTGATTCAATTCATCAGATTAATTATGTCAATAGCTATGGAATGCAAGCTTGCAACTTTTAGACACAAAAACTATGGAGAAAACGTTCTATTACGCTGAATAAAGTGCTTTTATGCTTTTATTTTCATTTGTTTTATACATTTTCTCTATTATATGCATGCCTGTGTGTGTTTCTATATTCATAATAAATATACACAGTACACACAATTAAATGATGTCAAAACAACCTTTATTTTGGATGTGATTAATTGCCCAGAATTAATTTCTACATGTACAATACAAACATTTTCTAAATAAGTTCTAAATAAAGTGAGAAATATGATCACATATGAATCAGTTTCTGAGCATATACATTAGAAATGTAAAAGAGAAGTAGTCTTTTACATGTGGTCAGTCTATATAAACTATTATAATAGTCAATATATATAAAGGTATATCTTTAAAACTGAAAGAGTACTGCTGACGATACAAACTATATTGCCATCTGCATAAACATAATCAAAGAACATTGATCACACACTTACCAAATCTGTAGAGACGGGACAATCAACACCAACTGGAACCCACATTTTTTTTTTTTAAAAAAGAAGACGAGTGGCAAATTCGGATTTCACCATTTCCAGATTCGAAAAACTCTCGGGTAAAAAAAAGTTCCTTACCAATATATTTTTGTTGCGTGTTAGCAGACAGCTGTAATCCACACATGTGGATCCACACTCAAGCTGTGCTCTTGAAATGGAAACAAAACCTTCATTGTGGCACATTTATAAACTTAACACTTATGACCCAATTCTCCGAACAATTCTTCTACTACTACTTGTTTGAACTACAGTTGGCATCACGTTGTGGCGTCTCTCTGAACATCATACCCAGTAAAAGTAATCTTTGCAGCTATATCATACATATTAATGAAGTTGCATCTCATTCACAATAGAGCGCACTGACTAGTTTGAACCAAGTCTTTCTCATTAAGTAATGAACAGATGTGCTGAAAACTCAATGACGTCACATTGTACTGGCCAGTACAGACAGCCAATCTCCATGCTGGAATTTACACAATAACCTTATCGCCGTGACGTAGCTTCAAAATGTATTTTTAAACTGGAAGAACGAATTTGCTCTAAACAACGCAAAAATGACCAGTTAGCTAAATATATATGTCCCAATGTGTATATAGTGTTTTTAGCAACACTATATATAGTGTTTTTAGCAATGTGGGATACATATATGACCGTCAACATCTCAAAAAATGTGTTTTGGTGTTTCGTGACCCTTTAAGTGTGTCCCGCATGAGGTACATTGTGCTGTGCATTGTCATGATGTTTAAATGCAAAAAACAATTACTACACCTCCTCAATGCTTCACAAACACACCATGAATCAAAAAACTGTTTGAAACTGCTAAAAGGTGATGCCTGAAATATGTAAGTTTAAAGATATTCAACCTAAATGTATTCTTGCTTTTGTAATCTCCATAGTACGCCCTTGATTTTGAAGGTTTTGGAGTAAGTTCTTGAAACATCTCTGAATTCATAGTTAACCAAGCTGACACATTGTAGACAGATTGGTGGATTATAGAAACTTGGATAATGGAGATATACGAATAGGATGGATGGATGAAAAGAATTTGTGGATGGATGGATGGATATAGATCTTGTCCTAAATAGTAAGCTTCTACTCCAATGAAACACCCTGAACCAGATTATCAAGAACTTACTAGGCATTACAAAAAACCAGACAGGTATATTAAGGCAAGTTGGAGCTAAACTCTGCAGTCCGTGTTTGGACAAAACCAGCCATAGATGGATGGATGGATAGATACTGTAGTTAAATCATAGGTGAAATGTGTGTTCTTAACGCATGGATTTTTGTTTCCGTAGGTCTATAATGGGTTTCATCAACAAGGGGAAGGAGAGAGTTTTATTGAAGAAGCAGCAGTATGGAACTTTCCTGCTGCGGTTTAGCGAAAGCATCAAAGATGGAGGAATCACGTTCAGCTGGGTGCAGTACTCTAACAATGGTAAAAACATCACCAGAGATAGACCTCTCTTAGGCCCCGTTTACACTAGTGCATTTTAGTTTGAAAACGCATAAGTTTTGCTACGGTTACGCCATCCGTCCACACTACGCCGGAGTTCTCGAGCGCCGAAAACGGAGCTTTTTGAAAACGCTGGAAAGGCCGTTTTCATTCTAAAACGCTGCTGCTCCGTCTCAGTGTGTATGGGGAAAGACGGAGACATCTGAAAACGGAGGCGGGGCTGCAAACGTTCGCCTATCTGATTGGGGCTTTTCCTCAATATTAAGTAGCCCACACACAGTTTAGTCTCGCATCCTCTTCTTGTAAGTTAAGACTTCGCAAGTTTGATCAAGGCTGCAGTCTCCCCCTTCTCAGTTTGATATGGAAAACATACCGAGGACACGGGTAAATCTTCAAAGGGAACAGTGTACTTTATAACTTCATTCACATCACCTTGGCTACGTTGTTTCACTTTCTCAACAATAAAATGTAAACATGATTTAAGGAACTGCCTATTTTCTTTTTAATATTAGCAACTTAACAGACAGCAGAAATGTAGAGGCGTCGTGCTGCATAAATGAGCGTCATCTTCATTGTGTGGACATTTATAACAAAACGGAGCCGATAACAACTGTTTCCTTTCAATTTCAGTGAAAATACAAAACGCACCCTCTCTTTTGCTGAACATCAGTTTTAATAATCGATAATTATAAAAGTATAACATACAATAAGTTTATACATTGTAGGAAATAAAGGATCAGTCAATGTACCTGGATTAATCATTAACTTATCTTTGCGCTTAACCAAAACATGTTACCCGTGAACAAGTAACTTAATAGGCCAATTCCCTGACTTTGGTAATTGGAATCTATGTCATTAGATAAAGACAACAACATGAATGAAATATCACGTTCAGCAAATATAGTAAGATTAGATCCAGCGGGAGATGCTTGATGAGCAGTCCGACAAGCAGAGCTCCCATCTGGGTAGAAATGCTGGAGCGCTTGCCCGAGAGTGTGTGTGTGATCACGTGATGTGCGTTTTCAGCGTTTTGGTGTGGACGGAGAGCAGTTCAGAAACGCTGGGTAAAACGCGAGTGTGGACGCGGATCGTTTTCATTCTACAACGCCGTTTTAAAACTAAAACGCACTAGTGTAAACGGGGCCTTAGACATTGCTCAGGGTCTGGCCATACAGGGTCCTGTGAATGTGTGCTTTCTTCTTTTGTTAGGGGATCCGAGTGTGCAAACAGTAAGGCCGTTCACCAGTAATGACCTGAAGCAGATTGCTTTACCTGATATCCTCTGCAACTTTCGGATCATGGTAGCAGAAAATGTTCCAGTTAACCCATTGTGTCACCTTTACCCAAATATTCCAAAAGACCAGGCCTTCGGCAAATACTACAGTGAAAAAACTGGAGGTGAATTGTTTGCTGAATATGTTGTTTATTTTGTTGCAATCTCTGAAGTAAAAGTACAAAAGCTTTCACTGAGTTGGTACTTTTTCAAAATGTACACGTTTGTACATATAGTATTACTACATCACCTAAGAACTCTATTAATATAAAAACTTAAATTCATTTTCATTTTTTTTTGTAATGTCTTTTTTACAGAGGAGAATCCTTACCTGAAATACCTCAAGACCAAACTGGTTTTTGTCACCAAAAAGTAAGTGTGTGTTTTGTGCATTTACTGCCTTATATTTGTGTGTACACATAAGGTTCTGTGCTGGCTACCATTTGTGACAGTGCACATATGTCTGTTATGCTGGTATTGAATACCTTAGTATCATAGTCAGGGCTTTACATTAACACACGCCTACCCGCCAAATGCAGGTAGATGTCAGCTTTGGCGGGTTAGACAGACACTCCCACTAGCCACTTTGGCTGGATGAAAATTTATTTTTAATTGTGGTTTTCTTAAAAGCAGGGTTCGACTATAAGAATGACCCAATATGCATCCAAATGTGATCTTAGAATTGAGAAACAGCACGACTAAAAAAAAAAAAAAAAATGCGTTCGCGCGAGCAGAAGAAAGCAAATGAATACCGAATGACAGGATGATCAGAAGCGCTAACAGCTGATGTGATGCGCACGACTGTTTAAAGCATGTGCGTGCGACTGTTTCCTTGCTTGAAGAAACCGTGCCTGGAATGCAACTATGATCAGTTCTGTTTCAAAGAGTCAGACAAAAAAGTAATGCTAATGCACACACAGTATTGCTGCTTTCAAGAGCTCCAAATATGTCTTTTCTTAAGCAGCAACGGTTGCTTTCACTTTAAACAGATTATTAATAGGCCTTAACCGTGTGATTATTCTTCCATTATCACACAGTAAGTTTTTTCACCTGCTTTCTTTTGCTTATAGGTATTTTTGTTAATATGGTTTAATTATTATTTTTTACAACAACATTGCTTTAATATGGGATTAACTCTTTATTTATGTGTAGTTAACTGGTGATGAGAGACCTGTAGCGAGGACAGATTATTAAGCATATTTTTGATACATGACAATAATTGTCAAGTGTTTTCCTTAGTTTTATTTAAAGAAATGTTTTGTTAAATAAAAAGTATAGTATACAGCTATATTTAGCTTGTTTTGACATTTAAAATCTGTGGCTGAGAAATAATTTTTGTTTGGGATGGTCAGAGATAAATTTGGTAAATCCCTAATTTTGAGTTCTGAGAAGTCACGTGAAATAAAAACTAACTGTAATACAACACTATAAAACCATGGCCCATTTGCTCATTCACGACACACAAAATGTGAAATAAATGAAAAGGCATGTGGACAAAACATAAAATCTAAGTCAAGTAATTTTATGTCAAAGTCATATTTATGCATATAAAAAATATTTTCCCAACAACAAAATTGTGGCTAGTGAAAATGCAGAGTGGCTAGTAACATTGGAAAACTACTAGCCACTGTGACTGGTGATCAAAAAAGTTAATATCAAGCCCTGATCATAGTGTATGTTGTGATAAGGGGTAACAGTGGTTTTGTACACTTACTGGACACTTTATTAGGTGCACCTGTCTAACTGCTTGTTAAAGGGTCACGAAACACCAAAACACATTTTTTGAGCTGTTGACAGTCGTATATGTGTCCCACACTGCTAAAAACACTATTAGGACACCTATATTTCACTAAAAAGTGTAAATTGGTTGTTTTTGCGTTATTTCAAGCAAATTCGTACTTCCGGTTTGAAACGAATTTTTGAAGCTGCGTCACGGTCATGACATAAGAAGCTGCGTCACGGTCATGACACGGTCATGACGCTGTATTCCAGCGTGCAGACTGGGCGTCTGTGCCAGAATGAGTCTTATTACGTCTTACAGTGTGATGCATTAATGCATGAGTAAGGCTTGGTTCAAACCAATCAGTGCGCTCTATTGTGCAACTTCATTAATATTCATTAGTGTCACAGTGTTTTCACGACAGAGACGCCACTTTGTGTTGGCAAAACAAGCGTGAAGTGTTGCTTTTATAGTTTGCTGCCGTTAAATTTTGTTTTCATTTTCTCTCTGTGAGAGCGCAGCTGGCGTCACGTGTGAATTAACAGTGTACGCGACGCTCGACACCAATAACTTACGTGTCTAAGGAGGATTATTGTTTACCTGAGAGCTGTTTTCATCTCCAAACGCTGAGATCTGGATTCGCTTGTAGTATTCTCTTCATAAAGACGCAGCTCTAGTTACTGGTGATTGTCCTGTCTCTACAGATTTGGTAAGTGAGCGACCAGTGCTCTTTGTTTATTCAGTTTGCTCGTATCGAACTAAGTTAACTATTGCACCGAGTCACCGAGTGTAAACACGTTAGCATCACAACCAAACTTTAACCTCGTGTAAGGTTTTTACCGCATTTAGTGACCGGAATAACACACGCGGCTTTCTGACGCTACCTGCCGTGTGCATCTAAGTTTCCGGGAAATGCGGAGGTTTTTTTCTCTCATTCGCCGTGCGGTATCAAACATTGCATGAAAAATACACGCTTAGAGCAGTTCCTCGAATCAAATATCTCGTTTGTCGCGAGGGGCATGAATGAATTCCCTGAATGAAAGAGCCAAACTGCAGTTAAAGTCCAATATTTAATAATTTGGCAAATAATTTGACTACAGATGTCCATGTAGGTTAAACACCATCACTTTCTCCTGTCTGTGTATTTTGAATCTGAAACTCGCGCGTGCCCAAATAGACACTCCCACACCCTCCCACTTTAGTTCCTCCGACACTCCCCCCTAAACAGAGCTGGACACGCCCACTTTTCTGACTTTTCAAAGTAGAGGTGTGAAAACACCCTGCTGAAACGAGTTGGTTTCATGGCCCTTTAACGCAAATTTCTAATCAGCCAATCACATGGCAGCAACTTAATGCGTTTAGGCATATAGACATGGTCAAGACGATCTGCTGCAAGCATCAGAATAAGGAAGAAAGGTGATTTATGTCACTTTAAACGTGGCATGGTTGTTAACTAGTTAAACTCTTTACATTTTACATTTTCAAACAAAAATGGTAGCAAGAATCGCAAGAATGTCCTGGATAGATTCAAAACAATGGTCAAAAATTGACAGCAAATCGGAACCGGTACCGGGTCTGTGACGTCATCGAATTTCGCTTTAAGATTTAAAGGGCTAGCGTTGCACCAGACTCCCTTAAGTGGTTTCGTTTGAAAGTGTAAAATCTTTATTTTATGCACATATGCATGACTTTGGTTTTTATTCTACTGTACAAAAGTAATTTACACTTAAGTACACAGTATTTTGGATACCTGAGCTGGGTATTTTACATTGGTTCATCTTCATATTTTTCATATGGTTCATAAATGACAGATTTACAAGTTATAGCTCAAATGAAAGCTCTTGCCAGTGCTTGTATGGTTCCAGCATTCTTTTTACTAAATTATATTAACTTATCAAACAGTTGTCGAATAAATTGCGATGTTTCCATGCCGCAGAAGTGAAAACAATACATTTATGATTACTAAGCAGCCCCAGATAGCACAGACAGCTGTCACATCTTACCTTATGCTGTGCGCTTCAGGGCCATTTCTCTCTGTTTTTGAGGTGATGTGCATAAGTAATCCTTTTATATGTCTGACGTGGTCCAAACACAGTAAATTATGTTTGATCAAACAAAAGAATAGTGAAATATGAAAACAATGTTCAGTCCCTGTGGCTTGTATAGCACCTCTCATCAGTTGGAATACAATAACTTTTGCATAGATTAAGGTAGAGACATTTTTTCCTATGATTACAGACATTTGCTGGAACCACCAAAACTAATTACAGCAAGCTAGACCACACAGAACCTAAAAGGTACACTTTCAAATTTGAGTTTATAAAAAAAAATACAAAAAGCGACTCTTTTTTTAGGTGTTTATAATATCACAGAAAACATATACAGTTATTTTAAACATTTTCAGTAGTGTTTTATGAAAATTCAAAGGGTTTTACACCTCTGCATGTGGATTAGGGAAGCTTTTAAATTTGGTTAGGCAAAATCCAGGCGGAAATCCCAAAATAACTGCAGAGTTTAACTGGTTAATACCAGACGGGCTGGTCTGAGTATTTCAGAAACTGCTGATCTACTGGGATTTTTACGCACAACCATTTCTAGGGTTTACAGAGAATGATCCGAAAAAGAGAAAATATTCAGTGAGCGGCAGTTCTGTGGCCACAAATGCCTTGTTGATGCCAGAGGTCAGAGGAGAATGGCCAGACTGGTTCAAGCTGATAGAGAGGCAAAAGTAACTCAAATAACCACTCGATACAACCGAGATGTGCAGAAGAGCATCTCTGAACACACAACACATCAAACCTTAAAGCAGATGGGCTACAGCAGCAGAAGACCACACCGGGTGCAACTCCTGACAGCTAAGAACTGGACACTGAGGCTACAATTCTCACAGGCTCACCAAAATTGTACAATAGAAGATTGGAAAAACGTTGCCTGGTCTGATGAGTCTCAATTTCTGCTGCCACATTCGGATGGTAGGGTAAAAATTTGGCATCAACTGCGTTAAAGCATGGATCCATCCTGCCTTGAATGAACAGTTCAGGCTGGTAATGGTGTTGTAATGATGTGGATAATATTTTTTTGGCACACTTTGGGTGCATTAGTACCAATAGAGTATCGTGTCAACACAGCCTGGCTGAGTATTGTTGCTGACCATGTCCATCTCTTTATCACCACAGTGTTCCCATCTTCTGATGGCTACTTTCAGCAGGGTAACGCACCATGTCATAAAGCGTGAATCATCTCAGACTAGTTTCTTGAACATGACGATGAGTTCACTGTACTCAAATGGCCTCCACAGTCACCAGATCTCAATCTAATAGTGCACCTTTGGGATATAGTGAACGGGAGATTCGCATCATGGATGTGCAGCCGACAAATCTCCAGCAACTGTGTAATGCTATCTTGTCGATATGGACCAAAATCTCAGAAGAATGTTTCAAGTACCTTGTTGAATCTATGCCACAAAGGATTGAGGCTGTTCTGAAGGCAAAAGCGGGTCCAACCCAGAACTAGTAAGGTGTACCTAATAAAGTGACTGGTGAGTGTAAGTCCGAATGGTGTGGCAGGGGATAAAAAAAACTCCTATTTCAGTTTTCAGTGGTATTTGTATTACTATTTTCAAGAAAAAGTATTTTTCAAGTCTCATTTTGATTAATCTGAAACAATTCTGTTGCTGGTAAAGGAATATTTTAGGGACACGTTTTCAGTTTTCGGCCAAAAGAGAAAAACAACTGAAAGTATTAGACAAAAAAAGCTGTGCTGTGTGTTCAGAATGCTGGTTTTCCTCTCCCTCCAGCCATAGTCACCGAAAAAAAAGCGTTGCGCTTTGAAGCACATTTATTTCAACGTCTTGTGCCACACAAGGTTCAGTGTGCTGCTATGCCGACCAAAGCAGTGGAGCGCACCAGACTAGCTTACATCTGCGTTCAAAGTTCAAAATAGTTCAGTATACATATCTGTCAATCAAATTTAACTGTTCATATAATGCAGTTATTTTATTGGTTTGTGTTTTTTTCATAATTTACATTATTGTGTTAAATAAAAAATAAAAAAACCTTACAAAATTACCAGAATTTTATTTGCTAAAATAATAAATAATTGTTACAAAGCATTTTCAGTTTTAGTTTTCAATAAAGTGCATCCAGAAAATTTGACCCAGAATTTTTATTTCAGTGCATCCCTATATTATTTATAAGTTATTTTAGGACTACGGGTTTCCTTCAATATCTTTCATTATTTGTTTCAATTCAATTCTAAAATAAGACTTATACACCAATGAGACTTAAGAAGCTTGTTTGCAGCTTGTATATTTCTCAACAATGCCATGTGAAATTGACATAATAACTTTTTACTCAAACCCATACCAAATAAACTCAGAAATCAGTCAGAAATCAGAAATAATTTTGAAATGATTCATTGGAAGTTTAACTTGACTCGTGTTTGAAACACAATTATCAGAAGGACAAATCATATGTATTTATATCCCCATGCTTTCAGCAACAATGTATCAGGTAAAGTCATTAGAATTTATTTTGTATGGGAAATAAATCTCCCAGCCCAAATTCAGTTTAGGCACAAGCTTTAAACATTCAGCCTATAGAGGTATAATGCATGATGATGCATCACCAGCATAAACAGAGCCTAAAGAACAGAACGTACTCTCCAATACTTTCAGTTGAGGAATACAAAAGTTATCACTGATTCTGATTATGTGGTGACTTAAGGGTTATGTTACGACACACTGTAACGGCCCTAAAGAAGTTACAACAGTGTCATGTGAGGAAAAGGAAATGTGATGTTGTGAAGTTTCGGAGAGAGCGCTGGTTTTACTGGACTGCTCTGTGCTGCAGGAACGGATGCACAGATGTCAAAGAGGGGCCAGTGTCTGACATGTCCACACTGGACAGAGGTGAGTCCCGTCTCTACGGCCCCTCCAAACCCAGCCAGCTCAAACCTCTGTGATAAAGGCTTTCTGATGAATACAGATGCTGCTCTTTTAGTCAGATTTCCAGCATCTTGATTAGATTATCTTTTTCTTATGCTTCTCTCTAAGTGCATTTGATTAATAGTGCACGAAGAGACTTTCTGGTTGTGTAATGTGCTGTGACTGTGGTGTTTCTGTAACACAAAACTAAACATTAGTGTAACACTAATTGAAAATGTGCATGAAAGCTTGAAGTTGCATGTTGCATGCTGCATGCCAAATGCGAGATGTACTAATATGATTGCGTTATTCATTCAGTTACCACTTTTTATTGAATAATAGCTAATATTAAAGGGGTGATCGACTACAATATCATATTTTAAACTTTAGTTGATGTGTAATGTAGCTGTGTGAACATAAACGACATCTCTGATTGTAAGACACTCAAAGTTCAATGCAAAGGGAGACATTTTCTTTTACAGAATTAGCTTAGCAAAGCCTACACCGAACAAAGTTTGGGGACTACAAAAAATTCAAACTGGTTAATAAGATTATAAACCCTTTAGGTTTACACGCATTCACCATGTGCATGCAGTCAAGGGGCGTGGCCAGAGGCGCTGTAACGTAGCACGGAAAGCTAAAATGTTGTCCAAACGGTGCTATTTCCACAGAGCTTGTTCTGTTTCTGTATTTGGGCTTCCAAAGGAAACTACACAAAGAGTGAAGTGATTACAATTTAATTTTAATTATGTTCCAGAGAATTATAAAAAATATATATAGTTAGCATTTAACAAAGGAGAACTTCCAGAATCTCTCCCAGTTCATTGCTGGATTTGGTAAAAAACTCCTAAAAGGAGCAGCAGCTCCAACCATAATAGCAGAAGCTGTGGATAGAGAGTCATAACCTGTAAGTATTTTCTTTGGTTAAAATTGATCTCTTACATGCATAGTGTCTAGCGTTAATGATATATTGTAGCAAGGACGTAAACAAGAATATAAACAATCGGAAATGCTGTTTGGCATCGTTAAACTACAAATTCGGATTTATCAGTCAAATACCTGTGAACATCCACAATCTTCTGCAATGCTGCTGTGTCTCTCTATGCAGCCACTTTCCGTGCGTTCTACATATCAAATAACAAACTAACAAAAGAAGTGAATGTTTTCTATTACTTACACACCCGAATATATGTAAAAAACACTTATCAGAGTTTATTTTAGAGAGCATACGTGAGGTTTAGCTATGTCCTTTGTGTCATATTCTGTCTGATTCAGACACAAACTGATACGGCTAACAGCTACTCTGACTGACAGTGTTTACACAGTGCAAAAGCGCAAGCTTGAAGGGGCATGCCGCTTTTCCTGGTGACGTGGAGCCGATCCGCGAATCACAGCACATTATGTTAGCTGACCAATCAGAGCCTCTTGAGGGCATGCGTTTTCACATTAGCCAAGTAGCTGTAAATAATCAAAGTAAGCTAAATAAAAAGAATGTGATTTTCTACAAATTAAGCATGAGCACACATTGTTTGCATCTTATAAATATAACCATGCCTTAAAAAACACTCTGGACCACCTCTTTAAAATTCATGTCATTATTTCATGTCCTTTTTTTCTGTTTCCTCTTTCCCTTTATTATTAGCCTTTGGCATGTCTAGATACTGATTGTATAGTGGCTGACAATAAATGATGCCTTTTAATAATAAAAAAAAAACACTCTTGTGTTTCTATTTTCAATGGATGTATGAACAAATGTAACAGAAGAAATAAATCGTAATTTTGATCTTCAAAAAAATTTATAAATGTTTAATAAATACAATTACATTTGAACTGGTATTTATTATTAAACTGATCAAATGTTTCTTCTGCATGAATTAAAAATCTCTGATATTGGTCTGATATGAAATCTATTATTCATCCTTAATCCTCTAACTTTAACAAACACTCTTGAAAATGAAGGATTTTATTTGACATCCATTAAGAAGCTTAAACAACTATAAAACCTTTCCATCACACAAAAGGTTCTTTACATTACTAAAATGTTCTCCACACAAAAACAGTGTTGAGGATCTCGAGTATAATTCATGTGCAAAAACAATACAATGAAATAATAATAAAACCTTTTGGATTCTTCATTTTTAAGAGTGATGTTAAATGGAATCATGGACATGGAATAATTATTATAATGCAGTTAATGAGTTTATAACATCTCTCACATTTCTATTTCTTTTCTCCTCAAAAGACCCTCCATCTTCTGTTTCTGAGGTGGACGATGAGGAAAGTGTCTTGCTCCATAGCCCCGAGAATTCCCCAATGTTCTCCAGCTCCACCATCGATGCTTCTTTGCTCAACAGCATTTTGGATAATGATGGCGAGAGTCTTGTTCCTAATGATTTTGCTCCCCAGATCTCACCACCACCAGAAAGCAGCATGGAACCATTCTGTTCTGACATTGATGTTAATAGGGCATTGCAAGATTTCATAGACAGTTCAAACATCCTGAATAGCCCACCCTTTTCAGGGTTGTCAGATGATCCAGGTAACATCCACCTTAGTAACGGTTTTCATGATATTGCCTACAACATGCCGCTGACCCCATAAATTTCATCCGTGACCCACGATGAGGTTAGTTAAAACTTTCATAGCTGTGATTTAAGTTGTAAATAACTACCAATTAGAATTGCAGAAAGTTTATTAGAATTCCTTTGAGTTTTTCGCAGTACTGATTTCATTTACTTTACCCGCAAAGTGTGTAAATCTGTGTGTCTGCTTATCCGCTCATTTGACTTAACAGGGCAGCCCATTTCGAAACCAACATAGGCTCATTCTGAAAACATAGCTCTGTATACGTTTCTGGAGATTGTGGATTATTTAGCCAGAGATGTGTATGGCTTTATTTCGTCTTCCAAATAAACGCAACGGGTCACCTTTGCTTTTCTGGACTGCAATCCCAGTGATACCAGTTTGTTCGATAGCTTGAAACGTACGTTGGCAAACTTTAGATGGAGAGCGGAGTTGACCGCGATGATGGTGTTTCAAGTGTGGTGAAGAACGGTTCCAGAAAGCAAATTAATAACAGGGTGAGAATGTGGTAAAATCTGAAAATGTGGTAGAAAATCAAGGCTTTTCTTTTTCTGAATTGCTTTTTAAAACACTGCAGTTGTGTTTAGGATACGGGGTGGGCAGGCCAGTAGGTGCTTTTCAAAGTACTATTGGTAAGGTTCAGGAAAGGGGGTGGGTGGGGTGATTGGTCAATTGTTCAGTCAGTCGGTGAGTTTGTCAACAGTGGCATCTGGTGGATTTGCATGAGAAGAGCAGGCGTGAATGGCACTCGCAAGAGAGAGATCTCAAAAAGTGTACACCTCGGACTCTGGATTCGTGAAAACAAAAACTGCCAAACAACTTGTGTCCTGGGATATATTTAGCTCTCTCCAGAATTGTATACAAGAGTACATATTCAGAATGAGCCTGGGGTGTTTATAACAGTAATAAAGGTAATTGCAACCTTTTATATCATAATTCTGACTTCTTTTCTCTTTTGTAGTTTTTATATCTCAATTTATACACTGTAGGAAATGCTGCGTACTACACAATCAATTTGTGTTATGAAAACATAAAGCAATTAACTTAGTTACCTTAGCAGTTTTAACTAATTTAACTGGATCGGACAAAATAATTAAGTTGTCCCCCCAAAAAACTAATGTGTTGTTTCAGCTCAGTTTAAATAAGTAATTTTTTGAGTTTAAATAGAAAGAATTTCATGCTATAAAAAGTCAGAGTTGTCGAAGTTAACTTGCAGTTCTTTGTAGATGAAAAGAAACATCTGATTTATGAGATGTAAACTTGCAATTGATAGAAAATATGTCAGAACTGTGAGAATAAAAGGTTGCTTTCATTGTTATTGATTTTTCGATCTTCTGGCTGAAACAAGCTCTCATGCTTAGTCCATTAAGGCACAGATGTCAAACTCAACTCCTGGAGGGCCGCAGCTCTGCAGTTTTTCTCCAAACCTATCAAACACAGCTGATCCAAGTAATCGAGGTGTTCAAAAGAGTCACGATCACCTTGATTAGTTGGATCAGCTCTGTTTGATCAGGGTTGGAGCAAAATGTGCAATGCTGCGGCCCTCCAGGAGTTGAGTTCGAGACCTATTATCTAAGGGGACGGCTGCAAAACTAATGGCTATTTACTGTTCTGGTTTGTAAAATACACTGGTTATAGTCATTTTCATAAGACCTTTTCTTTCCTCTTCCTTTTTAAAGATAATTTTCCCTTTTAGTTTTATTATATTATTATTGTGTAAACCTACCATAAATCAAACAAATACATAAAACTGGCCTGGCCTGGCCCTGCCATTCATAAGCTGCTAGCATATATGTGCCCCAAAAAATGTTCTGGAGGGAAAAAAAAAGAGCACTTTTTTGTTTTTGGTAAGAACATTGAAATTACTATGTAATTATTTTTCCCCTTTTTGATCAACTTTTATCTTGGTTGAAAGAATCGTTTGTATTGCTTATTCAAATTAACTTGGATTTACTAGACAACTTATTGTAAAGTCATTGCGGTAACTTTATTATATGTTTAAAGCACCTTTTGTTATGTGAATCAGACATTAGCTTTGAGCTAATATTTCAAACATCTTAACACCTAACCCTAACAGCAGAATTGCTCAGCCTTTGTTTCTACGACTAGAAAATACTCTTCAAAATGACAGTAAAACTGTCTAGTTTAAAAGTGTAAAACACAGTCGTTGATGCAGATGTAAAAATGTTATCAAATGATGACAATACTATTTTTTATATATACCCTTTTTTTTTTTATAAATATCGTTGAGGTCACAATTATTAGCCCCCCTGTTTTTTTTCCCAATTTCTGTTTAACGAAGTTAACTTTATCTCTTCAACACATTTCTAAACATAATAGTTTAAATAACTCATTTTTAATAACTGATTTATTTTATCTTTGCCATGATAACAGAAAATAATATTTGACTAGATATTTTTCAAGACATTTCTATACAGCTTAAAATGACATTTAAAGGATAACTAGATTAATTAGGTTAACTAGGCAGGTTAGGGTAACTAGACAAGTTATTGCATAACGATGGTTGGTTTATAGACAGTCGAAAAAATAAATAGCTTAAAGAGGCTAACAACGTTGACCTTAAAATGTTTTTTTTTTAATTAAAACTTTTCTAGCCGAAAGAAAACGAATAAGACTTTCACCAGAAGAAAAAACATTATCAGACCTACTGTGAAAATGTCCTTGCTCTGTTAAACATCATTTAGTAAATATTTAAATAAAAATAAAAAATTAAAGGGGGGCTAATAATTCTGACTTTAACTGTATATATATATTTCTTTTTTAAGTAGTAAAGTTATTTCTGCTGCATCTAGCAAATAAATCTGCCAATTTAAAAAGTTGAAAATGCACTAAATTTTACCTTAAGTTTCATTTTTGAATCAAATATGCTGAATGTCAAATTGCTATTTTAAGAAACAGAATGTTGCTTTACTAGGATTTGAGCCACTTAAAACACAAAGTCAGTTTCTATTTCGCATAACCACTATTTTGCTGTAGGAAAGCGTGTGAATTCTGTACTTTTAGTTGGTTAAAGAGAGGTTTGATAGCTTCTAATTTAGTTAGCAAACACCCAGAGGAGATGATTGTCTCATCAAGGTACCAATATGTGCTTAATCGGATACCATAAAACTTCTAGAAAGCTTTTGTTGAAGTTTGTTGAAAGTTTAATATTCTGTTACCCCAGTTGAAGGAAGTTACTTTTGAGCTTCTTTTTTATTGTGGATTTTTGGTTTTTGAAATGTTTTGATTTAAAGTAATTTCAGACTGATTGTTTGACTATTTTTGCACTGTGATTTTTGATGACAGAAAAATGCACTTGAGCGAAAGAACAGAATATTTCTGATTTCTTGCTAAACTGAATTACATTTTTGTGTAACCAAGTAATTTGGACTGTTTCTTATTCTTTTTAAACTAAAATGACATACCAAGTCATTGTGATTTAATCACTTTGTTGAATCATTGAATTGTGTTACCCCACGAGCACTTATGTTGTGAATTTGTAGACTTTGTTTCAGATGCATGGAACCAAGTTTTATGTTGGAAACACTGTCACTTTTCAAGAAAAAAAAATAGTTTGTTTATATGTGTAAACAAGTCCTTTGTTAGTCTTGTAAGTTCAAACTGAAGTGTATTAACAATGGCACTGTGTTCTCCAATAAAACATTGAATGAAAGATCAAGCCGTCAACATGTCTTACTTTTTGAAAATCAATTATTATCTGATCAGGCAGACTGTTTTATTTAATGCAGTGATGAGATGTTTTGCGTCACGGTGGCACAGTGCGTAGCATGTTCACGTTGCAGTTTGATGTCCCTTACCGTGTTCGTATGGGTGAATTGGGTAAAATAAATTGTTTGTGGTGTATGTGTGTGAATGAGTGCGTATGGTTGTTTCCCAGTGATGGGTTGCAGCTTGAAGGGTATCCACTACGTAAAGCATGCTGGATAAGTTGGCGGTTCATTCCATTGTGGTGACACCAGATTAATAAAGGGACTAAGCCGAAAAGAAAGTGAATGGATGGTGAGATTTTGTGTTACATTAGCTCACAGTATCTGTTTCTTTAAACTGGGCTAAAATAAGATTTGACACATTTTACTTTTGACATGATTTCTTAAAGACTTAAACTCTGGATTTTGCATGTTGCAAAATTTTAAACGTCAATGCCAAGAATAGTATAATAACCAACTCTGATTGGCCGTTCTGAGATGATATGTGCTTATAAATATTTTGACATCAAAGTTCTAAATCCAGCTTGATCCGGGCTTTGACGTCACTTGTCATAAATCTGTCTTGTTTTGCAATGTTGGGAATTTGAGCTGATTATGCAGTCAGGAAGACTTATCTGGACCTGTGGAACTTCTGTTTTTGTGCATGTAAGTTTCTCAAATTAGATAATAAAAGCTTGAGACCAACTGGACCAAAATGTCATTAAACATTGTTTGATTTTACTCAGCCTGCTTAAAAACCCAATAATACATTCACCAGTAGTGATATATGTATATTTGCATATTATTTTTCATTAGTACTCCGAATCTCAGCTTCATGGGAGTGACGATGACAAAACCAAAGCTTGTCATCTATAAGTGTTTAGAAGTACTGCATCAGATGATTTTATGGGCCAGAAAACAGCAAATATTATTGGATTGTGTAGCACCCCAGGGAATAGGAGTTGGTTTTCATGACTGGATAAAATTCACAAATGCTCTAAGCAAATTTGGTAATGTTATAACTTAATTGACACAGGCCTTATAACTTAAAATACACGTCAAGCTTGATAACAATACAACAAAACATATCGACAAAACAAGACAACTGAGTATCGGAGGAAAAGTGTCATCAAAGGAATCATAAAAAAAAAAAAACATGTTAAGTGTAAAAATTATAATGGAAAATGACAGGCAATTCAGCACGAGCCACAGAACTGGGAGAAACTGGGTTATTTAATTGCTGGGTAATGTATTGTTCCTATACTATGGATGTCAATGGCTGCTTTTTTCTAACATCCTTCAAAATAACTTTAAAATTCATAAATGTTTAGAAATCAGTGTGGATATAGTGGAGTGAACGATCCCTTTAAGTGCATAAAGTTTTTTCAGCAAAAAATCATTAAATTACATTGTTTGTGTGCCTCAATGTAATTTACATGGTTTCTGAGCCTGATGGACACACATTACTGCTGATAAATAAGGAATTCAAGTTAGAACAACTCAAAATTGACCACAAACTCCGCAAGATCTAATACTGAAAAAGAAACGCTTGCCGCTGACTTTCTGGTTGATCAATTTAGCGTTCATGTTAATGGGATTGTGTTAAAGTGCTCTAAGTAGGCCAATCACAACAGATCAGACAAATATAGAAAGTAATTTTATTTCAAAACTCTCTGAGAATTAAACTGAGTTGAAGCTGCTTAAACAGAAATTGCAATCTTTACAGCAAAATAAAGGCCCTGAAAGTGATCACTTTAAAAACTGTAGCTTTCAGTCATATCCAGATCGAAATGACTTTATTAATATATGGAATAAATATAGATAATTCCTCGATTGTAAGTCTATTTGGACAAAAGCATCTGCTAAATGTAAATGTAATAAGCCTATTAGCTAGTAAATTCAAAAAGTGTTTGTGTTTGTATTTACAGAACCATATCCACCCTGTAAAATGAGGATAACATTAATGATAATAAATGTACCTTTAGTTCTACAGACAACGAAAAACATTTTGCTGATTATTTTATTTGAACAACTTAGAAAGAAAAAATGTTTTAATTGGATCTTGAAATTATGTGCAACACACAGAAATGCATTCCCTGTTAAATATTTATATTAACAAATCCAGCTTCTTGTTTCAAACTACTTGAACAGTAGAAACAGCACATAAGTGCAAAAAAGGACTTAAGAAATCCTTGTGGTTTCACGTGTGAGGTAATAAACACAGCAGCAACACATGTTTGTGCTTGTTTTCTCCATCACCCCACTTTAAACTTCCATGTTCATTTGTGCTCGAGGTTACAAATATTCTTCATGTCATTATGAGTCACTGCTGTGGCAGCACACATTTGCCTTTCCTTTATGCAATCAGAAAAAAAGGAAACGAAAGAGAGAAAGTATGTGTGTGTTTTCTGATATTTAATAGACTTGGAAAATCCCACAGCTTAAAAAAGACATACTTACAGATCATGACAGACATTGTCTAAAACAAGCAGAATTCAATAGTGCAAGCTTACTGACAAAATAAATAAGTTGAATGTATAACAAAAATATAACAATTCATAAAGCTAGACTTGACTTTATGCATGTAATATACAGTTGAAGTCAGAATTATTAGCCCCCCTTTGATTTTTAAACATTTCCCAAACAATGTTTAGCAGAGCAAGGAAATTTTCACAGTATGTCTGATAATATTTTTTCTTCTGGAGAAAGTCTTATTTGTATTATTTTGGCTAAAAAAAGCTGTATAAAAGCAGTTTTTAATTAAAAAAAAATCATTTTAAGGACAAAATTATTAGCCTCTTTAAGCTATAAATTTTTCGACTGTCTACAGAACAAACCATTGCTATACAATAACTTGCCTAATTACCCTAACCTGCCTAGTTCACCTAAATAAACTAGTTAAGCATTTAAACGTCACTTTAAGCTGTATAGAAGTGTCTTGAAAAATATCTAGTCAAATATAATGTACTGTCATCATGGCAAAGATAAAATAAATCAGTTATTAGAAAGGAGTTATTAAAACTATTATGTTTAGAAATGTGTTGAAAAAAGTATTTTCTCTGTTAAACAGCAATTGGAGAAAAAATAAACAGGGGGGCTAATAATTCTGACTTAAACTGTACAAACCATTCTCCACAGAATAAATAGAGTGCATCTTCATAATTCATTCTTAATTTTGATAGGTTAAAGCTATGAAACTTTTATGAAAACGATCTTTTGTGCATGTACATTGTAACTGCTTTTAAGTGTAAAGGAAACACATAAAGATCAAGAGTGAAAGAGTGTAAAGATATATGTGCTCAACAAACAAGGCTATTGCCTCCTAAAAAATATTAAAATAAAAATTTCTGACCTGCAGAAATGAGTAGTCAACATTTTCACTGCCATAACTGTTTTCAAATTATAAATTCACAACGAGTATAATGCCAGCTTATGGTTTTCATCGGCTGCCGATGAACAACATCTACTTTGACCCACCATCAAACTCTTTTGCTGGTTTATGTTAATAAGAATAACTTATTGTCAAGACAAAACATTGACTTAAAGGGACAGTTCATCCTGCCATGCTTCACTCATACACTAGTTGTTTCAAACTTGTTTGAATTTCTTTCTTCTGTAGAACACAAAGAAAATATATGGATCAATGTTGGGAAAAAATGGCTTTAAAGGGCACTTATGATGAAAATCATCTTTTGTAGCTGTTTGGAGAAAACTGTGTGCAGGTATAGTGTCAACTGTCATAATGGAGTGATAAACACAAGTCTCTTTTTTAAAGGTTCCTGACATTAAAATAGGACCTAAATCCCAGCGATTTTGAGGCCCACCGCAACGTGACATAGTAAAGCATATATTTTTTGCAAATAAACTTTGATTAGGGGAGAAGCAGCTCATTTGCATTTAAAGCCACAGACTAAAACAGCTCCTACATTATATAACAGATTCTACATTATATAATAAATTATATGATGGATATCTTGAGCTGAAACTTTCCAGACACATTCTGGAGACACCCAAGGCTTATCTTACATCTTGTAAAAGGAGTAAAATAGGTGTCCTTCAACTTCCAGAGTATTTTTTTTTATCTTACCATGGATGCCAATGACTGTTTTTTTCCATCATTCTTAAGAATATCTTGTGTGTCCAAGAGAAGAAAGAAACTCAAACTAGTTTAAAACCACTTGAGCGTGAGTATATGGTTTGAACTTTTCAAACGTCATATTAAAGTTGCAAAATTAATCTCTTACATCGTATCTGTGTCCTAATGTAATGTCCTAATTCTTACCAATTTCTGGCCCTGATGGACAAACATTATTAATGCTTATATATCAATAAAGACTAGAGCTGAATATTCGATATGTTAATGAAAGTATTCAATCAATTTTGGATCTTTACAATAGGGACACTAAAATCACTGAACTTGATCATTAAAGTCCGGAACCGGAAGCTGCAACCGCTATTTTTTTGTATTGTGACGTGGTTCCATACAGAAGCAGAATATTAAATGAGTAAGCAGTGGGCGTGGCTTGTTTTTTCTACTGTGAGCTGAATGAATATAAGGTAGGCATTTCATTCAGAAAGATCGAGAATGGGGTTTGGCGAGAGTTATTACAACCTAACAGACTCCTCCTGCTCACTATTTTCATTTGTTGTCAAAGCTGACCATTGGAGCAGCGTGATTTAATATTTTAGCCACGGCCATTTGCTAAGATAATTGTAATCTGATGATTTAACTGAAAACAAACAGGAAGTGCATTCTTAGATTACAATTAAAGATTAAAAGGGCAAACTATTAATTTTTTCTTAATCACATGCACAGGTGAAATGTTCACCACACAACTAGCAATGTGAGCTATAACAACATCATGGTTAGTTTTGATTTCTTGGGCACTTTAAAAACGGTAGCTTTAGTCATATCCAGTTTGAATGGACTTATTACAGTACCCTACTTTAATTATCTTGATGTAAACCAATGGGTTCTTCCAAACCATCTTAGTGGATGTGCAGCTTTGCTCAGTAGGTCTTTGTAGGCCTGATTAAACTGCCGGTTCATTGCTGCATACAACAAAGGGTTAATGCAACTGTTTAACCAAGTGAGGTTTGCACATATCATATGAATGACCTGTGGTGCACGATTTTTCTTATCAGCAACATTTAGCAGCAGAAATGGGGCAAAACATCCAACAAAACACAAGAAGACTGTGAAGCACATTCGTGTTACACGCTTAAATTCATTGTCCTCTCCTGAGTTGGCAGCTGCTGGAGTGTTCTGGATTACTACAGGAGATGCTTTACTAGTTGTTTCACTTGAGGCATGTTGAGTGGCATTTTGTGTGGTTGTTTGGCCTTCCTGTGCTTGTTTCCCATGCTGCTCTGCCACTGCTCCATCACTGCTGATCTCACAGCTCTGAGTTGTTGAGGCTCCAGCACTGATGCCACTGTCATCCGTTGTCCCTTCTGCTTCAGCCTGCTTGCGTTTCGATGAGCGACGACTGGGCCTGTACTTTAGAAAAGCCTTGGCGGCTACACTCACTTTTCGGTAGATTAGAAAGTAGAAAAGACCTACGAAGCCTAGGCCTAAGAAAAAGTACAGGAAAAGCAGCACAGTGGTGTAAGGCCGCCCTTTAGTGCGGTGAAAACTGCAGGTGCACACTTGTGGGGCGAATACATAGACGGGCCACAGAGGGGCAAAACTGGCCAAACCCAGCACCCAGGAGGAGATAAGGAGAGCTGCCACTCCTCGCTGGGACAGAAGTAGACGGGCACAGCTAGAAGTGCGATGCGCAACCACCAGGTAACGGCTCATAGCAATGAGGCACAATGTTATGATGGACACGCTGTTGGACAGAAATAAGAGGAGTCCAAACATACGACACCACGTGGCTCCACCCCTCCAGTGCAGGTGTAGATATGAGTCAACGCTGACCGGTTGAAGTATTGTGCAGTATAGGAGGTCAGCAAAGGCAAGGTTTACGATGAGGACGTTGAAACGAGTCCTCAGATTGGCATCAGTCACAAAGGCGAGAACTGTGAGAATATTCCCTATAGTTCCGACTATGGTCACTGCTGATCCCAAGAGCACACCAAAGTAACGGTAGCCCTCAACAGAGGGGGACGCACAAGAAAAGGAATCATTTCTCAGAAGGTCTGTGTCATTCCACATCCTGAAAACAAACAACAACAACAACAGGTTAAGCTCATCAAAATCAGTAAAGATCCTTTTATTCAAATAATAGGCTATATGGACAGCTAGTGTTTTTCAGGCAATGATGACCCTGCTGAAAAATCCAGCTTAAACCAGCCTAGGCTGGGTGGCTGGTTTTAGCTGGTCGACCAGCCTGGTTTTAGAGGGGTTTTGGCCATTTCCAGGCTGGTTTCCAGCCATTTCCAGCCTGGTCTTAGCTGGTCAGGCTGGAAAATGACCAGCAAAATCCAGCTAAAACCAGCTTGACCAGCCTGGTTTAAGCTGGATATAGCTGGTTTTGGCTGGACTCCCAGCTTGGCTAGGCTGGTCAAGCTGGTTTTAGCTGGTCATCTCCCAGCCTGACCAGCCAAGACCAGGCTGGAAATGGCTGGAAATCAGCCTGGACGTGGCCAAAACCCCTCTAAAACCAGCCTGGTCGACCAGCTGAAACCAGCCAACCAGCCTAGGCTGGTTTAAGCTGGATTTTTCAGCAGGGGAACTTCTGGTGAAAAGGTAATGTGACTATTTTTAATTTTATAAGGTTCCTTTTACAGCTCTGATGTTGCAATAAAAATATAATCAGTTAATTAAGCATCCAGTTGGTTGTTAAAGCATAAAAAGAGACCAAATAGTCATTAGCAACAGGCTAGCACAAAAACTCCATTAAAAACACTGAGGTAAAATTATCTTACATATTTAAAAAATATATAATTTAATGCAGTGCTTCTTGTTTTGTCTGGTATCTACTTTAAATCGTATCTCAGCTAGGTAGTGAATATCTCTAGATTATAGAAATCTAATCTTAAACACAGTGATTTTGTTTGGGATGACAATTCACTGGAAGCCCTTGGGCTGGCTGACTGAAATTAAAAGTCTGTGTGCATATACCCCATTGGCACATTTGATTGGTATTCTTGTGAGAACAAAACATCCTATGCTGTCATGTGTATTATTTTAAATGTTACTAATTTGAGGGCACTACATATCACATCCTGTTTTCTTAGCACCTAGGCTAATATATGGTGCTTATACTGCCCACGTAAAAACAGTAAGTTCAACGTTTCATAACAAGGCAACAGTTTCAGGAAGTAATTTATTTTCTCCACAATCAGGTATTCATTTTTAAACAAGAACTGATGAAACTTTAAAGACATGTAATGAGCTCTGAGGTTAATCGGTTTTATGGTGTGATTTTGTTAAATCCATTTGCACACATTAAATCAACTTATTCTTAATTTCTGCAAAAAAGACCACATTGTCCATGATGATATGCTATAAAATAATTAATGAAATGCTTTTTAAAAGATACATTTATTATGAAAAAATCCTAAATAAACGTTTACTGAGTTAAATTTTTTGTTGTATTTTGAAAGAAAGTTGTCCAGCGTTTGAATTTCGCGCTCTAAATTTGAAAACATCTTTTGTCTTTCGACCGTTACACCACCTGTGGACGCATTCATGCAACAACAAGCTCGTTAGTGCTCGGAGACAGAGGACACACCAGTTTCTCAAAGAAAAACGACTTTTTTATTTTAAAACGTAAGTACCAGTAACGTTAACTTAATATGTGTTTTATTAAACTGTTGTTTGAAGCAATTAACTTGCTTGCACGACGGTCCGAATATCGTGACAGGATTCCCCCAGGCTCGTTTACTTTAATAATGCTAACGTTATTTATAATCGTCTATGCCTCGTCACATATCTGTCTGACTAAAATGAACTTAAATTAGAGTTATTATGTGAGTCTGACAACATATTTACATTATGAGATATGTTTTTAAAGTTTGGATTTTTTTAGAAGGCCTGCTAGAAAACCCTGATATGTACGTTACGCTATCTTTACATTGAAAAAGCCTTAAAGCTGAAAAACCACTCAGGATGCAGACAGGTATTAATTTCTAATTACAAAGAGGTAAAAGATAAGTCTTTGAGAGTATTTATATTGAACTTAAAGGGATAGTTCACCAAAAAGAAAAAATACCTCAACAATTACCATTGAATGTAGTTTTAAAGTTTAATGATTTTTTTTATTATGGTGAGCACAAAAGAAGTTATTTATTTGTTTAATTATTCATTATATTTTTTTTTTATGTAGTAAGAATGGTTGCTATCACTCATTGGCTGCCATAGGAGAAGATAATACTTTTGGAATATGGAAGTCAGTGTTTCACAGCAAGCAGAATTTTCCAAAATATCTTACTTTGTGTTTAACAAAAGAAAGAAATTCAAATAGGCTTTGAACAAGTGAATGGTCAGTAAATGATGACAGAGTTTTCATTTTTTTCCTTTAATTTAGCTTTCTTAAAGTAGCATGTCAAAGCGACGTGTACTACATCTCAGATTGTTCCAAATTCAAACTCCTGTGACTTTCTTTTACAGAACGCAGATTAAAATATTTTGATAAACATTAACATATATATATATATATATATATATATATATATATATATATATATATATATATATATATATATATATATATATATATTTTTTTTTTTTTTTTTTTTTTTTAGGCTAAAATATTTTCCTTTTTAGGTGAACCACTGCTTTAAACTGTTGGTCAGAGCATTTTAATAATAGACCATTTTGAGGGATGTCAACAAAAACATTTGTACATTTTGTTGTACATTTTTAATTTCTATAGCCTCAGAGAATCCAAAAAGAGCCACATATTGATAAATAATGTTATGATAGCTGTTTTAAGATTAAGTTATGATTGAATTGCCTCTTGTTACAGTTAAGAAATAGTTTGATAACAAGCAGGAAATGTTCATGGGTCAATGAACATTTATAAAGCATAGTTATAATCGTGGGAGTTTTTGTCAGACATCAATTTCATATTAAAACACATTTTTCACTTTATCTGTACACTGAAGTAAAGAGGACAAGAGAACCAACAACACAGTTGAACACAACACAACAAAGAAATACATTTTGGGGGCTGTCAGTGGCTTACCTTGCGACAGCGGTGGTGTCCATCCACTATTTGAACTGTTTTTTCTGTCTTATCCTCTGTTCCTTTTTTCAGTTAGCACATTTGTGTGTGTGTGTACATTTGTGTCTCTTTTCTCAGTTTCATTAAATAGACTCTGCAGCCACGCCTCCACCACTTCATAGCTGTTATTTTAACAAGGTATGTGTGCACATGTTTGAGACATCCATGATTAGATGTGAGGTCATTGTGGGCAAACTCTGTTGCACAATCCTGGAAGAATTTTTCGCAGTACCGGTATTTTGCCAATAGATATGAAGAAAGAAAGAAATGTCAGCAAACATCTTGCTGATTTTTTTAACTTTTCTAATTCAGTTCTTGTGGTAAATGTTAATACCGTTTTTGTGAGTTGCTTAGCTAAGCAAATTAGAGGACTGGAATTACTGTAGAAAATTGAATTTCTGTCACTCTGTAAATCACTAATTGTTCTCCATTTTCATCTTTAATATAACAACTCATACAAGATGAAACTGTTCAAACAATTATAATAGCCACCATCTACAATGAAACATAATTGTCAAACAAAGTTTTATGGCACCAGTACATTATCCTAGACATAAAACCAAGTTTTTACACAAAGCACAACAAAATATTCATATGTTTCACATGATTCTATATTTGCTTGTTAATAAATAAAGCAAATCAGTACAGTGTCCTGATCTACTGAATTTAGAATAAGTTTAAACGTGTTTGCAGAAATTAAATCTGTGCAAAAATAAATCATGGTGGCACAGCTGTATTTGCTTAAGATAAGCTCCAGATAACAATGCTTTACAACTAAATCTACATAAATGAAACCGACATTTACACATTTAGCAAATTTTATCCAAAGCACAACAGAAAAACACATTTCAGTTAGTCAGAGCCAAAGATATTTTAAGATACTGTTATATGAGATATTATTTAAAAGCTGGATGGATGGATGGATGGATGGATGGATGGGTGGGTGGCTGGGTGGATGGATGGATGGATGTGCATGCATCATCTGCACGTTTGCAGCCAGATAGTCTCGCATAGCCAAACCTCAGACTGACGGATCATGGACCGAAAAATTTAGCTGCTTTAAATGGTCAAGGATCGTGCACAAATCTATATGCCTGACAGGTTAACCAACCAATCACATTTAGTTTTTTTTATGCCATGTCATGTTTAGGTGCTTGGGATTACTCAAGGTCTGAGACTTACAGCCAGACACTATTGGAGAGAGCTGAAGTAATTGTGAGCGAGTGCTCACACTGCCCTCTGTTGGGAAGATTTGTTACTGCAAAATACATCAAAAGACAATCAATTGCTGTATCTGAAATCTCCTTCTCTATACCATCAAACTCCTGGATTCCTGAAGGGCTGCGGTTCTGCAGTTTTGTTCCAGTCCTAATCAAACACAGCCGATCCAGCTAATCAAGGTGTTCAAGACTACTAGAGACAGCAGGTGAGAGTTGGAGGTGGTTGGAGCTAAACTGTGCAGAGTTGTGGCCCTAAAGGAATTGAATTTGAGACCATTGTTCTATACCACCATTCACTATTATCTAGTCCACTAATATAGTCACTTAAAGGAGTGAATGAAACAAGTGAGTAAATTCAAGCGCTCGTTTTGTTTGTGCTTTGCTGGTTGATAAATCCCTCAGAAGGATTATATTATACACTTTCTGGCCTTGTGATAGTTATTTTACACTATTTTTTTTTACACAACATTAAACATACACAATAAAAATCCTAATCCGAAAATACATGTTAAAGCAAATACAGTTCTATTAAAACATTAATTTTTAAAATAAAATGCACACCCACTGTTATGCCAACCAATGCAGTTATCTTATTCTCTTAACCATCCTACCGTAATTGTTCATAATCAAGACTTTTAATCAAGACAGAGACTTAATTTCTGACATGTATACAAATATTACCTTAAATAATTTTTTTTCAAAACTTACACTGATAGGACTGCGATAAGATGACATCTTGTGGTCAGACGTGGAAATTCATTCGGTGCAAACTGCATTATGGGGATCTTCTGTGTACCTGGTTTGTGGGATTGATTCAGTGCACTATATAACATCATAACTTTTCAGACATCACTAGAAATGGCTGCTTCCTCAAAGAATGTAGTATTTGAGGGTATAGGGGGTGATTCCAGATAAAACCAGTGTTGAATTAAATAAGTTGACTTACACAAGAAAGAGAGAGTCTCAACTAATAGAGTTAATCATAATCAGTATGCATTTACACCCCTGAGTGAAGACAGTGAAGCAGCTCTTTAAAATGCTGTTTTCACTGATATTCTGACTGTGCAACATTTCAAAAGCAGCACTGAATTACTGTCTTCTGGAAGAACAGGCATGTAAAGGTCTTATTCACAAGTGATGCGATTACAAGCCTGTTTTGAATCCATGGAGTTACTTCAACCTGCAGAGACACACACAACAAAAATTAATACTTCATTAAAAATGAAATACAAGAACAGTAACATGCAACATTTTATTTCTTTGTTATTGAAATAGATGTGTTTGGACTTACTGGCACAGCGCTGTTTGTAATCTGTGCAGCATTTTATAGCGCAGTTAGCATTGCAGTTGCAGCGATTGAGTATGCTGTACAACTCATTGCATCTCCCGCTACAGGAAGTTGAGACTGGAAATAAAAAAAAGGATAAAACAAACATACTTTCTAAATGAGTAAAAACTGTGTAGGTGTCTGAGAATGAGATTTACTTCGGCTGGCAGAGGAGCATGAGCTTGGCGGGCTGAAGAGAATGAATCCTGGCTTGTTTAGACTAATTTTGCTTGAGATCCAGCTCTGATACTGTGACACACGAGTGTAAACCCCAGGACTGTTGGGGTCGGCACAGCCATAACCCCAGCTGGTGATACCAGCCTGAACCCACACTGTACACAGCCGAGTCACCATTGGACCTCCAGAATCCCCCTACAAACAAAAAGGAAACCTGAAATAAATTTACCTTAAATATTCATTTGTTTCCCAGAGATGGGATGGAGCTGGAAGGGCATCCGCTGCGCAAAAACGTGTTGGATAAGTTGGTGGGTTCATTCCGCTTTGGCAACCCTGGATTAATAAAGGGACTAAGCTAAAAAGAAAATGAATGAATGAATATTAATTTGTTACTTTTTTGTTTGGATTTTAGGTTTTAGGATCTTATTTTTACCTATAAGTGAAGGCCATAAAGTTATTTTGATTGAAGTATATTGTTGCAATGTGTATTAATGATCTGCTTTTTTATTACCTGGCAGGTGTCTTTGCCTCCCTTTGCTAAACCAGCACAGATCATGTTGTTGGTGACAGTTCCAGAACCCAGTAGAGCATTACATCGATCATTGGCCACAACTGGAATCATAGTCTCCTGCAGAATCCCAGGAGCAGGTAGATTCACTGAACATTCACAAACACACATGTTAGGGCCTACTCACACTATGCCATCCGTACCATGCCCAGGCCCATTTCCCGGATCGTTTGAGAAGTGTGAGTGCGCTGAATCGGGCTCAAGCACGTTTCACTTGGCCGGCCCTGGCCCGGTTGGAAGAGGTGTGCCTGAGCGCGGTTCACTTGGGCTTTGGCGCGGTACGCTTGTGCGTGAGTGCAAAACGTGCCAAAGCCTGAAACTGAAAGCAAGACGTGACTTTTAAGGGACTGTTTCATATGGATTTATTAATCATTCTTACTGTTCAGAACTTTATTAAAGCAGCAAACTCCTCACTTCACGACAGCTGCACGGCTTCAGCAGACCTCCTCATTCCTGCAGCACGAGGGCTTTATGATTGTTTATGAGCGCCAAAAGTGGCGGATCTGTTCGGCGAAATATCTGACTGCGTGTCCCCGCATCCCTAAGGACTGTTTGGCGAAATATTTGACGGCATATCAAACGACTGAAACTATATAACTAGAGAAACCTCCACTGTGCTGCGCGGGCCGTATGGGGAGATGGGAGAGGGGACAAGCGTGCTTTGGACCGGTTCGAGGCAACTGTACCTAGTGTGAGTATGGCCTTATACTTAACTAGTGGTGTATTGGGTGGGTAGAGTAAATAAGTTTGTACTTTGTACCTCCAGCCCGAATATCTCCCCAGCCTGTGATCCAGCTGCTGGTGCCAGCACTATAGACACTGTTCTGGGCCGCCAGACAAACAGGTCTGATATAGTTAGTGAAGGTTACAGCTGAGGACAGGCGCAGCAGAGCGATGTCATTGTCATTTGTGTTGCTGTTGTAGGAGGAGTGAACGAACAATTTGGCAACATTTCTACTAGTTTCATAAATATTGATTCCCTGCTGTGTTCTCCTTCCCAAGTACACAACCAGAGTGGTTTCAGAGACACTGAAAACAGTCAAGAATGAGAAAGTGAGGAAAAAAGCAAAACAATTAATCAGCCTAGTATATTAGCGGTCAACACAAAACAGATGAGTGTGTGTTGATGTGAATCTCACCCAGATAAACAGTGAGCTGCGGTCAGCACCCATTCACTGCTGATCAGGGAGCCTCCGCAAAAATGACCTCCATACTTAGGGCTGTGCAGACTGACCTGCCAAGGCCATGAACCTGGAGATGCATTTACACCCCCAACAATGCGAGTGTTCAGAGGGGCTTGTCCACAAACTGAAAAATCATTTTCATGTTAGCATTTTTGCATTTTGCTACTTTTTGGCTTGATTTCAACATATGAAGAGTGAGAAGAACTCTTACCATTCAACTGAGAATGTGAACCTGGAAGGTAGGAAATAAAGTGCAGATTAGAAAAGTTTAATCTTAATTTGATGAACTCCCTCATCCTTTCAGTTCATTGCATCGCTAAATTTAATCTGTGAGACTGAACATGCGGAAAACATTTCTGGACAAACCGGTTGCATTACATGTAATACATGCTAGCGGCTTTCAACAAATAACAACAAATAAGCCCCATGTCCTGAATGCACACTCCACATGCCCACTAGACGTAAAACATTAAAAGCAGGGTTCATACTATCATGGAAAACCTGAAAAAGTCATGGAATTTTGGACATGGCATTAATAATCGAGATTTTGATTTTAGGTCAAATCCCCCAGCCCTAGCATATACTTGCATTGGTGCAAATGTTTCTTGCACTTTACAAAAATGACAACAACAACAGTCTGATAAGAGTCAAATTGTTTATTACTCAGATTACAAAACAGCATAGTTAAAATTCCAATCTAATGGTTCTGAATTAGTTCACTCATTAAACCTAACTCAGGAGTTACTGGCCAGAATGAATCAGACATGATTTAAATATGGCTCCCTTACTAAACTGGAAGTTTCATGTTAATGAGTTGTAATTTTATCACACTTTAGGTCTTATGCTTTAGGTCTTATGCTGTGCCACAAAAAACTAAAGTAAATTATCTCTTCATCTGTGTTATGTCAATGTACACTGTTACCCTCAGGTTAATAGTTGTATAATGATGACAGATCTTACCTTTGACACAAATGAGTAGGGTCAAAGTGGCACAAGTCAATCTCCACATCTTCATACAGTCCCTCTGTTTGCTTGCAGAATGTCTACTGGAGGCAGTCTCTCAACCTCTTTGTCTCCTACAATTCCATTTATACATTTGCTTTTTTTCAAATCACTTCTTATGTCACCGTCTCACATGACCATTTTATTTTCAAAAAAACTCCTCCTTGCTTTTTTGTATTGTCATTCTTTACATTCCTTCTTTAGTATGCAAATATGTCAACCAGTTCCCCAGTTTTAATGTGCAATTATGTTTAAAGATGTTCATGACTAGTTGCCGGAACATTTCAACAGGTACATGAAACGCAAATATTTATGAGGTCGATGTTAGAGACATTACTTTTTTTTTTTAACAAATTGTATCTTTTCTTTAGATATATAGATTAGTGTTGTCAAATATATCACTATTTAAAAACATATTGATTACTGAGGTATTTAAAATAATTCCGTTTTGGGTGAAGTATCCCTTTGAGGATCCCTGGCACACCTGGTATAATATTTAATCTTACTTAAAAATTTAAAGGTTTATTTTTTCCAATATATTTCCTATTTTATTTGTATACTCTAGGGGCCCTATCATATACCTAACATTTGTATACTGTTATTATTATTAGCAGTATTATTTATTATATCCATATTTATATTTGTTTTATTAAAAACAAGCATAGATTTGTCCACCTGTCAGGTTTTAGACCATATGGGGCATAGCATGTGTATCTGGAATTAACTCAGTTTTTGACCACACTTCGTTATTATTGTTCATTTATTAATTTGCTGGAAATTAGAACTGAATTTAGAAAAAGTTTTGAAACAAATCTTTGGGCTTAACAAACTAAATTATTTATAGGCTAATTGATGTCTGTGCGTACAATGTTTCCTTATCCACGAGAGCAAAAGTGAAAGTAGATAATAAGGAGGCCTTATCTCTCATTCTCGCGCTGCAGATGCTGTTTAACTGTTTTCTTGCAAGTGAAGCGTTTAGTTTTTCCACTTACAAAGTCGGCATGTAAATAGCAAATGCACCATGGCGCGATGCAACTGACTCTTAAAGGGAATGGGAGATGAGACTCTGATTGGTATACCAATCTGATAACTCATTAAGAAATTAAGTTCAACCCTTTTAGATCATGCACCATAGCGCAAAGCGGGTTTTTCTATCCTTATATTAGCAAAAGTGTATTTTGACACGCCCTTAATGCGTTTGCGCCCTGCACTTTGCACTTTGCGCATGGATCATCAATATAGAGCCCTTAATGTTAATAATAATGCCCTTAATTTAATTTGTTCCTCAGAGTATCAAAAATGGTATAAAATATTTATATATTATTATTAATATTTTTCTAGGTGTAGTATCAGTTTGTATTGTATTTTTTGTCTGCTAGTTGACACCAACAAAACATGCTCTGAACGATGAGTAAATGTTTTTGTTTGTTTGTTCATGTCATTGGCCAATGAGCATTTCCTTCTTGTCAAACTGTTTCATAACTGTAACAAGAGGAATTCAGTCGTAACTTAACATTAAAGCTGCTATCATAAGATTATCAATATGTGGACTATTCTGGGTTCTTGGAAGCTATGAAAATTAAAAATATTAATTAGGAAATGGCGAGGCAGTGGCGCAGTAGGTAGTGCTGTTGCCTCACAGCAAGAAGGTCGCTGGGTTGAAAACCGGTCACTGAGGGGGAAACCGGAGCACCCACAGGAAACCCACGTGAACACAGGGAGAACATGCAAACTCTACACAGAAATGCCAACTGAGCTAGCCTGCGCTTGAACCAACGACCTTCTTGCTGCTAGGCAATCATGCTTCTCACTGCACCACCGTGACACCCCCTATAGAAAGTACCAGGACTTAATTTGTGCCGGAGCACACAAAATCTGGATCCAGCACCTGTACAGATCTTCCTGCTCACTCGTCCTCCTCCCCCGTCTGCTGTTCACTTTCACTTTGTTTCACGACTCCCCAACGCTCTTCACTTTCGTCCGCTACAACCAACCCCCGCCACGGCTCTTAACTTATGTCCGTTCTTCTCTTTCGTGCGAGACACATCCGTTACCCAGATCTGTTCTGGGACCTCGCAATTCACAAATTAAGCACGGGAACAGACTATACATATACTTTTAGGCAAAGTTTAACTCTGAGCATCCAGTTGTCATTCACATCAAACAGCTTTCCGGCACAAAGCTTCTTGGGTGCCTGAAGTGTCCATTGGTTCTACCCAGGGCCTAAAATTAACACTCGCCAAGCAGCAAATGTGAGTAAATCAGAGCACTGGCAAACATTTATAGCAGCATCAGTCACCAATTGGCAGGTAAGTGCCCTGCTGACAATTCAGGTTTGATTCCCCCCTCCCTATCTGTGCTTTTTATTTTGCGTTTGCATTCATCATGAGCACGCATGGAATGCTGAATAAACAAGTGAATGAGGTGTATGTCAAAAAACTTGGGGGAATGAAAGCAGATTGTAATTAGAAAGTAAATCGACTACTTTTGATTTTCATAATTCAGGATGTTTTGTTTTGTTTTCAGTGGATCGCATCTGCCTGGAGTTCACAAGCATCATGAGGTGTTTAAATGAACTTACAGCTGTATCCAGTGAGAGAAATTTGTTTCTCAAACAGCATAAGAGGCCTAAATTCAGTTCACTTTCACTGTGTATTGCTGACAAATCCACGCTTGTGAGTTTAAAATGCCCCTGTTGTTGTTTATTCTCATAAGCAATGTTTTGTCTAAAATGTCAGTTTGAGATGGATTCTCTGTTCATGTCTTTATAGTGAGAACAGCAGAAAACCCTTGCTTTTTAGGAGAGTGTTTAATAGAGAAATAGCATTCCCAGACACACAATAGTAAATAAAGATTTTAGAAAAAGCAGATATGGCAACCAGTATTTTTATAAACAATTCCAATAAATAAATAATATAGTAACCCATGTCTGGTTGTACTTTTTTTAAAGACGTAAATAATAGTTTTTTAGTAGTTGTGCATCCATGAGTCAAGAGCCCTGTCTGGGATGAATTGTTATTAGAATGTGTGTGAAAACAAGAGATTGCTGGATTGACTTTCTGGCTTTCAGTCATGAATTAATTAACCATTAATAGAAACTGGAGAGAATTAATGAAGTTAACAAATCCAGTAATATGTTTATTTTTATTCATTACTTTTCTTTAATGTTCAACCGTGATGAACTAAAACATTGTAAATATAGTTACTGTAGTAGTACAAACTGCCTGTTTTTGCAAAAGAGTTTAATGGGTACAGTTTTTTTAACAACACCAGCTATTGGCATGTTTGGCAAAAAGTTAGATGTAGGCCCTGGTTGTACCCTTCAGAAACCTCTTTTTTGGAACAAGACTTAAATATGTTAGTCTTGTTTATTTTCACTTCGAAGTGTCTTATGTTTGGAACACAATGACAGTTTTAATGACATTGAAGTGTGCAGTTTGTGCTTTGGATACAGAACATGTTTCATTCAAAAGCCCACTGTTGGAAAAATTTATTTCTGCAAAAAGCATGAAAAGACAGGGTGTTTGGGGTTATTTAATGATTGTGTCAAAGCCATTATTAAATCATTACTTATGGCACAGAATTGTGACATTTATTTAAATTTGGAGAAATGGCCACTCATTTGGCAGCGGAAATGTATTGTGAAAGAAATTTGTAAAAAAAAAATATTTAAAGTATCATTTTAATATACCCAGAATACTAATTTAAAAAATAAACGTTGAAAAGATCAAGAGAGAGAAATCACTCTCAACTAATAGAGAGGGGAAAGTGTTCAAATTATTTCAAACATAAAGAAATATGAATGTACACCCCTGAGTGAAGTGAGTGAAGCAGCTCTTTGAAAGGCTGTATCCACTGAAATTCTGACTGTGCAACATTTTAAAAGCAGCACTGAAGTCTTCTGGACAAACAGGCAGGTAAAAGTCTTATTCACAAGTGATACGATTACGAGGCTGTTTTGAATCCGTGGAGGTATCTTAACCTGCAGAGACACACATACAACAAACATTAATACTTCATTCAAAATTAATAACAACATGCAACAATGTAAATAAGTATCTATTTTTTTCTTTGTTATTGAAATAGACCCGGGAAACATACTCTTGTGGGGGCCATGGTGGCTTTTCTTGGCTATCCACATCAAATATAAACATGCAAAGTGTGGGCTAGCCCAATATTGGCCCACAGCTGCAGGCTCATTACGCGTTCTATGTGAGTAATAGACACTAATGGGCAGCCCAAATTAAGGCAAAATGTTGGCCTTTTAGTGCTGGCGCTGCATGGGCAGCCATCTCCTAGCACCCAGGACCAATCACTAGACCCACAATGTTTGCTTTCAACAGACTAAATTTCATGTTTTATTTTGTTGCTTTCAAGCCCAGTGAATGTTTGTGAATACTGCTTTCCTACCACAGTTATGTAATTTTTTATTAACCTCTTACAAATCTAACTAAAATTCGATCTATTTTAAACTTTGTTACTTGCTGTTGATGCTGAACATTATATATGGATTAACTGGTCTATGGCATAAATAATACTACACAGGCTGGAATAGCATTTAAAAGATCTGCATGTATAAAGACTGAACTAAAAAGTATTTATACTGTAGCACATTTATTGCTATAGTACAGTGAGGGCTACTGGTGGTTAGGTGAGGGCTGCCCATCCAGGAAAAGCGCTAAGGGGCTAATGGTTTGCAAATGAGCAAACTCTCAATGGCCCTGCAGTTGCAGCCTATTGAAGGCTCAATTTTTGGCCCATCATGGACCAGCACAGGCTTGTTAGCAGGGGATGTGTTTGGACTTACTGGCACAACGCTGTTTGTAATCCATGCAGCATTTTGTAGCACAGTTGGCATTGCAGTTGCAGCGATTGAGTGTGTTGTACACCTCATTGCATCTCCCGCTACAGGAAGATGAGGCTGCACATAAAAACAAGGATAAAACAAACATAATTTTTTTAATGAGTAAAAACTAGGTAACTCTTTGCATTAAATTTACTTACATAAACAAACAATGAACAATACATGTATTACAGTATATATTTATGTCAACGTTAGGTAATGAAAATAAGGTTGTTCATAGTCAGTTTACTTTAACTCACAGTGCATTAATGTTAACAAGCATAAATTAGGATTTTAATGATACATTAATAAATATTCAACTATAATTAATAAATACATTAACTAACATTAACTTTTGTAAGCTTAGTGTAAAGTGTGCCCAAAAAGATTTACTTAGGCTGCTGGAGGTGCATGAACTTGGTGGGGTGAAGAGAATGAATCCTGGTTGGTTCTGACTGATTTTGCTTGAAATCCAACTCTGATACTGTGACACACGAGTGTAAACCCCAGGACTGTTGGGGTCAGCACAGCCATAACCCCAGCTGGTGATACCAGCCTGAATCCACACTGTACACAGCCGAGTCACCATTGGACCACCAGAATCCCCCTACAAACATAAGCGAGACAATTTTTATTATTATTGTTATTAATATTATTAGTATTAGTATTATTATTGGCCACACTTAATTTTGATGGTCCATTTGTTAAATTGCATCTCCATGCCAACTAATTCTCATTAGACTGTTAGGTTTGGGTTGGGGTTGGGGTTAGGGTTAGTGTAAGTTTGCATACTTGCAAAGTTTCTTATAGTCAGTTAAATGTCTGTTGAAGGAGCAGTATCAACTTATCATTATTGTTGTTCTTCTTCTTAGTCGTATTATTATTATTATATTTATTTGGTACTTTTTATCAAGATGGGACAGTTCTGGAAGACAGGAAAAAGTCAGTTTCTAATTCAAACATCAAGTTTCGATCAAGTTGATGGCTAAATCTACAGTAACTGCCATTATCAGAAGCATTGGCTACCTTCAGGACAGCGTTTAGCTTATTTTTACCTATAAGTAAAGGCCATAAAGTTATTTTGATTTAAGTATATTGTTGCAATGTGTATTAATGATCTGCTTTTTTATTACCTGGCAGGTGTCTTTGCCTCCCTTTGCTAAACCAGCACAGATCATGTTGTTGGTGACAGTTCCAGAACCCAGTTGAGCATTACATCGATCATTGGCCACAACTGGAATCATAGTCTCCTGCAGAATCCCAGGAGCAGGTAGATTCACTGAACATTCACAAACACACATGTTATACTTAATTAGTAGTGTATTAGGTAGATTTACAGGGGAATTTACAGGGTGTCCGCGGGGTCTTAAAAAGAATTAAAAGTTGAACCCTTAAAAGGTATTAGAAGTCTTTAAATGCTAATGCAAGGTATTAAATTTTTTATTATCATGCTAAAGTTTGCCTGAATTTAATCTGTGAATATTGGAATGTTGTGTAGTAGGGCTGCAACTAACAATTATTTTAATGATTGATTAATCTGTTGATTGTTTCTTCGACTAATCAATAATTCGGATAAACAAAACAAGAAAAGCATTCAAAAAAGCTCATTCCTGAGCGATTATAATAATAATAATAGTGATAATAATAAACAAATAAAAAACTTAGAAGTTTTGTCCTTTTTTTAAATCAAATATCTTACAAAATCCTTAATCAAAATACACACTAGACACATGAAATAGCACAAGAAATTATGTCTTGTTTTCTGAAAAAAGACACCTAAAGATTTAGTGATTGTTTGCTTAAAACAAGCAAAATCATTATGAGGGGTCTGGATGCAGACCAAGTGCAGTGTGATCTGAGCTGCATCCAATGATTTTAATGCACTCACCTAAACCTACCCCTAACCCTACCCGTCACAGTGACGTCACTCACTCCATTGAGTGCATTGTGTCTGACGTTGCATCGCTGAGTGATGCAATCTCAGCTTGCATCATGAAGGTTGCATCCAGGTACTACTGAAATCATTTGCCAAAGGGGTAAGAAAAATAATCCTAATGAGATATATTCTCAAACAGAAGTTAAGCATCACTTAATTTTCTCTACTATTTTTCTTGTCTATTAATCCTAAGATTTTTTTACATATTTGGACTGGAAATGAGACAAAATGACTAAGTAAGAAAAGCTTTTTTGCAGTGCAGCTGTACATGACAACAGATGGAAAAATGAATGATCCAAAAAAGAGGAGTGAATAAAAACATGTCTTTCGTCTTGCAATGCAAAGTAACTCTACCGCCGCTGCTTTACTGCTGTTAGTAGTAACCCTTTCACTGGTGAGTTTAAAAGATTCTGGAATCAAGAGTGAGTTTTGTTAGGCAACCATTATTTTAGAACATTCACCCTTAATGTTTCCGTGGCGACTTGTCATATTTGTCACATGACACACCGCAGCTAAAATAGCACTGTATGACAGATGTATCCCTTTTATTATGTTTTTTTTCCGTTTTATTTCAAAATATTCACACACTTACTCATCATGTCATTAGCTACCTGATAATCCTATTCACAAAAACATGCAAGTGATCATGATCTATAACTTGAGATGGGCGTCGCCGTGTTTTCTTGTGTCCGCTCATTTGCCTCATTCAGCACTTAGGATTCAGCTTGTAAATTCATATGTTACTTCCAAAATACATGCCAGTTAGTAGTGAACTTAGAACTAGAGAAGAATAGATCCAACTTCATAGTTAATTTCACTATGTGTATCTGATATGAATAAAACACATCGGCAAATTATATTTAAATGAATTGTTAGACTTCCTCGCTTGTTTTAACTCTCAACTCTAAATGTGTTGTTTTACTAGTTCTTGTTTGTATTTACATGTCTAAAACATAAACGCGGTATAACTGTGACTATATGACACATCTTTCTCTAGCTCAGCGCCAGTCAACACGTCAAAGCTCTAAGGGTAAACAAGGTAAACAAGCTAACGCTATCTTGTCATGCTTGTCAAGCTGGATAACGAGTAAAAACACCATCACCAGGGACTTTATGATCCTCACCTCAAAACGGAACAAAAGTAAGATTCTGTAGTAATTTACCCTGCTGTTGAACTCCCTTCCTCCTCATCCCTTTCTAAGAGGAGCCGAACTCTACATTAGTGCGTGAGAGAGACTGTGTTTACTCCGCTCCGTGCTGAACTGTGTTTTTATAATAATCAAAGGTCCCCTGTCACATGACACAATGAATTGATTATGAAATTCATTGCCAACGCTTTTAGTAATTGATTTTTATCAATTCAATTGATTCATTGTAGCAGCCCTACTGTGTAGTTTATGAAATCGATATAATCCTGCTGGAGTTGACATGATGCTGCTTTGTTTACTGCAGTAACCAAGGAAACGCCATTATTCCTGCTGTTTTGCGTACCACCTTCTGGATTTGTATTTTTATTAGATATATGAATAATGTTTTAGTTTAGGATTTGTTTCTTAAAATCAATATTTATTAAATATGGTGTAAATTAAAATGTCGCCAATGTTATCGATTGCATCCTAAAGTAGCAAAGAGGTCTTAAGATTCATTGATGAGAGTCTTAAAAAGGTCTCAAAAGGTACTTAATTTCACTTAGATTCCTGTATATACCCTGATTTAGTGGTTGGTATGTGTTTGGATAAGTTTGTACCTCCAGCCTGAACATCTCCCCAGCCTGTGATCCAGCTGCTGGTGCCAGCACTATAGACACTGTTCTGGGCCGCCAGACATACAGGTCTGATATAGTCATTGAAGGTAACAGCAGAAGACAGGCGCAGCAGAGCGATGTCATTGTCATTTGTGTTGCTGTTGTAGGAGGAGTGAACGATTATTTTTGCAACATTTCTACTAGTTTCATGAGTGTTGACTCCCTGCTGTGTTCTCCTTCCCAAGTACACAACAAGACTGGATTCAGAGACACTGAAAACAGTCAAGAATGAGAAAGTGATTATCCAGCCTAGTACATTAGCGGTCAAAACAAAACCGATGTGTATTGATGTGAATCTCACCCAGGTAAACAGTGAGCAGCTGTCAGCACCCATTCACTGCTGATCAGGGAGCCTCCGCAAAAATGACCACCATACCTAGGGCTCTGTAGACTAACCTGCCAAGGCCATGATCCCTCAGGTGCATTTACACCCCCTACAATACGGGAGTTCAGAGGGGCTTGTCCACAAACTGAAAGAGATTTTTCATATTAGCATGTTTGCATTTTACTGCTTTTTCAACATATGAAGAGTGAGAAGAATTCTAAACTCTTACCATTCAACTGAGAAAGTGAACCTGAAAGGGCAGAAATAAAGTGCAGATTAGAAAAGTTTCATCTTAATTTGATGAACTCCCTCATCCTGCCAGAGTTCATTGCACTGCTAAATTTAACCTGTGAAACTGAACATGCGGAAAACATTTCTGGACAAACCGGTTGTGTTACACATAATACGTGCTACTAGTGGCTTTCTTTTCCTCAACCAGTCAACACATAACCCCCCCATGTCCTGAATGTTCACTTTCCTTGTCTATTAGGTGTGGTTCATAATGTTAAACATTAAGAGGCTTCTGTTCATTTAAAATAACTCATCTTCTTGGAGAATGTGGTCCAGGAAGAGAATGTTAATATATATTCTCACAATATTATAGACTAATTTGCAACTGGTTTCCTTGAGATTTTAAAGGGTTTTTAGAAAGGAGTTTTTCAATTCATGAGGAAGAAAAGTCTGTGGTAAATGTAATTTGATGCTACTTGGACATTTTGTTGTACATCATAAACTGCACACATTCACTTGCCTTTAAAATTAGCAATTTCAGCATGAATGTATTGTATTAACACACATATATAAAATGTTTTAGTGTCCAAAATATTGTTTAATCTTATTTAAACAAAAATATATATATATTGAAGGAATCAGTGGCAAATTGGACTTTTATTTTGTTTCCACAAGTGCACTTTTGTAATTCACGAACCCTGTTTTTTTTTTTTTTTTTTTTTTTTGTATAGTTTGTTTAAGAACTGTCTGAACTCTCTAATATAAGAACAGTCTGTATAATATCAGAATATATATAGTGTTTGGGTTGTTTCAATCTGAGTGTTTATATCATAAGTAAGAAAAATTATTTTTAAATATTCTCAAACTCTTACATTTTTTTTATTATTATTATTATTAATTATTTTTTTGTGTGTGGGCAAAACTTGCATTTGTTCGATTGTTTCTTGAACCAGTACTCTTTACAAATAAACAACAACTGACTTTTTGGATTTGGATTTTTCAATCCAATGCCAAAACAGTTCAAATTTCAAGCAAATGGTTTTGAATCAGTTCTTTCATTAAACCTTCTAAATGACCCTCTAAAATTGCTGCTCAGAATGAATCAGACATGATTTAAATATGGCTCCCTTACTGAACTGGAAGTTTCACGTTAGTTGTAATTTAGGAGTAAATTAAATTCTTTAATTTGTAAATTTTCTCTTCATCTGTATCAAGTCAATGTACACTGCTACCCTTAGGTTAATAGTGGTATAATGATGACAGATCTTACCTTTAACACATATGAGTAGGGTCAAAGTGGCACAAGTCAATCTCCACATCTTCACACAGTCCCTCTGTTTGCTAGCAGAATGTCTACTAGTGGCAGTCTCTCAACCTCTGTATCTTCTACAATCCCATTTATACAGTTGTGCTTGTCAAATCACTCCTCTTGTCCCCGTCTCACCTGCCCACTTCTTTTTTCCTAATGCTCCTCCTTGTTTTTTATTCATCACGTTTTTTCCCCATATTAATATCTCCCACCCAGATTCCCAGTGACAATTTGCAGTTACTTTTTAAGCATTCTTGGGTAATTGCATGTATATTTCATCAGGCATGCTAAATAGAAATATCTATAGGGTCAATATTAAAAGCATTGTTTTTTTCTTTTTCATATTTCATTTATTTAATATAATTAATTTTACTAATTATACTTTTCTACTTGATCATTTGTTATTAGGTGTTCTTTCTTAAGAAATTTCAAGTCGGCCCAACAGTTTAATTTTAAACAAAAAAATGTAATGACAAAAGTAACCTATTGAATGTTTTAGTCTTTGAGTGATTTTAGATGTCAAGTATTACAAAATATTTTAACATCATAAACACTGTCTTGCTCGTCTTTTTGTTCTGCTTTGAATTTTTTCTTTCTAAGAAAAAACAATGCATAAAAGTCATGACGACAGTAATACCCTTTAGACACAGACACAAACAATGGGCTGTAGAGCTAGTGATTACAGATGACTTCTGTCATCAGAACACCCATACACATGTAAGTCAGTGTATGAAATGTTTTTTTTTGGTAATTTCGCTAAAGGCTTGAGCATGAAATACTACTTCCATTTACTCAATCAAATTCAGATTCAATTTTCAGATTGAAATTAATTGGAAAACTATATCAACTGTGTGCTTCAGAATGTTTATGTTAGATTTTTATAGCTGAAAGGTTTGTGCTTGTGGCTGTGCAGATGTAATCAGTCAGTCTGCTCTATGGTCTCACCTCTAACACAACTGTGACGTCGAGACCTTACAGATCTCAAGATCCGGCAAAATAATGAATATAGAATCCTGAAAGTTGACCTTACAGTAAGCCTTATGTCAGCCTGACATCAGATTGCCTTTACATTTTCTCATTAATCAGAGATCAAAAGGTTTCAGACGAGACTGAACACAAACTGTAGGACGTGTCATCTCAAACAGAATTACTCTTGTTGTTTGCAAATCAGATCAACTATTATATAAGTGACTAATTCAAGGGCATTGAAATGACAAAACATGATGAATTTTCTTTTTTTTTTGTCTGCTATTATTAGTTACTTATAATATTTAATGACTCCAAATGTTGAGTAAATATCTAAGTCTTTTGATGACACATGGTGGTTATATGATAACAGACTTACAATACACTGTAATAAACAGACATTCAGATGAGTATATGACTCGCAAGAGCAACAGAACAGTCAGTAAATGCATGAACTAAACATTGAAATTATAATTTTTAAAATACATTTTAGTCAACTTTAATCTAAGCTATTTCCAATAAAAAAATAAACTTTTGAAAGTCAAAAAGCAGAAATGTTAATATCAAGCCCATTGAAACATTTATATTTATTACAACCGCAAATCAGAAAAAGTAGAAACAGTATTGAAAACACAAACAAAAAAAGAAAGTAGTGATTTCTAGGTTTAGTTTGACTTGTATTTCATTGCAGACAATACAACCAACATTATTCCATGTGTTCCTCGCGATTTTATTTTATTCATATATTTATTTATTCTTTTTCCAAAATAAACATATTATTAAATTTTGGTTCATGCAACACATTCCAAAAAAAGTTGGGGCAGGAGCAATTTGGGGCTAGTAATCAGATAAATTGGTTAAATAATAATGTGATTTGAAACAGGTGATGTCAACAGGTGATTATAATTATGATTTTGGTTACAAAAGCAGAATCCAAAAAAGGTCTAGTCCTTTAAGACAGTGGTCCCCAACCACCGGGCCGCAGACCGGTACCGGTCCAAGGAAAAATTGGTACCGGGCCACATAAAAAATCATAAATTATTTCAGTAGAAAATATTCCCCCCCGCCACTTGGTTTCTTCCACTCACCCCTGCCATCTCACGTGAAATGGACTATGCCCAAATCCACCACGGAGCGAGAAAAATGATCGCTAGAATATAGCGCAGTGGTGGTTGTTGATAGTTTAAAGTTATAAAACAGGTATTATAGAGTGCAAATCAGCAGAGCATTTAAGGATTGTGCATATAACGTTATGTATTCGTGCATTGCTAAGTAAGTACCCGAAATCATTGCAATATGTATCTATATGGAGTTTCACATAATCATACTCATTAGGGCTGTAACATGCCAATGCATACATTTAATTCGGCTATACGGTTGTATTATTGTTAATATGTTCGTCAGTTGAAATGTTTGGCACAGATGTTATATATTTGATACATATAAACCTTGATTGAAACATAATCAGACCGCGATAGTGCAACTAGCGCATGCGCACAAAGTTGTTCATGATTAACCTGGATGCACGAGCGCACCCCAACCCCCACACAAAATTGAATATTTTTTTTCTGTGTCTGCTCCAGACCAAAGAAGAAAAGAATCGTCTAGACTGTTACCAGGAAAAAGTCCAAAGGATCTGTCATGGTATGGGGTTGTGTCAGTGCCCTTTGCAAATGTAACTTGCACTTCTGTGATGGCACCATTAGTGCTGAAAAAGTGCATAGATATTTTGGAGCACAATATTTTGCCAATGCTTTTCCAGGGATGCCAATGATTATTTCAACAAGACAATGCAAAATCACTTTCTGCACACATTACAAAGTCCTGGCTCCAGAGGAAGAGGATACAGGTACTTCAATGGCCTTCCCACAGTCCTGACCTTCCGCCAAAAGAGAATGTGTGGCACATTTTGAAGGAAAAATTTAACAACAAAGATCCCATACTGTTGCCTACTTTAAGACTTGTTTACAGGTAGAAAGGGACAAAATTACACCTGAAACACTTCATCACTTGGCATCTTTTAAGTGTTGTAAAAAAGGAATGGCAAAATACAAATATAAATGCTTTACTTTTGTATTGCAATGAACCAGTGTCTTGCAAAAACCAAACACTTATTTACATGGAATACTTATTTGTTTTGGGAAAAAAAAACAGCAATAAAAATCATGAGGAACACATACAGTAATGTTTGTTGTATTGTCTGCAATGAAATATAAGTCAAAGTAAATTGAGAAATTAGCTTTTTTTATTTGCATTTTCCATGTCTCAACCTTTTCTGATTTAGGGTTGTAATTCAGCAGATACTTACTTTATAACAAAGGCCATTTAAATGATGTTTCATTAGTTAAATCAGTAATGAACACATTATTATTGATGTAATCACTTCAGCAGTGTTCATTTAAACTGGGCTTTGATACATTTTTGACCAATTTGTTTCCTGTTCAGCTCAACAGCCCAGTTAATCCCACTCTGTGTATTGAATTAAAATCACAAGCTTCATTAACTTCATCTTAAAAATGTATTCTAACATATCACATCTACCGCGCAACTGGTTTTCTCTCTTAAAACAACTTAATAAAACAGCGTTCTAAAGTATCTTGAACTGAATTACATATTACAATTAATTTTAAAAATAGGGTAGGTGTAACAAAGGCTAAACCTGTTGTTGGCTGGTAATCAAAAGGCTGACGACAATCACTATTGTAGCCTTGAGAAGACTCGTGAGCTCAGGTTGCTTTGAGGGGACTTTTCCGTAATAAGAAAACAGTACTTAATTGTAGATACCAACAATAAACTATTGTTGAATAAAAATTCTCTGTTTTATTAATGTTTAGTTATTTTCATAATTAAATAAAAAAAATATTGAATGTACTGAAACATAAGTTTGTATTTTACTATTAAGTAAAAATAGCCACAGGCAAAAATCGAAAGTCTGGTTCAACATTCTACATACTGTTCAAACTATTGTTGATGTGGTACATTTGCGATGACACAAGCAGTTACAATGAAAAGAATTTCAATGGAACTGTAAAATAGCAAGTCATTGTGTAAAAAGCTGCTGAAACAAGTATTGCGGCAACAGAAAGAGAATAGACTGCACAAGGATGTTGAAATAAAGTTAACGAGACAGTACAAACATATCTAGAAGACTGTGCTTGTATATTGTCAGAACACACATACTGGATAATTATGTATAGTCAAAAGTCTTTAAAGATTTGTTGAGTGAAATATGTGTATGAGTTTTGCCATAAGTTAAGTTAGGGTTGATAGTTTATTGAAAGATGTACATTCTTAGAAATGGTGTGTTGTGCATATACTGTTCACCTAAATTTAACACACACACCTTTATCTTTGGTGATAAAAAAAGTAATTGTACCATAAAAATGTTACTTTCTAATGTCAATGCAGCATTTTCATAAATGCATATTCATAAATAAATTTGATGTGTTAAATATTCCAAACTGAAATAAAATGGTAACACTTAGTTAACATTATAAATTAAATTAATTAACATGAACACAGAGCAGTTCATTTGTTTAATTTTTAATTTTGTTAAGATTGGTTATTAAAAACAGATGTTCATCATGTTGGCTCAGTTTGATTAAATATTTACTAATACATTTATTAAAATTAAAAAGTAGAAATAAGCACATATTCCAATATTGATTTTTGCTACACATTCTAAAAAAAGTTGGGACAGGAGCAGTTTAGGGCTAGTAATCAGGTAAATTGGTTAAAAAATGATCTGATACAAAAGCAACATCCAAGAAAGGTCTAGGTCTTTAGGAGCAAATATAGGCCGAGGATGACCAGTTTATATTTGCACCAACAAATATGTGAGAAAATTATTGAAATTATTTATCAGCTTTTATTTACATTAGAACAAATACTTTAAGTCAGAATTTGCCAGGGTTATGAATAATTTTGGGCTTGACTGCATATATTATACATCACTTTAGTGTGTACTGTATTTTGTCATGTATTGCAAATAATAAGCAAATAAATTAGTTACTGTTAGTACTTTACTGTACTGTAGTATTGTAATTATAAGTCACATGAGTATTAATAGAAAGTAATTTTAGTACCATATTTATTTATCAGACTTAACTGGCCTGGAGTAAGTCCTTCATCCAGTATCCTTTTATTTTCAGAGGGGACAAGCAGAAAATATAACTGTAAATATGAACATATAACATGTTCAAATAAATTCCTTAAAAGTGGATCTTATCGCTTTTAATTTAGTAACAGTATAAGTCCTGGTTCTGAGTCAATTGTGTCACATAGCAAAATCAGCAGCTTTTTGTTTCCCCTTGCTCATTTCTTACGTTACTATTTCCTTATAGGCATTGACTGAATCGTATAATGAACTGCTCTTCAAACAGCTCCCCTCCCCATTCATTTTTTTTTAAACTTCAGAGAAACAGCTATTGTAGCGGAAAATCCTGGTATAGTCATCGTTTGTCTCAGGCTTGTTATTGTTAATGTTACAGACATTACAAGCTGTAATATGATTTATTAGATCCTTGTTCCTATTACTTTGTAATTTTAATACAACAGCCAATATTTACTGATGTGCAGCCATAAATTGCTAAATGTTAGTGAGCTTTAACTCATGTTTCATGAATTTGTTTAATAAAGAATTCACAGTTCACACAGTATATAGGAGGATTATAAAAGCACTAGAAAAAAATGAATAGTCATAATCCAATGGTAAAATGATTTTTGAGTATAAAAAAAAGTATAATATCAAACAGGATTTTTCTGTCAAATAAATTAATTGTATTAAAAGAGCAGCTAAAAAAGTCATTATACTAAGTAACAAGCAGGAATATAAATTTGCTGCTTTCTCTGGAGTTCCAAAAAACTCTCCATGAAAATGCTACATTTTATTTCAGCCTCCCATAAGCAAAACACACTGTAAAAAAAATCGTAAATTTACAGTTTTTCTTATTTTGTATTTCATGTTTTTATTTTTTCCATTTTTATTATGCTTTTGAATTGCATTATGGGATCTTGATCTTTTTTCCAACAACTGTCATCAATGAAAAGATTGAATAAGTGAATTTTATTAAAATGTTTAATAGTTCGTTTTCTATGTCACTTTTGTGGTTAGTCCTATATCTTGTTATATAATAATAAAAAGCAGACATTAAGACATTTTTAGCATTTTAATGGCATTTGAAGAAAGTGCAGACACTGCAAGGATGAATCATTTAAATTCATCTTTCTATAGCACTTTTACAATGTAGATTGTGTTGAAGCAGCTTACCATTGAAGTTCTAAATTGAAATTGTGTCACTTCAGTTTTCAGAGTTAAAGTTCAGTTTAGTTTAGTTCAGTGTGGTTTAATTTACACTTCTGAAAGTCCAAACACTGAAGAGCAAATTTATCGATGTGCAGCTCCACAAGTCCCAAACCAAGCAAGCCAGTGGCAAAGAACTAAATTTCACCAATTGACGAAGTGAAGAAAAAAAACTTTGAGACAAATCAGGCTCACTTGGGCACAACCATTTTTCCTTTGGCCACAACCATTTCTCCTTTGGCCAAACTTTTTGTGCAGACCTGCAGTCTATTTAGAGTGCATTTCAAGCTTTTTTTATTTATTTAGTCACTATCCCAACCAAGTGGAATTTTGTTTTAATTTGTTTTAATTTAATTTTAATTTACACTGTTAACAAAACTTCACATTCATAAAACGTCACTAAAAAGAAAATTTATTTTATGGTTTTGTTAGCTTAATTATCTGTATATATTACCAGTATCAGAGATTATCTAAAGAGAAGAGAGTATTTTTCATGTTTGGATTTTGGATACACTTATCTTAGTGGCATTTACTGTATATTTTATTTTAAAATGTTTATATGTTGCTGTTCTATAAATAAAAAGCATATCTATGCACACACTATGAAATGATGAAATAGTTTAAAAAACATTGCAGTTACATTTATTTTATTTTTGTTTAATTCCTTAGAAAGATGACAAATGTATACACCTAATGTAACTGTTTTGTTTGTACCAAAAGCTTATTTCACTTACATCAAAGCTGTTATCTAAACAGCCTCCATTAAACAAATTATCTGTAATTGATTAATTAAATAAAGTCTTTAAATTCTTTATTCTTTGTACTTGACTGTCCTCATTATTTATTAGATGCAAACAAATGCCCCCTGTTGGTGTAATTTAGTACAGCAAGACACTTTACAAGAAAAATGATGCAAAGTATTTCTTTAATCATGACAGATAACAGATAAATAGAAAACAAGACAGAAATTACATTCATATTTATGTTTTATGTTATACAAGAATTTGTAAATGAAGGTACTTATTTGACATTTGACTTGAAATCTTTAGTCAAGAGAAGAAAATAATATAAATGCTGAGCTGATTTAAACATATATATATATATATATATATATATATATATATATATATATATATATATATATATATATATATATATTTATAAAATTTATTTATTTATTTATTCTGTAAACTGTACTTGACATCATACAGAATGCATGAAGAACATGAAAAGACACATAGAGAGAAGCCGTCACAGAGAAGCTTGTGTTGACCAAGAGTTTACCCTCTTTGATCCACTGCAGAGACACAAAAACAAACAGATGAAGGACGTCTTGTATTTTCTACTATTACTGTTGTAACACGCATGATCAGTGATTTCAGTCTTACACCACTATAAACACCATAAAGAACCACAGGATTATTTGAACTTACTGCATTTCTTTTCATAATCCCAGCAGCAGTTTTTGTGGCAGCGATTATTGCAGTTGCAGCGGTTGCGGATGTCGTATTTTTCACCACATCTCTTGCGACAAGAGATTGAGGCTAAAACAAACATGCAAAAAATATAAAAACAAGTGTCATTAAAAAGACAGTAAGTGTTAAATAGGTACAATTTTGTATATGAAAATAAGCAAGAGAGTTACTCTGATTGGGCGGAGGTCTTAAATTCGTAGTAGTTGTTGTAGAAGTTTGTGAGGTAGTAGGTGGTTTAGTAGATGCAGATGAGATCGTGGAAATTTTTGTGGTAGTAGTAGTAGTTGGGGATGCAGTTGAAATAGTAGAAGTAGGTAATGCAGTAGAATTAGGTAAAGTCATAGAAACACTTGAGCATGTGCTTGAAGAGTTGAAAAGGACAAATCCTGGAAGGTTCTGGACGATGATGCTGTTGATCCAGCTTTGATATTGTGATACGCGGGTGTAAACTCCAGGTGAATATGGATCAGCACAGCCATAACCCCAGCTGGTGATACCAGACTGAACCCACACTAAACACTGCTTGCTCACCATTGGACCACCAGAGTCCCCCTAAAGAAAGAGGATGAGTTATATTAGTAGACTTTTGGACGTGCATGTTTTAATGTGTCGTTTGGTTGATGATTGTTGTACCTGGCAGGTGTCTCTTCCTCCCTGTAATAAACCAGCACAGATCATGTTGTTGGTGACAGATCCAGAACCCAGTAGAGCATTACATTGATCATTAGGCACTACTGGAATCATGGTCTCCTGCAGAATCCCAGGAGCAGGTAGATTCACTGAATATGAAACACAGAGGAGTGATGACTTCCTAATTGTTCTTTATTTAATGCCATTTCTGGTTAAAAAATAAGACAAATCTAACAATGATTTGACCTATGGTTGGCATGTCTGCACAGTTCATCCCGTTTTTGAGAGTAATTATAATTTTAACTTTATAATTTCTATAATATCACCATTTTACGTTATATTTAGTTGCAAAATGTTAATTAAATCATTTAGAAACATCATACTGTTCATCATAGTCCAAGATGAAAGGGGCTTTCGTACATTTATTAAACTATAAATGTTAACCCCGCTAATTAAGGATTTTGCTTATTTTGTCATTCGTCTTTGTTTTCAGTTTATTTACTCATTCAGTTTGCATTATAGGAGCTTTATCTGTGGTCCAACAATGTTTGATGTTAAAAAGAAGTTAAACACAGCAATCTTTTTTCTTTTAGTAATTTTGAAATGATAGTCTGGGTTGGTCTTGTAAATGATAGTATTAAAATCAGTAATGAGCTGCCAACACTATTCTGTTATTTTGCAGACTCAAATTACTTTTTATATTATAGAAATATATTGTTCCAAACTTCTTAAATCTTAATACAAGTCATTTTGGTAAACTATAAAGTAAAATTTTAAACATCAAATGCTAACAGAGGAGAGATCAAGGTTCTATCATATGAAAGCATAAATAAATTTGAAACATATGTGAATGTTGCCCCTATTTGTCAGTGTTGAAATTATTTGTGGTACATGCACAGCTAGTGTTTTTTTTCCCTATCGTTAAACTTACGGTGAATGGTTAATGTGACTATTTTCAATTTTATACGGTTCCTTTTACAACATTGATGTTGTAATGTAATTAAAATGCAATCAGTTAAATAGACTAAAGCATTCATTTAGTTGTTCAAGCGTAATATGAGATGAAAGGGCGTTTACAAGCACACGCCGTCGGGATCAACAGGCTACCGCAAAAGCTCCATTGAAAATACTGGAGTAAAATAAATATACATATTTTAAAGACATGGTGGGGAAAAACTGAAGTAATTGCAGTGCTTCTTGAACATTCTGAGACCCTCTTTATATCGTATATCAATCAGGCAGTGAAGATCATTGATTTTTAAAGAAAACAGACCTTAATCGTAGTGATTTTTTAATGTCATACAGTTCACCAAAAACAATTGAACTGGGTTACTGAAAATTAAAAGACCTTCTGCATATACCCTATTGTCTGCAGAGTCAGATAATAACTATTTTATATCATTATAATTGGTTATAAAAAAAAAAAACAGGCTATATCTAGTCAAAACTAATCAAAGTGAAACTCAAATGTACTTACACAATGAATGACTTTGTCCTTAACAGCAAAATTAAGTTTAGAATAGACTACTGTGCTAATTTTGAGTCATACTAATGAGAATATTATTCGATGATACACATATTTTACAATTATCAACAAAACAAATCAAAACATAAAGTGCATTTGATAAAGAGAAAGTGAGTCACATAAACTAAATGGCCTGAGTTGTGATGTTTTTCTTTTTTGTTAATGTATGAATTACTTTAATGAAACATATTCCGAGTAGGCTTATTTATTTATTTATTTATTTTATACATGTAAATTTATTCTGGGGGTGTTTTTGAACAATCTATATTTTTCGGTTAATGATAGATTAAAGATAGTCAATTTTCATTTAGGAAAATAATCAATGTGAACAAACCTAACTTTTTTTGAAGACAAAAAGACCTCTATTCCACTGCACTCACATCGTCAACACATTTTTTCCATGGCATTTCCATGGCAACTCTTTTGCACTAAGGGCGCAGATATAGTGTCTGGACCCTATTGGACAGTATATTGACAATATGTTTCTACTCCTACCCAAGTCAAGTTCTCAAGTTCGGGGAAAATAATTCTTAAAATAATTGCTTTCCATTATCTCGTCTCAGTAGAAATCATGTTGGGTTCTTCTCTGATCTGATCGTTTATGAGTTGGTTGACATGACTCATTGATTGGTAATTCCTATATAAATGAATGTGCTTGTACCTCCCAACTGAATGTTTCCCCAGCCTGTGATCCAGCTGCTGGTTCCATTTGGGAAGACACTGTTCTGGGCCGCCAGACACACAGGTCTGATATAGTTGCTGAAGGTAACAGCAGAGGACAGGTGCAGCAGAGCGATGTCATTGTCATTGGTTAGATTGTTGTAGGAAGGGTGAACGGTGATCACGCTGACAGTTCGATTGATTTCATAGGTGTTGACTCCCTGCTGTGTCGTCTTTCCCAAGAACACAAGCAGACTGGATGTAGTAATACTGAAAGCAAGTAAAAGTGATAAAAAGAATGACTTAGACTTAATGACTTAATTGACTGAGCTGCATGAAATGCTTTTAATGCACACGCCCAATCCTGCCCCTAACCCTATTGAGTGCATTGTGCCTGACATTGCATGTCTGTGACACAAAGTCTCAGCTTGCATATGCTAGTCTGCACCCAGATATTATTGGTCTGGATCAATAGTTTATGTCACAGGTGACAAATCCAGTTCCTCGAGGGGTGAAACTGTGCAATTTAGTTCCAACCTTGCTTCAACACATTTACCTGTAGGTTTCAAACAAGCCTGAAGCGCTGAATTAGTTTGATCAGGTCTGTTTAATTAAGGTAACATAGGTGATAATATGAATCTTACCGAGGTAAACAGTGTGCAGCTGTCAGCACCCATTCACTGTTGATCAGGGAGCCTCCACAAAAATGACCGCCATAGATAGGGCTGTGCAGACTGACCTGCCATGGCCATGAACCATCAAAAGCATTCACGCCCCCTACAATACGGTTGTTTAAAGGGGCTAGTCCACAAACTGAGAAAAAAAGAACATAAACAATAAAGCACTATTTTCATACAACGAGTCACAGAGAACAAGACATGATAAACTGGTGCCAAATATCAAAAAGTAAAATGATATTTTGTTGCAGTAGGGGTAGCCACTGAGGGCCTTGTTTCTTTTGTTAAATTAGTTGTGAAGACAAAGATAAAACACAACGAATGCATGGTGGGTTTTGAAGGTGTAAGACCACTCTTGTAGAGCGCAGTTAATGAAGACAGTTCTGGGAGGTAATAACACTAATCAACAAAACTAATGTTGACATGAGAAATTCTGTTTAAATCCAAAGTGGCACTCTATGAATGAGAAAAGTTCTTACCATTCAACTGAGAATGTGAACCTAGAGTGGAAAAAAAAATAAAAATAATCTCAATTACCTCATAAGAAACTGAAATATTGCATACATTTATATTACACTGTAAAAAGTGATCAGTTGACTTTACTTTAAAAAAAGAGTAAGTTTGTTGCCTTATACTTATTAAGTAAACAAAATAATGGACCCTTTTCATATTTCTGGGTTTCTCAGTACCGGTAGTTGTCATAGTTGGTAAACTCGCAGTAAATGGGAGAGTACAGCAAATATTTTTTTACAATCCTATTTGCTGAAATAATAAAAGAAAACCTTGACAGTGGTGTTACCAAGACTTTCAGAAAAACTAAAAATATAGAAGAGAGAACAGCATCAAATTTACTGTCCTGAAAATACAACCTGCATTTAAAACATCTCGCACAAGCGGTAATTTGTTTTTTAATTTGCAAAGAAGATTTAATGTATCATAAATACATCTAAATGTGCATACATTTTTTTTTTAAATCTAAATTTTAAAATCTTTAAAGTATTTAAGATGCTGATGACCATTAAACGTGTCACAACAGTCTTGTGAAAAGGGTCCATTATAAAACTTGAAATAAGTCAATGGGTTTACTGACTTTAAGTAAAATCAACTTGTGGCTTTCAAGGCAACGGGTCTACTCACTTTTTTAAATTAAAGTAACTGATCACTTTTACAGTGTAATGATAAAAACTCTTTCATAAACATCAAATAGAGTCCCTTACCTTGAACACACAAGAGCAGCGCTAAACTGACACAAGTGAACCTCCACATCTTCACCAGCTATCTCTTCTCCTGCAGGATGATTGCAGATGATGGATTTGTTTCTCTCTGCTCTCACAAACCCTTTTTATATCCACTTCTCCAGTCTCTGCTCGTCACTCTTCTAATTACTTTAATGGCGCTTTAATCAGTTTTTTTTCTCACCCTGTTTTTACAAGGCAGACCTATTAGACATGTATTCTGGAAGTTAATTCTCTGAACACAGATTTTAAGCAGGTTTTGTTTTCAAAGATTAAGTTTTGTTCTGCAGGGTGTTAATGCTAAGTCTCCAAGGGATAGTTCACCCAAAACTACAGCAATTGGACATTTTGTTCCAAAACCAGTTCCAAAACTTGTTTCTGACTTTCAGAGGTTGAATTGGTCAAGAATGACACCTTTGCTAGTAGACATTTTGTCACTCCCAGCAATAATAAAAGAATGTAAAAAAAATACAATTTCTACTTTTGGATGAGCTGTCTCTTTAAGAACAGGGAAATCTATTTTTAAAGTAAAATATGAAAAAAACGAAAATATATGATATCATACATAAGACATTAGGTGCGTTCGACGTGAAGCACGGCTGTAGCCGTTGATCAACAAGATTAGCCGAGTGCAGACGGGGTGGAGTTGACAACGGAGTCGTCAAGCCAGACACTTAAGGGGCTCAAAGTTGCAGCAGTCATGATGACCGATCACATGGCGTGATCATTTATTTACTTATTTTTACTGTAATAACAACAAAAGATTTACAGTACAAATAAAACAGAATACAGTCTCTACAAAGTATAGGTAATTTTAAAACAAGGGAATTATGTATTAAATTTAAGTAGCCGATATACCAAACGCATGAAAAATAAGGGGAAAATGAAAGGGCACATAAAAAAGAAATAAATATCCACGTTAAGGCCAATAAACACAAAGCAGTAAGCACATATTCTAGGAGTTAAAGCATCAGTCTTTAGGCTACTAGATGTTGAATGGGACGTCAATACTATTCCAGTTCTTGTTTGAATATGCTAAAAAAAGGGGGTTTACTTTTATTTACATTTATAAATATGAAACTTTCTAATATATATTAGTGTAAAACCTAAAACAAGTAGTTTTGTTTAAGTCTTTAACAATAATTAAGTTTATTTTGGATAATGAAAGCATTTTTAAAAAAGCACTTTAATCCAAAAAGATTGAACAAAAGGAGCAAAATAAATGAGCTTCACTTTAAGTTGAAATTTCCCAGAAAGAGCAGGTACATTAACATTTTTAAAATTTCTGCATAAACGGCTTGACAGGAAATAAATATTTATATATTTTATTTGTTAAGGAATCTTTATAGGGGTGTCAGGATCAATCATGATTATTTTATTTCAGGTCTGTAAGACTTATTTGAGTTAATATTTAGGTTGTTTACTAAAATATATGATTTAAATAGTTTATGGAGCTGAATACGTCATTCGCGCGTATCGCGCCGCAGGATGTCTATTCACGCTTTTGCATTGACTTAACATGTAAATCATTTGCGCTTGACGCGCTTTCCGCGTCTGGTGTGATCGCAGCATTACAGTCACATGGCGTCGGTGCAGCATCAATCTGGACAAAATTTCTAACTGGCATGCACTGCTTTAAGACAGATTTCGATCAATCTGTGCAGCGCTGAAGTCGAACGCACCTAGTCACTTCTACTGTATTCTATATAAAACTACTATTTTAAAAGTTTAAAATAGTTACAGAACTAAATCAGTAATATAGTAAAAAGAAGTATTTGCAGTTGATAACTTGTTTTTAAACTGTAATTAACTTAAACTGTAATTAGATAATCCTGAAAACGTTTTGTTTCAAACTACTGAAATAATGTCAATAAATATCACAAACACTCATGTGACTCTTAATTAATGAACTTTTTCCCAGTGTTTTCTAGTCAGCAGTGGGTAAAGCTTTACAATAAGGTTCATGCATTTACTAAAATGAACAATACATTTATTACAGTATTTATTAATTTTTGCTAATGTTACTGAAAGAAAATGTACTCGTTCGTTGTTAGTCCTTGTAAATTTTACATTAATAATATTAACTATACAACTTTAATAATGCATTAGCACATGTGGAATTTAACATTAGCTCAATAGATGATGTAGAAGTATTTTTCATTTTTAACTCATGATAGTAAATTATATTATTACTAACAGGTTTTGTTGCATATTCCAAAACCTTGCCTATGTTATGTAATGCTTAGCTAATCCCAATATGGTAGACAGTACTGTTTTCAGATATTAAAAGACGGTTGATTTATTAAAGACATCTTTCATTAAACAGCAATTAAGCTAAGCTCCCTTTATCAGAATTTGTGACAAACAGATATTTAAAAAACGGTGTTGGCAAAATGCACATACAACAGTGACAGTATATCTGTTAAGAGTTTAAGACACTAATTGTGATCTAAACTAAAGCATGTGGCAGTAACACATTTTGCAGTGTCATTGCAAATCTGTTATAGAGGGCAGATTCAGTGCTGCACTGTACAACAAGGTTCAAATTAGTTATGTAAGTTAATGCAATTACTAACATGAACAATACTTGTACAGCAAATATTATAATTTAGGCTTGATAAAATTAGTAATGCACTATGAGTTAACTTGAACAAATTTATTTTCATAAATTAACGTAAGAGATTATATAAACTTTGCTGTAAAAGTATTGTTTAATGTCTGTTCATAACATTAACTAATTCAACCTCATTGTAAAGTGTTTCCCTGTCGTTATAGTATTTTGAGCCATTTTAAACATTTTAGTTGTATATTTTTCATTCTTTTAATTTTTATTTATTTATTTATTTTTAATAAAGTTCAGAGGGCAACGCAGTGGCGCAGAAAGTAGTGCTGTCGCCTCACAGCAAGAAGGTCGCTGGTTCGAGCCTCGGCCTGGTCAGTTTGCGTTTCTGTGTGGAGTTTGCATTTGCATGGGTTTCCTCTGGGTGCTCCAGTTTACCCCACAATCCAAAGAAATGCAGTACATGTGAATTGGGTATAAATTATCTGTAGTGTTTGAGTGTGAATGAGTGTGTATAGATGTTTCCCAGAGATGGGTTGCAGCTGGAAGGGCATTTGCTGCGTAAAACATGTGCTGGATAAGTTGGCGGTTCATTCTGCTGTGGCGACACCGGATTAATAAAGGGACTAAGCCAAAAAGAAAATGAATGAATAAAGTTCAGAAAATCATAATGCTGAACCTTAAAATAAATTCTGGATGAATGAAATTATAGTGGGGTGGCATGGTGGCTCAGTTGTTAGCACTGTCGCCTCACGAAGGAAAATTAATGAATAAATTTATAACAAAAAACCCTAAAACAAACTCAATAAATCAATTACTTTTTGGGGGGTGGTAATCTATGTAAAGTGGTACATAAAACAATCCCAACATTTTTAATTCTAATACAAATTAAATGTTCTATTAATAGTTACCACACCTAAACATTGTTCAGATGTTGCATTTCAAGATAATTGTCAAGTTTGTTCCTCAATCTTCTCTTGTAAGACTAGATTCTTATGCATGCCATTTAAAGCCTGCACACCTTAGAATGTCCATCAGCCAAGATTACAATAACCTGCTGTAGTATTAACTGATAAAATCATTCATCCTTTTATAGATTAGCTAGGATTTGCAGTATACAGTCTCTTTAAATTATTTGTTCTCAGAAAAAACAAAGCATCAATAAATTATTATATAATATTATATAACACCTAAATAAGCAACTAAGAAATTTTGAATAAATTAATTTAAGAAAGTGTTTGTGATAGATAATATTACCTAAAATCTCATTCTGTAAGAAAAAGCATCTACCAAATGATTAAACGAATGGAAGTGCAACATTTTCTAAAGATCTCAGAATCTAAATTTTTTCTTACAGGTTTGGCTTGCATAGGGGGGGCTAATGCTTAGCTCAGATTAAATGTTTTCCATACATTTTCATTGCTGTGGGGACTATCCCTTTAACACCACTTGTTTTTTTTTTTACATAATTGTTTCCTTAAACATTTATCTCTGGAGTTGTGAAAGGTTTGACCTCCACAACCACTGCAATAATCCAAAAGGAAATCACACTTCAATCAAATTGACTTCTTCCGAGGTGCAAAATGCGTACAAGTAATATTTGAGTCCTCAGAATTGAATGCATTTTTATTTTCATGAGTTTTAAGTAAACATTGATATAATTATTATTTTGCAATCTGCATTATAATGGCTATGACTAGGCCCACACGGAATCTGCGCAAGCAGAATTCCGCAGATTTTCTGCAGATTTCCGCAGATTTTTAGTCCATCGTTAATTCTGTTTATTTACTTGAGTTAATGTGTGTAAATCTATAATTATTCAGTTTTTTAAATAATTAATGTAATATTATTGACTAATATAAAAATTTTCATCTGATTTATGTACAATGCAGTGTGTAGGGTAATATTTTCTGTCTTTTAGTAGATATATTAAATAACAGAATTGCTTATTTTACCAAGTAAAGTGGATATAAATGCATTTGCATTGTAAACATTAAATAAAACTTAAATAGATATTAAGGTTTTACGATACTCCCAAAATAATTCTGCAGAAATCCGCAGATTTTTACCAAAATTCTCCGCAGAAATAGCAAAAAAACGTCTGCAGATTTCGTCTGGCCCTAGCTATGACTAAATAAATATGCATAATATGGTTTATAAAGGCTTTTGCTGTTATAAATCACACCAACAGGGGGTGGATGAGCTCAATGATATTCTACTCTTCTAAAATTGTTGAACAAATTATATTATCACACTGTTAATGACTTTATTAAAATTCAGAGGTCATTTGCAGATTTTAAATGACCAACAATGACCCATTTACTAATTACCCACATAAGAAAATATGTCATTTATAGTAAATACAGTGCTTTGATCCATAGTAGGCTACTTGAATAATCTGTTGTAGAATTTATAGTTTCTATGATAATACAATAACGAATTACCTAATACTGTAGTTTTCTATAAGGTATATTATACTAATAAAAACAATATTGTACTGTACATGAATTAAGTATTTAATGAGGGAAACAGAAGAAAACCAAAATTTGTGTAGATAAAAGAATTTGCTTTAAAAAGCAGCTGTGATAGCATTACAAGAGATTAAAATTTCCTTGTGATGCAAATGCTATTAAAAGCTTTAATAAAAGCAAATCAGCTTGTTCTATATATGCATGCCTCTGGGTTTGCTGTCCATTTTGGCTTTTGCTCTCTCAGTTTCCAGAAATGATTATTAGCAGCTTTCACATCCTCTAACAACTTCTCGGTCATGTTCTCGTGTGTGTGAGATGCCTGTCTGTCCGCCCCCGTGACAAACCCCTGACGCCTTCATCCGGGACTTTTCCGCCAGAACACTCTCCAACATGGCGGCGTCAGGTGAGAATAATGCGCTCTGCCTTCGTTTGTTGGCTTCTTTGCAAAACAGATCAAAACAAATTTATATAACACTCTTGGGTTCAACCATAACGATTACGGCATGTACAATATGCGTTTTGATCAAACACGGCTCTTCAAAATATACTAGGGGAAACGCAAAGCATGAAGGATTAGTTGTATTGGGAAGCCTTATGCTCAAATGAATTAGCCAATATGCTAGCGGCCAAAGCATGCGCCTCCCCTATTCTGTTTTTATTTGGAGTTTTAGGACTGGACAAGACTTCGCTAACGGATGTTCGGGTGATTTAATGTGCTTGATAGTTAATATGATTAACACACGTAAAGTTTGTATATTATGGTAAGTGCATGAAGTTCTGGATGGTGCTAATAACCCGTGCTTGGCGCGCATGCGCAGAATGTTGCATAGGAGGGACGAGGTCACCACGTGCGTGGCGGAGACGCGGATATAGAGCTGAAATGGACGTTCCCCTATGATTATAAAACAACGATGTTGTAATGATAGGGGTTGAGTCACCTAAGTGCATCCGTTAGCTCGTGTTCACCATAAATATTTGTTCGTGTGCAGTTTTCACTCGTTTCTGTGTTTTCAGATGAGCATTCATTAACTTGTTGGTATTTCGTAGCCTATTAATTCATGATCAAATATAAGTTAGTTTATCCTCTGCTCATATCTCTGTGTCAAGACCATATGTAGCTTATTAATATTGTTTAAAGTGATCATTTACTCAACGAAGACGTGATCGTAATTTACTCCAGGCCATGTGAGATGTTGGCGATTCACCTTTTATTTTGTTTTAGCTTGAAACTGATACTTAAATCCATGAAATGCCAGACAAAAAGAGAATCCAACGGTCCTGTCAATACCTCGAGGTCTTATTAAATAATGTTTTGATGGGGTGTACATCATGAATGCGGCTTTTTTGGTAACAGTGTAACGTTATGCTCACGTTATTACTGCTTTCCAGGCCGTCATGGACGTTCTTAGGACAGTTTGTTGTGCAGTGTTAAAATGTAACAATGTTGCTTCTTGTTCAAACCGTTGTTTTGCTCAGTATATTGCCAGTAATGGACATACATTTTGTTGTGCAAGTAGCATTTCTACTGCACATAGCTTTTGACTTGCATTTTATAAATCATCTAGAACAGTGGATCTCAAACTTTTTTCATCAAGTACCACCTCAGGGGGAAAAAAAGTCTCTCCAAGTACCATCATAATGACCAGTATTGAAATACAGTAACGTAACTACTCACTCAAAATGTCAACATTTAAATTAAAATGTGCTTTTAAAAGTTAAAAATGATAGGTTACTGTTATTAAAAAGTAAAAAAAAAAACTCCTTTACTCCTGTAAAGTATTAACATAGTAGCCTATTTATCAACGCCTGTAAACATGGGCTACATGTCATCATATTCATATATAAATCATTTTTTAATAACATTTTTAAAAACATGTAGCATGTACATATGACATACTTGATTCCTTCGCGTACCACTAGAAGGAAGCCCACGTACCACTAGTGGTACACGTACCACAGTTGGAGAATCACTGACCTAGAACAACAGTTTGCAAATCAATGGCATCCTTTGACACCAGTGACATTATAAAAGTGTTTTTAGGCAAGTCCATCAACGTATAAGATTCTGACGGTATGAAAACCTTGGTTAAAATATTTTTTTTTATGGTATTGCATTTACTGCGTTATTTTTTAAATATCTTGGTAAAAATACATTTTTTCCCCATTTGAACACAATATATTTTATTTTGAGAAATATTTAAAACATTTTGAATTAGTAAACATGTATGAATTATAGATTTCTGCTGTTTTTATTAGTATTAAACGGATACTACAGATTTCTTCACAATTTAAAACGGCATCATTGGATATTTCAGCTGAAAGTACTGTTGTCTAAAAAAAAAAAAACTTCAATACATGTACTGTAGGAACGGTATAGCAGAAAATATTGCTGGTTTTAAAGCTTTGACTTTTCCAAACCGTGGTATACCTTGAAAACGGTTGTTGTCCCATGCCTACATCTAATACAGGAACAGTATGTGTGTGCTTTCTCACCTCTTCAGTTTGTGTCATTAGTACTTTTTTGCACTTGGGGGTGACATTGCTTAACATTTTGTGAGAGGTGTAAAAACAATTAGCATCTTTTATGGATTTTGCATTTACATGAAGGGCGTTGAGAGGTTCCTACAATTCCAGGTAATTACAAGTAAAACTTTGCACTTTTAAAGATTGTGAGAACGTCTTTGAATAATATATTATTGCTTATTCATTTGGGCATAGTCATGCATTGCCTGTTATCTCTAACACCATGTCCTAGCTAGGGTGGGGACCTTCAAATCATAATCTTATTCTGAATGTTACAGTTCGCGTGAAATGAACATTGTCCTACTCTTCACAGTTCTGTTTTCTGAACGCATGTTATTGATTTTGGGAACTTTATTTATGGGATAAGTTTGCGCTGATGGAAATTGTAGCAGTAAAATGTTTTTGGTTGTCTGTACATAACTTTTTTGCTTTATATATGTTGTTATTTTTTATTTATATGATGTTTTTTATTAGGGATCCTAAATCTGATTCAGGTCAGATATTTTGCAATGTGACCTCAGTCTGAACCACTATTCTGAGTTCACGTGACTTTTATGTCACTGTAGATTGACTTTTGCCATATTTCCGGCCTCTCTGTGTAGAAGCACAGTGAAGTGTTTAAATACATTTATACGTGTTTGAATACACAGCTATACATAATAAATTAAGTTTAAGGAAATATTCTATTATAAAAGCATTCCAACTTCACTCTTCGTCCTCTTTATCTTGTGATTCAATTATTATTTAATAAAAAAACATAAAACTAACTTCAGTTGCCTCAGTGTTTACCTCCAAATGATGGCGTGATGCGGTCTGAAGATCTTTCTTTTGCATGTACAGGTCAGTTCAGGATTGTAATCAGTTCATGCCAAATCTGATACTAGCCAAACTAAACAAAAAAAAAAATCTGATCTGTACAATAAATCAAAATCCAGCATAGAAAAAGAACCTTTTAAATCTTCACCACATGTTAAAGTTCCACTGCAAGCTCATATTCACACATGTTTGTCACAATATGAAAGAATAAAATCTTTCACTGCTGTCATTTCCCTCTGACATAATGCATAAGTTTGTCTAAAAACTAGTAATCTTAGCATGTTTTTATTTTCTTTAGCTAAGAAGAATAAGAAGAAGGGGAAGACCCTGACTCTCAATGATTTTCTTGCTGATGAAACTGGTGGCAATGCACCTCCCAGTTTCCCCACCACAAAGGCCACCAGCTGGGCCGACGAGACTGATGACTTGGAAGGAGATGGTGAGTAAAGGCTGGAATTTCATTTTTAAAATCCAAACAGCCTAGATTCTTTTAGTAACATGACAAAATAAAACAATTTGTGTAAATGTATCAACCGGAAATGAGATGGAATCATTGGCTCTGTTTCCACTGGTTTTATCATGCATTTTCAGGGATTTGCTCACAAATTGTCTGACTCATTTTTGTTTCCATCTGTTAATCCGCTTTTTAAGACGTATGGTATACTGTTTCTGGGTTCAAGCTGCTACTCGTTAGAATTAGGAAAATATTTGTTTGTGACCACTTTTTAGTCATATCACACATGAAAGTGAATTTCATATAAAATCATAGTGTACAGAACAGTCTCTGAACTAGCTGCGTCACAGACACCAATATTTTAACATAAAAAATACATAAAATAAAAATATTCTTTCTAAAAAAAATTAATCACTTTCTAGCCATCAGATATTAGGCATGGAGATATATATAGGTGTATATATATATTTATACATTTATTATTACTATTTGAGTCTCCCCATACAGTTTGATAGAGGGCTTTGACCAAGAAGTCGCTTCGCATGACGTCACACTTAACAAGCAGACAACATGCATTAAAAAAGCATTTCTTTTTACTAGTTGTTTATGTTTCATGAATCCATGTTACTCTGCTTGTGCGAAAGCAAGCGATTGAAAAGGACATGATTGGCCACTACACTTTTGATCATAATCTGTGGGTGCTTCTCAAGTCTTATTTGTGCATCTTTGTTTCCTCCCTCTCTTTGCCACCCCCTCAGGATTTGAGAGAAAGTTGCAAGGAAAAGATGTGAGGATGGAGGAGTTAAATCGAGTGAAATAATATGTCCTTTAGTAACACTTGAAAGCGTCATCATTTAATAAATACTGAACACAACTGATTTTGCTTACAAGTCAGGATTCTCGAATATTAGAGATTAATATTTATATTCTAACGGCTTCATCCGTCCACAAAACACCATATTTGGATGTTTTTTTTATTTGTTGTTATTAGCAATGAATTATTGACGGGTATTATTAACTGCATTTTTATATTATATCTTAATAGTACATTACATTAAAATTAAAGGAACTGTTGAAGCAGCGCACATTAACAATAACTTGATGCTTATTCACATTAACTGTGTATCCTTGCTTACGAAGCCTCCTTGATCCTCAGTCAGAACTGGTCCATCTGGCAAGACTTTTTAGAACTATTTGCTATTCCATGGGCAAGAGAGCTGCCGTTAAACCTGGTCAGATGGTGGTTTTGAACCATCATGCTTTATTTAATCTAGGTTTTGACACACCATCTATGAAAGTTGCTATTATGTTTATAACATAATTTACATTGGCATCCAAACAGAGCAAATACAAATGTGTCTGAGCAGCATGCTGTAGTTTTTTTATAGACAAGTTAAGCTGCCATTTTAAATGTGGTGCTCAAAACAATTTCTCTTTGTCTTGTTGGCCACATCAACCCCGGAGGCTAAATGTAACTTTAAACAAGATCTGGTGTATTTTGAGATCTTCTCAAAGAAATCCTGTTCTGTGGTGTTTCATTGTCTTCCTCTATAGTTTCAACTTCCTGGCATACTGTGGAGGACACGTATCGAGCTCCTCCCATTGATCGTTCCATCCTGCCAACTGCGCCCCGTGCAGCACGAGAGCCAAACGTCGACCGCTCTCGACTGCCCCGCAGCCCGCCTTACACCGCCTTCCTCGGTAACCTGCCCTACGACGTGAGTGAGGAATCCATCCGGGACTTCTTCAGAGGCCTTGCGGTCAGTAAGATCATATGCATCTTTATAAACCAGATGCTTGGACAACATGCATACTTTTTCACAATAGTATTGAAGGGAGTGTTTGCATTAGCACTTGATGGATGCAGAATATGTGTAACTGTATGTGTTTCATATGTGTTTGTGTTTTCAGATCAGTGCAGTACGCTTGCCACGGGAGCCAAATAACCCAGAGAGACTTAAGGGTTTTGGTTATGCTGAATTTGATGATATTGAATCACTTTTGCGTGCTCTCAGTCTAAATGAAGAGGTGGGTGTTTAATCAAATTTAAGCTTAATACATTGATTTTTTTTTTCTGCTTTTTTATTTTTATTAAATGTTCATTAAATGTGTGTAGAATCTTGGCAACAGACGTATCCGAGTGGATATCGCAGATCAGTCCAATGACAAAGGTGAATTGATAATATACAAACTTTTACAAATTGTATTTAGTTTTGTAAGAGTATTTTTCTTGACTAAAGTTATTGTCATGTTTCTACAGAGCGGGACAGTGGAATGATGTCAGGCCGAGACAGGGATAGAGATCGTGGCCGTGGGATGGACAGTGGTCCTGATAAGACTGATTCTGATTGGAGGGCACGGCCAAGCTCAGACCAAGATGATGGCCCACGCAAAGATGATGGATATGGGGACAGTAAGTCAGACAGATGCACAGTTAATGTCATGCTTAAAACAGGTTTTTTTTAGGTTGTAGAATGACTAATATTGAAATTAAATTCACTAAATCCAATTTGTGACTTATGTCAAAATAAGTTGACTATAAAACATTTTAATACTATGTAAATTTTGAAACAATATAACAATAAACTAAGATAAATCAAAGAATAATTTTTTTGCCACGTCTTCGATCTTTTGGAGCATCGAAAAAATTCTTGAATAATTTTTTATGTCTGTACTCATATGTGTTCTGCAGTATTGTGTGGTATGCAAGTCCGTCTGTGTCTAAAAACAAAGTTGATGAACCAGATTAAAATCTGTTTAAAGATAGTAGGAAAGCTTTTTGAGAAATTATTTCACTGTTCATATTACAAGAACCTCAAAAGGCTGGCAGGGAACATCATTTCAAACCCTAGTCATGTGTTAAATCATGAATTTATACCATTATAGTCTAACCGTCGATTTAGAGTCCCTAGTTTTAAAGGGCCATGAAATCCCTCTGTTTCAGCAGGGTTTTTTCACACCTCTACTTTGGAAAAAGTCAAGAAAGTGATCGTGTCCAGCTCTGTTTAGGGGGGAGTTTCTGAGGAGGGAAAAGGCAAGGTCCGTAAAAATTTGCATAAAAATGGTATTGCCGGTTTGGGCACGCGCTGATTTTCACAGTCAAAATAAACACAGAGGAGAAAGACAGTGTGACTGTGTTTACATGGACCTCAGTAATCAAATTATTTGCCAAATTATTAAATGGTGGACTTTTAACTGCAGTTTGGCTCTTTCATTCAGGAATTTCATTCATGCCCCTCGTGACGAACGAGATATTTGATGTTTGGAATTGCTGGAATTGTGTAGCTTTCATGCAATGTTTGTTACCGCACGGCGAATGAGAGAAAAACGCCTTCCGCATTTCTCTGTAATTTAGATACACTCGGTAGGTAGCGTCAGAAAGCCGTGTGTGTTACTCCTGTCACAAAATGCAGCGAAAATCCTCCTTGAGGGTAAGTTTGGTTGTGGTGCTTACATGTTTACACTCGGAGAGCAGCATTTACAGCACTTTTTACAGTCCATAATATTGTAGTGATATTAAAGTACGGTAAACTTTATTAACTTAAGAAATAATTTGACAAAGGTCTGTCTTTAAACACTGAGAGAGAGAACTGCTGACGATAACTTTGCCTCTGAATAAACAAACAAAGACCACTGGTCGCTCACTTACCAAATCTGTAGAGACAGGACAAATAACAGCAACTAGAGCTGCGTCTTCATTAAAAGGAGATGAGCGGCAAATCCGGATTTCACCATTTCCAGATGAGAAAAGCTCTTGGGTAAAAAATGTTACTCAGACATGAATTTTTGTCACGCTTCGCATGCACTGTAATCCACATGTGAGTACAGCTGTGCTTTCATAGAGAGAAAATGAAAAAAAACCTTCACTGCAACAAATTACAAAAGCAGCACTGATCACCCGTATCTCCAAACAATTCATGTTCTCCCGCTTGGCAACACAACGTGGCATCTCTCTGCTGTCTAAACACTAACTGGTTAAACAGTCTTGGAAGCTATCATGCATATTAATGAAGTTGCACCGCATACCCAATAGAGCGCGTGGATTGGTTTGAACCAAGTCTTGAATGAATGCAGCACACTCAGAGACGTAACAAGGAACTCCCAGGTACAGATGTCCAGTGTACACGCTGGAATACATACTAAGATCTCATGGCCGTGATGCAGCTTCAAAAATTTGTTTCAAACCGGAAGTATGACTTTGCTCAAAATAACGCAAAAACAACCAATTTTCACTTTTTAGTGAAATATAGGTGTCCTAATAGTGTTTTTAGCAGTGTGGGACACATATACGACTGTCAACAGCTCAAAAAAATGTGTTGGTGTTTTTTGACCCTTTAATAAAGTGCAGTTAAAAAGACATTTGTACATTTATTATGTCTTGGAGCTGAATAAAGCCAGTGTAAAATAAAATCTTTATTTATTTATTTTTTTGGGAGGTCTTTGGCTCTTTGTAAGCATTTTATCATGCTTTTATGCAAGAAAAAAATCAGATGCAAATCTGACAATGAATTATTGTAATATTAGACAATGTTTTTATTAGGAAAATATTTTTAGGAATTTTTTAAAAAGGTGTCTTTTGGAGGACTTTTAGACCTAATTTGGGTTGGGTACCGAAACCCGCTGCCATTATAGCACCGGTACCTTGGTAACTGGTATGTACCGGTATTAAATCAGCATATAAATTTCTGTGCCTAATTTCGGTGCTGCAGCAAGGACGTGAGGGGTGCATGAAAAAAGACACACATAGGCGTTGTCACAGCATCATTAAACATTTAATTCTAAACAACTTTGAGGAATACGGACAGGCGATATCAGGCTATTGTTATTGTAACTAGGGAACAGACGCACGCAACGTGCGCAGTACAGCGCATTCAGCCTGGTTTTTCAGCGATTTTCGGTGAGCAAGAGCGACACTCTTCAGATCAACACACATGATCACGTTCATTCAATTTGCTTAAACTAAGGATTCTAAAGCGTATTTTAAAAGCAAGGATTCTGACACAGCAACTGTCTTTACAAAAGTTGCGTGTAAGGGGGAAACATGTCAAACTTAATCTTACATTTAAGGGCTCAAAGGCAGAGCCTCTCTCGCGTGCTTTAGGTGTCACGAGCAATCGCTCCCTCGAGCATTCGCTTATGCTCGCCCCCTCTGTTTTCGCGGCACTTGCTATCTCTGTGACGGTGCTGCGCGCATCAGTTCCCCGCATTCGTCAGAAGTTAACGCCCAAATTGACACAGGTAATAAAAAGATTAAACTTCAGTCAGGTTGTGAAACACTATCAAAATGTCCACAGTTGATGATACTAGACTTATGTTTTCAGTAGCGATTTTAACACTGTTAATATAGGAAGTCCTCTGCTATGCAGAGACCATTATTAATCAAAAATCTAGTGTACATAGTTTAACGTTTGTAAATGCAGTCTTGAATTTACAGTTGGCAAGTACCAAAGAACAGATCTAACACATGATCAAATGTAGTTTTCAGTCACGCTCATGTAAGTCGTATTCAACTCGTTTAGTTTTGCCTTCTTTCATTTTTCATATCCGTCTTCAACACAGGATTTATTTACAACACATTTGTAAACATATTAGTTTAAATAACTCGTTTCTAATATCTACTGTTTTATCTTCCCCTTGCTGACAGTCAGTGCATAATATTTTACTAGTTATTTTGCAAGACAGTTGTTTTCAGACAAAGTCCCTTTAAGTATTTTCTAGTTTTTTTATTAAGATAAAAGTGTAATTCAGACTTAATCAGTCAACTACGAAAGTTAAAATAATTAGTCAAATTATTTTGTAACTAATTTGTTGTGTAAATCAAAAATATACTGTAAATATTTCTTAAGGAGGCTAATAATACTGACCTTATTTTTATTTAAATTAAAAACAGCTTTTATTCACAAAATAAACAATAAGAAATAGAACTTATTATGACTCCAGAATAATTATTTTTTAGGAAACACTGTAAAAATTTTCAGAAACATTATTTTAAATGAAAGGGAGGGCAAAATAAAAGGACTTCAACTGTAGGCCTGTTAAAGTTTACAGGTGCAACAATGTGCCTTGATGTACTTGAATGTTAGAAATGTGTTCTCCTACACCAGTATAACGTTACTTGTCAAATAAATGAACAAGGAAGATTATTTTGAGTTTAATCTTTAATCTTTTAATCTTGTTTATGAAGACTGCAGAGTGATGCATGAAAACAAATGACTTCGAATAATGTTTTAAGTATTTTGTGATAAGTTAAAATGTGCTCCTAAAAGTATGTGGCTCTTACCTGTTTACTTTAAACTGTCATTATATTGTTCTATTAAAATTATTAAAAAAAAAAAATTTTGTCAAATAAAATATTGTTGAAGAGGTATCCATTATCATTTTGTGGCTAAAAAGTAGCGGTTCAGGCACCGTTTTGGCACCGGTATCGTTTTAAAAGTATCGATTTAGCACCGGTATCGGAAAAAAAAAAAAAAAATACCCAACCCTACCTCTAATATGACCTTTTTTGTCAATGTTGTCATTTGTGTGTTTTTGCATAATACTTGTTAATTAAGAAACTAATGATATATTTTGGTATTTATTACCAATGTTGCTAGAAATATAGCCAATGCTGCTGATTTGGCAATATTACATGCATGCATGCATACATGCATTTAGATAAAATTTCGCCGAAGTGTTCATGTCAACCCACTGTAGTTTGAACCTTTTATTAGACTAATTTGTCTACCCAATTTGTCAAAGCAGACTTGCATCATATCAGTTTGTTCTTTGATTTAGCTTATCAGGATCCTAATGGTGCTGTTTTTGGCAGTCAATGTTTATTATCAGTGACATGCTGTTGTCTCTTTGCAGAGTCGCGTGACCGCTACGAGTCAGACAGGTTCAGAGATGGTCCACGGCGTGATGATCGCTTCAGTGGTAGAGATCGCTACGATGACAGGGATCGAAAAGATCGTTATGATGACAGAGACCGAAGGGATCGCTTCGATGACAGAGGCAGCAGAGACTATGATCGTGGAGGTTGGCTGACACAGTTCACTTTTATTATGTAAAGTCCACCATGAATGCTAGTTAAATTTTTGGTGTACATGCATATTGTAGTTTGCGTTATAACTAATTGTTTGTTCATGTGATTGTGTTAGGTTTTGATTCACGTGGTGGAGGACGTCGGGGATTCAGCAGTGGCTTCAGACGGGACTATGAGGACCGGCGAGATGGAGATCGCTTTGGAGATAGGGAGGACAGGAGGGATGAAGGCAGAGAAGAGAGGGGTAGATTGAAACACTAAAGATACAACTTAATCAAAAGTGTAGCACGTCTCTATTCTGATTGTCTAATTTTTTTGTTTTAGGTCCTCCACAGAGGCCCAAGTTAAATCTGAAGCCACGGAGCATCCCGAAAGAAGAGGAGCAGAGTGGAAGCGTGTCCCCCCAGAGCAACCCGACAAATACCAGCAGGGCCTCCTCTATATTTGGAGCAGCCAAGCCTGTGGACACAGCTGCTAAAGAAAGAGAGGTGGAGGAGAGGCTGAAGAAAGAACAAGAACGCCTCCAGAGACAACTGGAGGAGGACAAGAACAGGCCCTCAGAGAGACGGCCACGAGACAGGTGAGATGGGCCCAGTAAATGGGGTGATGTGAAACTTGCCTGCTTCATGTCTAGGCCATCATCTTGGAACCTGCACATCAGAATAATTAATCAAACCAGCCAACATGCAAATTTTCACTTAAAGAATGAAAAAAGTGGCTAGGTTAGATTCGTTTAAACTTTGTATGTTTTAAAAAAAAAACAGGGCACAGAAAAAAGCACATATTATTATAGATCTCATACAAAACATTCTGACATTACTTAAGCTACATATACTACATTACATAGTTCAGGATCTTCTGGAGTCTCTAAAAAAGTAACTTGTTAATTATGATATAAAGGTAACTGAAAGATTTCAATGGTTGACTTTTTTTTTTTTCAGAGACCCGAGTTGGAGAAGTGAAGAGCCACCTAAAGAGCGCCAACACACAGGAAGTGAATCTTCACATCCTAAAGGTAATACACTAATGTTCCTAGTAGATTTTTTTTCATGGCTATATCAAAAACTTTATATGTATGTCATGCAGAAAAACTACACAATCTTAAATGCTGTATAGATATGTATATTCCACTGTTTGATTTACTGTTTGTAAATCACAAAGGCATAAAACAAAATTACTGACTATTAAAAAAATTGAAATGAAAATAGAAAAATCCACTGTAAATCTTAAAGGGTAGCTCACTCAAAACTGAAAATTCTGTTTTGTTTTTTTCTGTTACACTCAAAGTCATTTACTTTGAAAAATCACAGAAACCTGTAAGCATTGACTCTCATAAAATTAGTTTTTCCTGCTGTGGAAGTAAATGGTTACAGGTTTTTAAAAAAAAATTCTATATTTGTTTGTGTTACACAAAATGTAAATATTTGTTTTCAACAAAGTAAAGAAACTAGGGAGATTAAATGGTGAGTAAATGGTTTTTTTTGGGTGAACTTTTTTTTTTTTTTACGGTGATATTTGAAGGTGTCTATAATGATAACAGGATTACATGCCCATTTAAATCCTCTTTCAATTCCAATTCCAATTTTTGACAAAATAATCACACAGTGACTTAAATTGAAAATTCCTACCAATAGTGAACAAAATGTGGTTAAAGTCATGTTTTTGTTGATCAGGATCTAGGTGTCGAGATGATGAACATTCAGAGAATGAAGTCTTCAGTGGCCAGGAGAGCGAGCCGATCTCTCCCACATCTCCATCCCCTACTTCCAATCAGGGAAGTCTCCCACTGAAGGTAATGCCAGCTCCTCCGCCTAAAGAAAACGCCTGGGCCAAACGCAGCTTGGGGGGTGGAGCTAATGAGAAGGAAGCACCACCCTCGGCAAATGCACCTATCAACAAAAGTGCTCCTAGACCCAACAGGTGGGATTTTTCTCACAGAGTTATGGAAGTACAATTATACAGTTAAAGTCAAAATTATTAACCTATTAAAGATGAGAGTTATTCAAACTCAGTTGTTGAAACAGATCTTCCGCTAAACAGAAATTGTGGGTGAAAAATATACAGGGGGGGGCTGATAATTTAGGAGGGCAAATAATTTTGACTTCAGCTGTAAATGTAAAACTGACAAGTGACATTGGCCAAAGTCACAGTCTCTGTTATTGTTTACATAGGTCAGCGGATGAGAGAGAATCAGGCAAGGGTAAAAGTCTTCACATTAACAATTTAACATAAGTGACAAGGACTTATGTGTGCAGTTTATTCACTTGTCCTTTGTTCTGTTTGCTAGATGAAAACCGGGTTGATGGTGTTAGAAAGGATAAAGTTTTGCCTGCAGGAAGAGGAGGGGGTGGAGGAGTTGGGAGAGGAGGAGGAAGCGTAGAAGGAGTAGGCAAAGGACGAGGAGTTGACTGTCCAAATAAAGAGAAACGGAGAGAGCCTTCAGACAGGCGAGGATGCTTTTACTAAACTAAATTTGTCATCAACTTAATAAATTCACTGCGTTGACAGCATGCTGAATTGAGGATCAGTATCAAAATCTGTTGTAGGGCAAAAAAACCTTTTCTAGATCTTTTTACCATGTAGATTGATCAAATCAACTTTAATGTAGAAAAAGAAAATAGTCAATTATGAGTGTCTTTTTAAGTAGAGCTGCACGGTTCTGGATAAAATGAAAATCACAATTATTTTTATTTAGCTTAAAATCTAATTCACGATTCTCTCACGACTCTGATGTAAAATAAAGATTAATACGAGAAGGATATTGTTCTCATACTTATGTCTATGCCTACTGTTGGTTAAAATGCTAAATTTTGTATAGACCTTGAATGGTGGACTTAAACAGACTTAAAATTTAGCCTGGTTGTTTAGCCACAGTGATTTATATGAGAATACAACCATTCATAATTCTAAAGTTGAATTGTTGTGTTCGATACATATGCTTGCAATCTGTTATTAGCTTAATTTCCATTCACCTATTTTTATGCACGTTTTGGTGATGCAAATAAAAAAAAACTGTTGATGGAAACTCGTGATGCGCATACATTTTTTAAATGCACGTAAAAAAAAAAAAAGTATGCGCATTACTGAGTAGGATAAACTTTTATCCAATAAGAAAATGTGCATAAACTGCGATGCAAACACTTTTACCGCACAATTTCCAGAATGCCCATCAAAAAAAGTCATGTGATTTTGTTATGAGATCATGTGATGACAAATATGTGTGAATGGATAAACCAGCAGGCGGAGCACATTCTAAAACATCGAAAATGTTGTTTTGGTCATTCTAAAACGCTGTAACTGTTTAAGTATTAGTGTTATTATATTATTAATCACATCCAGAATCACGAGCGTCACCGCACGTTCACTGCCTGTCAGGATTGTCTTTTGAGGCACAAGTCATTTATTACATAAAGAAAAGATTGACGCAGCTTCTCCCGCATCAAATTCTGTTTTTACTGTTGATATTTGGCGCTAGATAATCAGGAAGTGGCAATTATGTTCGCTTTGACTCGTTGGATGGAAACGCTGCTTTAGTAGCACATCTTTTATACGATAGTACAGATATGTGCATGAAGTTAATTAACATTTTTGGATGGAAGCAAAGCTATTGACAGCATTATTAGACATTTTTATTTACTGGTAAAATCAGACATTTGTCATTATCAGATTCTCTCTTGCATTCTGCTCAACATTTTATAGACTACTGTAGTTATACTGACACTGTTACACGTTTATTTTCATGCACAACACTGTTCTCTATGAAAGATCAAACATCAAATGCTTGTCATAATCATAACTCTAAAATGCGATATGATTATTTAAGTGGTGTGTGCGCTTTCAGTTTCACATTCACTGCCGATAGCGCTCATGTCATGGCTGCCATCACTTTGAGAAAGAAAAAAACATCGCGTAAACGTTATTTACAACTTTATTCAGAGGCTATGCAGGTTCTGTTCACTAAAGTAGACATCATTCGTGGCCATATCTGCAGGCCTCTCAGTAGGCAACAAACAGTGCATCAACTCGCAGGTCATTTCGCGGCCATGAAAACATCATATGATTAAGACAGAACTTGCATTTTTGGGTGAATTATATCTTATAAATACAGTAAGTGACTCTCTTAATACCATTTGGAGGTGTTCATGTTGCTAAGCAATGTATATAAAACAATGTGAAGACTTGTGTGACTGCCTTCTCTCCCGAGCTTGTAGATATTAATGGCTGAATCGTAGATATCCTGGATTAAGATTGTGTGGGGAGTTGAATTGCGATTGATCTTTTTCTGGTTAATAGTGCAGCCCTGTTTATAAGCTTGTTTTTAGATTCTGACGGATGTTGATGAGACAGTTTATGGTGTCCTTTGACTTCCATTTTTTTTTTCCAACATGGAACTTACTGGTTACCATCAACTATATTTTGAAAGCAATTTTAAAATGTTATGACGTTCAAATGAGGAAAGAAACACAAATTGAGGGGGATTAAACAGTGAGTGTACTTATTTTAGTTTTGGCTTTAGTTACAAAATGATTCATTCAACTTTCAGTAGAAAGTTTTGCAGTTGTTATTATTTGATAAGTTCACCAATGAAGCAAAAGAGCAAGCTGCATTTTGTGTTCTTTAATAGCAACAAATAATAGTTTCAAGGTATTTTAAAGTTTATATTTTTATTTTTTAAGGATCTTTTTTTAAACCCTTTCATGTTTTAATTGACAGGAAGGAGGTCAAGCGGGACAAAGATCCCAGAATAGCCTCTGAACCAAAGAAGTATGAAGAGAGTGCTCCTCCTGTGAGTACTTCACCTGGCCTTGACCCCTCAATGAGAATTTCTTAAAGCGTTTTCAATGTAGTCTAAGTTAAAAGAACCATTTGACCCTGCAAAAAACTGAAATTGTTGGAAACTTGGTGTTGTTCATCTTACTGGTACTTATTCAAAAGCAAATACTGTAAACATGGCACTCAGACTTTTTTTTTCTTTTTTCTTTCCTTTCCATACAGAAGTTCAGCTCTGCAAGCAAGTACGCTGCCCTGCTAATGGACGGAGACCAGGGAGAAGAAGGTGATGGAGAGGAATGAACAATTAGGAAGGATCAACTACTACAGAAACACACAACAGGAGAAAATGAGCATGATCAAATTAGAGTTCCCTCATGCTGAAAGAATGGCCACAATGCTGTTTCTGTCACATTTATGGAAATTTATAAAGGTATTCCTGAAACTGGCCCATTTTAATAAAAAAAATAAATAAAATAAAAACAAATCAGTGCAGTGAGTAGATGAATGCATTCACACGTGTAGACATTTAAAAATCATTGTTAATTTGAAAGTCATTGTTATAAATAAAAAAGTATGTAAGATACTGTAACTTGTCTCTGTATTCCTCCTTTTTGTTCTTATATCAGTTAGCATATGTAAAATATGAAGCCAGGTCAGTCTCAATAATAATACATTTACAATGTGTAATTCATATATCCACAACACAATTCACATTTACAAAATCCAATTTATAAATTCAAAACACGCTTAAAAACTACATGAATCTCATTTAATGTAAAACATGATTCAAAAATATACAAATCCAATTTGCCAATTCAAAACACGATTGAAAAGTACATTAATTCAATTTGTTCATTCAAACTGTGATTCAAACCACAAAAAAATAGACAGATCCAGTTCGTACATTTAAAACTATACAAATCCAATTTAATTCAAAACACGATTAAAAAATTTACAAATTCAATTTGAAAATTCTAAACATGATTCAAAAATACACATCCGATTCGAAAAGTCAAAACACAATTTAAAAAATACACAAGTCCAACTGGTAAATTAATAACATGATTAAAAAATACACATTCAATTTGTAAATTTAAAACTTGATTAAACAATACAAATCCAATTCGATAATAAAAAAAAATTAAATACACAAATCCAATTTAAAAAAAACAAAACATGATTTAGAAATACACAAATTCAACTCGTAAATTCAAAACATGATTATAAAATTGACACATTCAATTCATAAATTAAAAAAATACACAAATACAATTAATTTGGCAAAAATATTTATGATTTTTACTTACAAATTGTATGCATGTATGAATTTTATTTTATAAATAATTTTTAACTGATCTGGCTTCATAATGCTTATATAAATCTTATAATGCCTCAAATTGAAACAGTTTCCGCTTCATAGTCATTCAGTCATCTCAAACCTGTACGTATTGTCATGTTCTCAAATGGTAGGATAGTGAACTCCCTCAAAGTGCTCTCAAACTAGTGTAATAGTCCAACACTGAGGCTGTGCAGATCCTCCCATTCCCTTGGTGATTGAGTATTGAAATAAGCTGTCCAAGACTCTTCATGCTTTTCCTTCCCTCAGAGCTATAATATATTACTTACCGTAAAAGTCTTGACACCTAAAAAAAATCCATACTTGGACTGCATGTGTGCCACTAGAAAACTGTTTTTGTAACATTCTAGAGCCATCTTCATGTTTTTGAGCCTCGTTTGTTTCTCAAGGTGTTTTTCACATAAGTGCTTTATTGGATGGAGTTTATGGGCTGCTTAAGGGTGGGATGCTTGTTGCATTCTTTTGTGAGGTCATTTTGTGCTGTTGGTCCATGTTTTCCCAGCTGCCTTAACTGAACTCCCTTGCCTGTAACCGTTATGTGGGCTATTTTATTCTTACAGAACTACTGCAGCACATATCGTCAGGTTTCTTTATTTCGAGTGAAATGAGTTGATCTGTTATAACATTTCCTCATAACATCCTTGACACTCGAGATGGACTGTGGCAATGCTCTTATAAAAGTGAATGCAACAACAGTGCTTCCACATGAAAATGTTCCAGTGCTCTGTCAATTAAACACACTCTGGTGCTGTTGTGAATCAGATTTGATGAGAACAATGTTTTTGACGTCCTGATGGCTTTGATAAAACGTAATGGCTCTGTGGTCTGCTGATATGGTTAACACAACCAGTGCTGGGTGGATGGCATGTAGTTGTATTTTACAGATTACCTTTTGAAGGTTATGATTTAGTTGACTTATTTTAATCGAATTTGGGGCTATATGCACACAGACTTTTAATTTCAGCCAGCCTCGACGCTTTCGGTGAACTATCCATTATGGGGGGCACTCCCTAGATCATGGAGTAGTCGGGTTTTTTTTTTTTTGAGCTCCTCTCGTCACTATGTTTGAAATGTTTTCATAAGTAAAGTACTGTTAGTCCTCTTTATAATCGATTGTGGCTTCTTTGTAAGGTAGTTAACGTCAGGTGTACTGAGCTCACTGTGAAGTTGAAGTAAAAATTTCATTACTTTATGGATTCTTTCATCAGCTGAAAATGGCATCTAGAAAACTTCAAAAGGGGGGCTATCTTTCCATTATAAAATTGCCACGTTTAAGGTCTGATCTCTTTAAAAAAAATTATAATAAATAAATTTTAAAAACATGTTCATTGTCTGATAGATATACGATATCAGACCGGATAAGAAGTTCTGCATTAAATTCAATTCCCCCCTGCCATGTCTATAAATTATGATAGTTTATTTTACTCGAGTATCTTCAATTGAGTTTTTGCTTTCGCCTGCTGATACTGACAGCACTAGCAGTTAAGCGGTCTTTGTGTTTTATGCTTGAACAACTAAATGAATGCTTCTATTTACCTGAATCTATTGTAATTATATTACAACATCGATGCTGTCAAAGGAACCTTATGGAGCTGAAAAGTCACATTAAACTTTCACTGAAATTTAATCTTTGGTTGAAAAACATTAGCTGTGCATATACCCCATTCAGAAATAAGTAGAAATTCAGTATTTAGGAAATTTAAATCATGATATGACATGCTGTAAGATTTTTAGAAATAAATGTTAAAGTAGGATGATTAAACTATAAATTATTTATGTGAATATGAAATCTTGTCCATAACCATAAACGGGCTATTGTAATCTCATTTGTAATGTGCTTCATTTTTGCATTACATGAACTGTATGCTAACCACAGCACAGCTTACATCTTATAGTTCACCTCTGTTTTATTTATTATTTTTTTAAATATGCTTTGTTTCCAAAGTTGAAACAAAAGCTGTTTGTTTATGGGAAATTTAGGACAAATTTGTCTTTTTTTGTTTCTGAAACGTATCCTCATGCCATAATCTTGTCCATCTTGTCTTACTGTTTGCCCGTTTGGTCTCTCACAACAAATCAGGGGCGTAGCAAGTAGGGGGGCACAGGGGGATATGTCCTCCTCCCTTTTAGAGTTAGACCATTTAGAAACAAGCGATTAAGAATATAAAATCTCAGTTTTAAAATGTCCTCTATGCCCCTGCAACCAATGATATTTTTGAGCCAATAGCTAGACTGTACAATAGGGCTTGTAAGATCCACAATAGACTTTCTGGTTGGACACATCACTGTTTTGCTCCATCACTCTCTAATGCTTTATCAATTCAAAATGACTTTATGAACACAGGGATTAAACTGAGTTATCAAATTTTAAATAGTGCTACCTCAGCAGCCCTTTGTGCTTTGGTACCAAATTTAACACAAGGACTGATCGTTCCACCAGATCTGCAATAAACGAATATTTGCCATTAGCAGCTTTTAAAAACCGCTATGGACAGAGATCTTTCTTTTATGTATTCACAAAAGCCTGGAATGAGATCACACATCATCTAAAAACAACACTGAGACTTTTTTTAAAAATCCCATACTCCTCATCTGATGGTCAACTATCGCTGTAGCCACTCAGTTGAGTAGCCTGCTTCCCTCTATTTTGTATGTTTGGTGATTGTTTGTACTGTTCTCATGTGTTAAGGGATGAGATGGCAAGTGTGTCTGTATGTTTTTATGTTATCAGCATTAATTCTGAGTCAGGCTCAATTACCTTTTATTATTTCCTGTTTAAAAAGATTATAAATAAAAGTTATAGAAAAAAAAATCAGATGAGGCTTATTAATGTTTTGATTTTTTTTTTTTTTTTTTTTTTTTTTTAGAAAAGAAGAAATGTACAAAATAAATGAGGAATTAATCTGTAAGAGTCTGGAATACAAGTACATATGATTACAAACTGTTAAGAACAAGAAGTGAAAATAAAAAATAGAAATGGGGAAAAAGAAAACAAAGGAGAAGTTCGAAATTAAATAAGAAACACAGACAGCATCAAAAACTAACTTACTGGAAGCATAATATTTTCATAAGTTTCTAATAACTTGCGGACTTTTTTGTTGTTCGATGAACATAATTTTAAGCACGAATCAACTGAAATTTAAAAATGGGCAAATGAGGGAGAGGATTTAAGAAAATTCTGTTTGTGAATAAAGGATTTTGCATATAAAATAAAAAAAATACATATCTTTATTTTTATTTCTGGGACTAGAACAATAACAATATCTTTCAATTAGAAGATTTGGTTTGTTGATTGTGATTTCTTCAAATAATTATGAAAATCCGACCAAAACTTTCTGAGATTGTACATGTAACAAGTCAAAGTTTTTTCGCTTTCCTGACAGAAAGAACAAGTATCTGCAATCCCAGATAGCAAAATACACTCGGGCCAGTTCCGGCTAGATTGTCGCCTGCCGGAGACTAACCCCTCGGCCCAACTTCGGCTGCCGGACTCGGGCCGGATGCCTGTGGACTCACTGCCCGATTCCGGCCCGAATCAAGCGGGCCAGATGCGGCGGCCGTAAGCGAGCCGACGCTGCGCATCCGCGGCGGAATCGGCGCGAGGGTAATGTGCGCTGCGGCCCGGAGCTGGCGCGACTCCGTATTTAAACACCTTATAAAACCTTTTGGTATTACATTGGTACTTGATATATGGTATTACAACCATTTGAATTTATATAACAGCAAACACAGGCTATAATGTAAACACAAAGTGTAAGCACTGCGTTTAACCTTTGAATAAAGTGCAAACTGCATACATATTCTGTAACGAAAATAATCAGACAAATGACAAAATAAATAAATGTTAAACGTTTATTGATTGCATGAAAAAAATAGTACTAAAATTTTATAAATAATTTTGTAGTGCACAAGAATATCAATATAAAAACAACAATAAAACAACACATTAAAGACACACAGAAAGATTTAAACAAAAACTCTAAAAATTACACACAAACACAGATGTTTTTTAAAACAACCCTGTTTTCCCAATAGACTTGAATTAAAAATTTGTAAAAAAACAGCTAAATTTTATATAAACCTAAATATAGAAACCAATTTAAGATATAGCAAGAAACATCTTAAAAATACCAATGACAATCCGTAAAATATCCAAGTCAAACTTGTAAAAAGTACTGCAGAATTCTGAAGAAACATCTTGAAACATTTTTTAATAAAACATTAAAATAATA